TGATTTCCGTACACAATGCCAGTAATTAAGCTTAATTCAGGTTGTTTTTTTTTTCTCTTTTCGATTAAAGGTGATTATTCATGCATCCACGCTCCACACCCAGTGCAGGCTTGCTGGTTTAGCCATTTAGGGAACGCATGTTTTGATCTTGTTCAAATTCTGTAAATGATATTCATTAAAAAAAAAAAATTCCCTCCGTTCCAAAATTATTGTACAATTTGAAATTTTATTTTTAAACTGGACAATAATTTTGGAACGGAGGGAATATACTTTTTCCAGTTCTATTTTTTTTAATTAACTTTTGCGCGTTATAAATATAAAGTATGAAATACTTGTGATAAATGAATCGATTTTTGATATATGATGACTCCAGATTTTATAAATGTCGTTGATGAAAGCAATTAAAATCATATGATTAAAAGTCCTGTTACTCCTACATATAAAAGAAGAACCATCTGTGTGTTTGCACATTGCATAATGCTTGTGTGATGACGATTATAATATCATTCATTAAGGAATATTATCCTTAATAATTGTTTCTGGTTTCAATGACAGGGAAATCAGATTCAAATAAATCATAAATGCTAGCTTAGACCAGCCAGCTCTTAATAAAACTGGTATTTCATTTATTTAGTCAGCAGCCTATGAAGTAGCCACAAGTGCACCTTCAATAAATGAAGGTTCTTGTCCAACCTATCACACTTCCTGATCTACTACTAGTTCCTTTTTCTTTTTCTTTTTCTTTTTTTTTTTATGTTTCCCCTTAAACAAAATAATGGAATCGCAAACGTAAATTTTTGTATTTTAATATAAAGAGAATAATATGACGAAGTTAAATTAGAAATGAAGATTTAAAAAGCAGGCTAGATTACGATCTAATTACTTGTGCATGTACTGCTAATTAAGGATGGCAAATTAGTGAAATCGATCTCATAATTTTCTCTTCGGTCAAAATCAAGAGATTATTTGTTTGTAGCTTTTTCCCCGATAACAAACAATTTAAAGCCACCGTTTTAAGTATAGCTTCAGAATAATCTTTGCCTGAATATAAATAATATCTGTTGGATTTATTTTGAAAGAGAGATATATAGTATCTTATATCTGCATGTGCTTTCTCGTTGATTTGGTGCCATTGATATTATGTAGGAGCATTATAAACTACTGGGATCTGATTTTCTGCCATGATTTCGCTTAGACGTGGCGGCCATGAATCCAGATTTTTGATGTGCGAGATTTTAGAAAAAAAAAAAATAATGTTCTTCATTTCAATAATAATTAACCAACAAAAAAAAAAGTGATTCCAAACTGTATTATGGGGTTAGGTGGACAAATCGAACATTATTAGTTGGTTCTATTTTCTTGAAGCAGCGCATATCTTAAAAATCTCATCAAACCAAATCCATCTGATTTCCTACAGCTAATTACTTGAATTCTTGAGTTCGATTGAAGTTTGATTAGAGTGGGACACATTCACAAACAAAACTATCTTCTCTCCGTTCTGAAATTATTGTCTACGTTAGATTTTTTTTTTTCAATATCAAATGAACTAATAATGAAAAGCTAACTGGACAATAATTTTAGGACAGAGAAAGTACAGTGCAAGATCAGCATTTTTATTGTTCCAATTAAGGTCTAACCCTTTTCTAAAATTCTTCTTGGCTGGTGTCAGCAATAATGTTGATAATGTAGAAGCAACCAAATGAACTACTCGGTGTCTTAAGAAAACAAACTTGGTCATTTGTGAAGTCAATTTAATATTGAGTATTGACCGCGTTGTCTCCGTTGTATTTTAGACGCTAGAAATTCAAAACTAACAGTTAAAATCTCACCATAAAAGCTAAAAAGTTGCAAATTTCTTCTTACCGTGTGCTGCAAGTATCGTGATAATACAGTTAATTAAAAAAAAAAAGAAAAAAGAAATCTTTTGTTTCTGAAATGACACAAAATAAAATTTGGGGCTGACTTTGAGAGTAAAAGGTGTGAGATTTTGGAAGCTTCGGCGGCCACCACTGTTGAACGCTGTTGACATAAAACGCCGTTCTTTTGCCCTCATTGCCTGCCGTTTTCCCGGATTTATTAGTTATACTTCTTAAGGAGCATTTGTTTTTATTTTATTTTATTCCATTATTCTCATAGGAAATGTCGTTCAATTATCGTCTTCATATAATTTTACATTTTTTTTCCGTTTTAATTTTATTTATTATTATGACTATAAGACGTTTTCGTTTTAGAGATGGAGGGATTATTATAACAAAATAAATCTGAAACCTTTTTTATATTATTAAACGTGCTTGTAAAATAAATTTGTTTGTCTCAGAAATAAAGGTTTGAAACCATGAATTCGTTTCGAAACGGGATAACGGAGATTACATCACACGAACAAACACTATGATTTTATACATCATCGATTACGCCACTGTTTGAATGACCCTTGGTTTTCTTTGGACGGTAGTACATAACTATTATATTACTATAAATTAATTAATTAATTCTAAATGGCATTGCAATTTATGAGGGAAAAAAAAAAAGAAGAAAAATCTCTCCTTAGCAAGTAATCCAATTTCTGAGTTGCATTTTCTTTAATAGAAAAAGTTGTGCACATTTCACCACTCTTTAATTAAAATCATTCATAAAAAGGTGGTAGTATAACAACAACAATTCCACATTTTTTTTTTAAAAAAAATATAGCCATACAACAACACATTTCCACAGTTTCATAAAATTATTCAGTAATAAAGATCCTCAATTTGATCATAAAATCACGTTTCGAGGATAATCCTTTTATTTTCATATCATTAAAGAATAAATTATTATTAATTCAAAATTTTCATAAGATTTTTCAACCATCTTGTCAAACAATTTATTATAGGTGTCTTTTTCACTAAAAAAAATTAAAAAAAATCAAATAAGTCAATCAAAAAACACTGAAATTATGGATTAACAATTAATGTTATTCAACCATTAACTTTCACACTCCATATATCCAATATGTATGCACATCATGAATTGTTTGGTCACAATCCTTTTTTTTCTTTTTCTTTTTTTGGGTTCTTTTTTGATAAAGGAAGACTGTGGCGAGGAAAATCTAACTCATTTTTGGGTTCAAAAATCGTCATTGAAACTTAACTAAAATGGAACATGTAGTATGTAATAATTACATCAGATGACATCAGTTGGATCAAACTTTGCAATTAGGACCCCACAAAATAGCTTTTGTCTTTTTTATTATTTGGGGCCTAAAGTGAAGGAAAGGAGAAAAAGACCCATGAATTGTAAAATAATTCAAGTGGGTTTGAAAGTTGAAACACCCTGAGACTAACAATTAACCACCAGTAGATATATCACAAGGTCTTTGTTGTGTTTTCATGGTTTCTCACCAAGAAGGTTTACTTTAATCTCTATTTTATTTATTTATTTATTTGGCTGTGGAGAAAACTTAAAAAGAAGATTGTTGGACAATGAATAATTGGAAATGACCCTCTCAAGTTTTCCTACTTTACAAAACACCCCCTTTCCTTAATGGAAATAATATTTTTCAAATACTTATTAAGTGAAAAAAAATCTCATTTAACATTATTAGCGAATAAAGTAGAAAAAAAATATGTTTTTCATAGTTTCACTATCAACTAGTTTTTATGAAGGGCAATCAATATAGAATTAAGCTATAAATATATTAGATACTTTTGTATTACAATAAGTTTTTATGGAGTGTTTTGGAAAATAAGAAAACTCTAGAAAGGTTGTTTCCAAATTTTTTTTAATTATAGCAACAATGAAAACACCAAAAAAAGAAAAGGAAAAAACCTCATTTGGATGGAAATTGGTCACTTGTGGAGTATGGAATATTGACTCTTTATTACAAAAATAAAAAAATGGACGTTTTTTCCTTTTTTTTAAAAAATAAATTAAAAAAAGGGATGAGTTTGTCCGAGTCATCCAAGTTCTTCCAACCCTTCGCATTTAATAAGATCCTACAAAGCACTCATTTCCATTGGTAGCTTCCCATCTGCCATCTACCCGCCTACCATTAAGTTCCTTAACCTTCAAAAATAAATTTAATAAAAGAATAGTAAATAATTTAAATAGTTTAAATTCATTAATTCAGGTCCACTTTACACAACTACCGCACACATGGCCATGTAAATAGTGCACCAGTAGCCTACCTCCCCCACACGCACAATTCTTTTTCCATTTTGGAAAAAAGAATACAATTAGTTAGTTAATTAATTAATTAATTTGATCTTTGGGCTTTAATTGTTTCCAGTTATTATTACAATTAATCGCAAAACATCCCCCGAAATAATGATTTCTGTCCATTTAGTCTAAAACTAATATGTGTATGAAGTTATGAACCATATACATACAGTATATTACACTTAAAACCCACTTATTTTCTCCCACATTATTTCTCTCCAAAAAAAAAAAAGAAGATTTTAGACCAGTCATATATTATTTTCTTTTATACACGACTTTGTTTATGGTTTCTTCATTCATACATATTCATCATAAAGACAAATAATTTTACGTTAAATACAAATCTCAGTACCTCACACAACTCTTCCCTTTCGTTTTTTTTTTTTAATTTTTATTTTTCTTCTCTTTCATTTTCACTTAATACAGACAACCATACCAAAAAAAAAAAAAAAAAAAGGAAAAGAAAAACAAAAAAACCGACAACCATACAAACTCGAAAATTTGTACTCCTTTTGTTTCAAAATTATTGTCCAGTATGAGTTTTCATTTTAATTCAAATTGTATTAAAAATGAAATCTCAAACTGGACAATTATTTTAGAACAAAGAGAATATAAGACTCAGTTACAACAATGGAGAATTGTGAAAAGATCAAAAGAAAGGAAGGACTTAACTATCTTTTTTTTTTTTACTAAACTATTCTAATGCATAAACAACTCACACAAAATTGACTCTACAACTGACTAGTGACTACATATGTATCATGGATCTGTCAACCCACCTTCTCCATTTTACACCCATGTTCTCATTTGTATAATCCCCTAATCCAAGGCCCTAATCATTTATTTATTACCGGGTGTTTTTGGGTGCTCAATTTATTACAAATAGCTGTTTTTATTGTTGTATTTGCTATATGTTGGTCTGATTTTTCTACCCTCTCTTTCCTCAGATCTCTCCAAAATTCTTTTGACATCATCATCACCACCTAAAACAAATTCATACTCTGTTTTATAGCTAAATCTAGCTTCATTTCGGCTTGTAATTTCAACCTAAGTAAAAAAAAAAAAAAGAAGTCCAAGTGGTCATTATGTTTGTTTGTTTTCAGCCCATGTCTTCAATTCTTGATGGCCTACACTCTCAGCCAGCCAGCCGTGATTGTTAGTATTAAAAATTTTTATTTCCTTTTTCCCCATCTTGTTTTCCCTTCCTAATTAACCTCCTCTGTGCTTCATTGATTTTGTTTGCAAGCAGAATTTCACACTTCTTTCTTTTCTTCAACTTTAGTGTCCCACTTGGATGGCTGGATTTATTAGTATAGGTAAGAAGATAGTACCCCCATGGTTTTGAGTCATCCTTGGGATTGTTTTCCATGGTTAAGTCAAAGGCCTGAGGACCACTGCCTTCTTTACATTGTTTTCCAAGACTCCCTTTTTTTCTTCTTGTTTCGTTTCTTTGTTCAGCTGCCTCTTTTGCAATTGATGGACATTCAATTTCTTTGATCTTATTTTTCCAAATCCCTGATCTTTGTTTGCGCCTAAATTCTAGGCTGCAAAGGCATATCCTTTCTGATATTCTGAGTTCTTTTGAACTTCATTCCGAACTGCTGTTCCAGCAAAATTTTGTGGCCAAGTTTCAATCTTTCACCCGTTATAACTGTTCTTCTGTGTTCATCATGTGCTGGAATTGATATTTCTTTAGGCTTTTGAGGTGGGTTTGGGATTGTTCTTCTGGAATTGGCTTACCATGGGGAAAGATTGGGGATTATTTCCTCTCAAAGTTTTTTGGTTCTTGTTTGTTCTATTTTTTCTGGTTGGAAAAACATGTGAGGCCAGTATTCAAAATAGAGGCAGACTGAACATGGGATTTGAAGGGGCACAGATGACTTGGATAGACAATGATGGATTGATTCTGGTTTCCAACAATTCAAACTTTGGCTTTGGATTTAAAAGCACACCAAATGATGTCACCTTGTTCTTCCTTGTGGTGATTCACAGGAGCAGCTCCACAATAGTATGGACGGCTAACAGGGGAAATCCAGTCCAAGGTTCAGATCTTTTGAAGTTCGATACATCAGGAAATGCCTACTTGAAAAGTGGAGGTTCCACTATTTGGTCTACAGATACGGCTAACAAAGGAGTTGCAGCCATGGAATTGCTGGATTCTGGGAATCTGAGGATTGTTGGGAATGACAGCAGTGTGATTTGGGAGAGTTTTAGCCAACCAACTGATACCCTTTTGTCAAATCAGGAGTTTGTTGAAGGGAGGAAACTTGTGAGCAATCCTGACAAGAATAACTTGACATATTCCTTGGAAATCAAATCTGGAGATATGGTTTTATCTGCAGGTTTTAACCCACCCCAGCCTTATTGGACTATGGGAAAAGATACCAGAAAAATCAACAACAAAGATGGTGGAAATGCGGTTTCAGCCACACTGAATGCCAATTCTTGGAAGTTTTATGATAAAGACAAGTTGCTTCTCTGGCAATTCATTTTCTCTGACAATACTGATGCAAATGCTACATGGGTTGCAGTTGTAGGATCTGATGGTGTCATCAAGTTCAGTGTTCTTCAAGCTGGAGGTTCCAAGGCTGATTCACCAACAGAAATACCGCAAGATCAGTGTGGCAGTCCAGCCGCGTGCGATATGCCTTATGTTTGTTACAGTGGTAAAAAGTGCCAGTGCACTCTTCCCTCTTGTAAACTAGGGAATGTCTCTTCTTATTGCAACTTACCTCAGGATTCCATGGAGCTTGTCGATGCAGGGGATAGTCTGAGTTATGTTGCTATTAATTTCATGTCACCGTCTTCTAAGACGGACCTAAATGGCTGCAAGAGCCATTGCCAAGGGAATTGCTCTTGTGTTGCAGCATTTTTCGATAGTAATTCAGGGAATTGCTTTTTGTTTGATCAGATAGGAACTTTGCAGGGCTCAGGTACGGGAACTACATATTCTGCTTACATTAAGGTCTCAAGCAGTGGTGGGAATCAAGGTGATGGTGGAAGTGGAAGCAACAAAACGCGCCTTGTGATCGTGATCGTTATAGTGGTTTCGACTGTGTTTGTCATCGCCGGGATGGTTTATTTAAGCTATGGTTATTACCAGAGGAAGAACAAGGAATTCCCTGAATCTCCTAAAGAGACTTCAGAAGAGGAAAATTTCCTGGAGGCGTTATCAGGGATGCCAGTTCGTTTCAGCTACAACGATCTTCAAGTTGCAACTAAGAACTTCAGTGTGAAGTTAGGGCAAGGGGGTTTCGGTTCAGTTTACCACGGCACACTCCCGGATGGGACACAGCTTGCTGTTAAGAAACTGGAAGGTATTGGTCAAGGGAAGAAGGAATTTCGGGCTGAAGTTAGCATTATTGGGAGCATCCATCACCATCATTTGGTGAGGCTTAAAGGCTTCTGTGCTGAAGGGACTCATCGACTTCTTGCGTATGAGTACATGGCAAATGGATCCCTAGAGAGATGGCTTTTCAGGAAAGATAAAGGGGAATTCATGTTAGACTGGGAAACCAGATACAATATTGCCCTAGGTACAGCTAAAGGTCTGGCTTATCTCCATGAAGACTGTGATGTCAAGATTGTTCATTGTGACATCAAGCCTGAGAATGTGCTTCTAGATGACCACTTCCTAGCAAAAGTATCCGATTTTGGCCTTGCAAAGCTCATGACAAGAGAACAAAGTTTCGCTTTCACAACATTAAGGGGTACAAGAGGTTACTTAGCCCCAGAATGGATCACAAACTATGCCATTTCAGAGAAAAGTGATGTCTACAGTTATGGGATGGTGCTACTTGAAATCATCGGTGGCAGGAAGAATTACGATCCGTCGGTCAGTTCAGAAAAATCCCATTTCCCAACATTTGCATTTAAGATGCTGGAAGAAGGAAAACTTAAGGACATAATCGATGCGAGTTTAAAAGTGGATGAAGAGGATGACAGAGTTTCTACTGCAATCAAAGTTGCTCTTTGGTGTATTCAGGATGAAATGTCACTCAGGCCATCAATGGCTAAAGTAGTGCAGATGTTGGAAGGAATCAGCCCTGTACAAACACCACCAGCTTCTTCACAATTTGGGTCGCGACTTTATTCAGGTTTCTTCAAGTCAACAAGTGATGAAGGCACTGGCACCTCATCAGGAGGCCCTTCAGATACTAACAGTGATGCTTATCTTTCGGCCGTTCGCCTCTCTGGCCCTAGATAGCATTGGCTGAAGGGAATGAGACCATATGTACACCGGTTTTTTGTGTTTTTTCCCCAATGTACATTGATTAGCAGCTTCATTTTCTTTTTTTTGGTTTGGATCATCAGATATATTGGTTAGGATTAGAAATTTTGTTGTTATAGTTCAATAGAAGAAAGCTTACTGCTATTTCTGCCAAAGCTTAGTTGTCCCTGTAAATGAATGAGAAATATCATCAAATATTTATATATATATATATATATATATATATATCTATGCATCACCATTTTGAGGTAACAACCTATCTTGTAATCCATGCAGAAACAAAAGAAAAGTAACACAAGTAACTTAGTAGTTTGTTCGGAAAAGGTAACATCCTATGCCATAATGGGAAACTAATAACAAGAAGGATCATAAAGATATTTAAAAATGGACTCTCATTTATAGGAGAGAAATGCATCTCACTGGTAATTTATTCGCATCTTGTATAACGGAGGGAAACTATGGTACAGAAACCTGGCATGGATGTGTGGTGAGCCAAAACTAGATCCGGTTGCCGGTCATGGTTGTCTCCTAGCTTCGAACAAAGCACAACTATGGGACTGAATTTCGTATTTGAGAAGTTCATCCTCCACTGGGGCACCATCGGCAGTGAAAAACCCAGGAAAAGGAAGGGCGGTGTCGACCAAGCGAAACCACATAAAATCTGCAGGAGGCGGAGGAAGAACAATGGTCTCAGATCCTTCTGCTGCATTGAAGGCAGCAAACAAGTCACCGTAGCCAGATTTGCTTACTTCAGCATTGGACTTCAAAGTCACGGCAAGATATTGGCTCTGCTCATCGTCCCACTTGGGCACAGACTGGTTGCTCCCATGCCACTGAATTCTGTCTACTTGCAAGAAATTCTTCCTCTGAAGTAAATCACTTCGCCTTTTTCGCAACGAACTCAAGAATGAGATAAACTCGACAGTCTGAGTACCGAATCCAGTTCTTAATGCATTCCAATCGAAATGGTTATTCTTATCAGCATATGCAGGGGATCCACCAGAAGACTGACCACATTCATCGCCCATGTTAAGCACTGGAACACCCAGGGACATGAATAAAATGAAGAGAAAGTTGCGAATTTGCTTTACCCGTGTTTCCAGAACAGAAACTTTATCTGTAGGACCTTCTTCACCACAGTTCCAGCTTAATTCTGTTGTAGCGTTGTCACTGAAGCTGACTAAATCAACAAGAGAAAGTCCAAAATTTCGAGCGATAAAATTGAAAGAGAATGCAGGGCCACGACCATCCAAGAAGGCGTCTCCGCTCCCACATAAACGAGTAGCAAGATTGCTCAGAAGTCCTTCGCCCCTCAGAAAGTTTCTCACATCAAAACAGAATTTGCTGTTAACTTCTGCCCATTTTTTCCAGTGAGGGAATGAAATATCTTTTGGCTTCATTCCAAAGGGGTCCCAACAATCAGCTATTATCTTTGTCTTTGAAAGTATGGGATCAAAAGCGATTGCTTCAACCAATGGAGGCCGAGTCAGGACCTCTCCATGGAATCCTCTCAACAAAGAAGCAGCATTCATGAAACAGAAACCATCAACCCGAAACTCAGTCACCCAATGGCGGAGGCTGTCCAATATCATCTGCGAAACAACAGGGTGATTGCAATTCAATGCGTTGATAGTTCTTGTCAAGTTATCATCTTTCTTCTCGACATTATAATAGTAGGAACTCTGATCAATTACTCTAAGAGCTGCATTTTCTGCGGTGTGTGTGAAAACAACTTCTAAAAAAACTTCAATTCCATTATTATGCAGTTCCTTCACCATTTTCTTCATAGATGCAGTTTCGCCATATTGGCTTGCTGCAGAGAAGAAATGCCAGGGTAGATAAGGACCTTTTTGATCATCAAAAGAGAAGATTGGCTCCAACAAGATCGCATTCACACCGAGTTTCTTAAAGTGATGTGCCTTTTCTGCAACTGCAGAAAAAGTTCCTTTGATATCATTAGTTAACTTACTGGAATTATCCCTCGTAAAGCACATCACATTTAACCTATAAACAATTAGTTGCTCCATCGGTAAGCATGGCCGAACTTCCTCTCCCCAATCAAATGGAGGTTCCTCATGCAATTCTCCAAGGCATGTCACAGATGAACCAGACAGGTGATGAATTGCTTTAGCATAAGGATCCAAGAGAACGTTGTCTTGTTCAGAATCCATGCCTAAATTGCATCGATAACCATATTTCACGAATGGAGTGGTGCCATCTACTGCAACATGCCAAATGTCACCGGATTTGTTTACATATGGATCTAGATCAATCTCTAAAGCAGGTTTATCAGTTTTCAAGCTGTCATACAAGCAGAGAATTACCCTTTCGGCACTTCGCGAAAAAAGCGCGAGATTCAGGTGTCCTGCTGAGTAGGAGAGACCCAACGGAACAGGATGCCCAGAACTAAAACCAACTGGCACAACAAACCTCGTCTTCCTGTGACTCCTAATGTAAGGGCTTTTCATATCTGAATTAACTCGAGACTTTAAGAGAAATGAAATGTAGAAAGGCGCTGCAGACAAATCAAAATCTAACTCAACCGAAAGTGTGCCTGAAGTTTCCTGCTTGAATGGAAGTTCAGTTGTACAGTTTCGGTCATCCCAGCTAGAACCTTGTAAGTCACATGATGAATCACACCTAAACAATCCCCAACACATTACAAGCTCACTTTCTCTAACAGAAAACTGTAAGGTCACAAACTTGACCTGCACGTTATATTTATAGTTCTTCTTCTCAACAAGAACCTTTAACTGATCATTCGTTTCTGTCCTGAAGCGATAACAAAAGAGTTCTTCAGCAGTTTCAACAAGAGATGTGGCCGATGTTTCCCAGGTTCTTAACCTAAAAGCCTGACTAGAATTTCCCCTGGTAAATCTACCATCTTGATGGATCTTTTGATGGTTTGAATCCCCCTTTTTCAAGCAACAGATCATACCTTCAGTGTTCCTAAGACGCGAGGTGGAAACCAGCTTAGCCAACTCTACATCACCGCAGCTCACGGAATGACATTGTGTTGTGAAGGATAAGTAAGGAGAGCCATTGTAGGATGCAAGAGGACACAAAACCAAGTTGCCAGTCATACTTGTTAAGATTAGAGGATGGTTCCTCTAAATCTAAAAAAAAATTCTGCCAGGAACATAAACAAGATTCTTCAGCAAAAACAACTAAGAGACAGAACTTACACAAAAGAAAATGAGATCCACCAATCTACCCATGAACTAAAGCATAATACATCCAAGTTCTTTGACCTTCACTAATTAATGTGATCTTCATCTATTAATTCAGTTAATCCTGAATTTCACAACTCTTTAAAATACGATGTATAAGCCACCAACAATTACTACAGCCCACCATTCATAGTTTCATCCCAGCCCTGTCAAATAACATAGAAGGTCTTATTCTGCACTAACTATGCCTTCATTTTTCAATTACAAAGGAAACACAGTCAAAAATACATTCCATAAAATCTAGCTCGTACTACCTGATTATATGAATACCTAGCAATATGGAAAAAATAAAAAAAGGCATTTGAAAAACAAAACCTGTCAATGCAGCACAAACAGCATTCCCAACTGCAATTACAGATTCAAAACTAATCGGACAAGAATGAAATAAGCAAAATTCTGAGTAGGCACCACAAAAAAAAAAAAAAGTGAGAAGCAAACTTGCACCGCCAATTTAATTCTTAGTTAAAATGATAAAAAAAAAAATTCACGAATCAAAAAAAATTTCAAATCAGCGGAGGATTTCGAGTAAAGGGATTCGTCAGAACAGCAAAAATTTTTGATCTTTGCATTCTACAAGACCAAAAATTGCAACTTCAACCCAGTGCCAATCAAAGGGCAAAAGAGCAATACCAGTTGAACCCAACACGCGCTAAAGAGAAAAACAATAAAATAAATGGAAGAATAGAAGTAATTTAAAAATTCAGAAACTCACAGAAAGGACGAAAAGAACTCATTGAATAATCCTGGATGGTGGAGAAATTTGGTATTTTTACTATGGTGTCAACTGTAAAGGGACAGAGTGAGCTTCAGAAAGAATGGAAGAACTAAAAAGAAGAAGTATGATGATGGATAGATGACGTAATCTTGACTGTGGTCTTCAATCTTGACCACAGCAGAAGAAAAAGTAAAACACCGAAAAATCTCATCAATAATACTCCCTCCATTTCAAAACTAAGGAGACAATCTCATCAAATTTTTAAACTTTTACACGTAAACTAAGAAAACAATCATTTAATGATTAATTTATGTGTTAAATATTTATTTTACTCTTCATTAATTATTTTAGAATTATAAACAAAACTAGATGAGAAGTGGTTAGTATCATTTATTAGGTGCAAAGTTAGAAAATTAATCCATAATTTGCCTTGAAATCCTAAAACGACCTACATTTTGAAATATTTCTCCAAAACTAAAACGACCTACATTTTGAAACGGAAGGTATAGGCATTTGGAGATTTTTCTTCTTTCTTTAATGGTGAAGGAAAATTATCCCAACTCCCAAGATATTTGCCTTGCATATAGTATTCTCTCCATTTCGAAATATAAGTAGCTTTAACTTTGCATGTAAATTAAGGTAACAATCATTTAATAATTAATTTGTATATTAAATATCTATTTTACTCGTCATTAATTGTTTTGAAACTATAACAAAGAATAGATGAAAAGTGGTTAGCATCATTTATTGGGGACAAAGTTGAGAAGTTAATTTTTAATTTGCCTTGAAATCCTAAAATGATCTGTATTTTGAAATATTTCTCCAAATTTAAAACGATTTATATTTTGAAATGGAAGGAATAATACTTAAGGTAAATAGATAGTCAAGAAATTTTTTTAAGAAAAAAAAGTAAATTGAGCATCTGACAATTTTAGTTATTGTGAATCTCTATTCTTATGAGTAATTCTTTTTTGCTATTGAGTATTTTTTTTTTTTTCAGTTTTAGGCCATCTTGTGAATTGTGATAATACTAGTAGTATTTTGTATTTCTTTGCACTGGAAAGAACTCCATTCTCAAAATTTATGGAAAGTCTAATCAACAACTTCCAAGGTCCATCAGAAGGACAACTCCCAATTCCCAAACCAACCCAAAAGCTAGTCCATTAATCATGACAAGTCTGGCATTGGAGATGACAAGCTTCAGGAACTACAATGGAATTGGCAACCTTATTACCTTATCCTCATCATCTTCTCACTTCTGGCCACAATTCAAAATTCCCTCCAAAATCCCACAGATTTCCTACTTTGTTGCGCAAGCCATTAAAGCAAAATCTGCAACAACTCCTCCTCGTTCTCCAAGTATGAATGCACTTTTACCCTTCATGTATTCATATATGTCCTGTACTACTGCTTATGCTTTTTCTGGTAATGTTATTGGCTTATTGCTAAATTTTTTTTTGTATGGAAATGGAGGCACAGTTTGTAACTTATCAAATTCTTTGGGGAGGAGACAGCTTATGTATATGTCAACAATCCCATTTCTAATTCCGCCTGGTATTGCTGTTTCTTCAACTAGGTAAGCCCACGCATCAAAAGCTCTATTTCTTCTGTTAAAGATTGAGCCTTTATCCCCTTCTGGGTGCCTGAATTTGTTATAATTTTCTTTTTCTTTCCGTTTTCTTTTCTCCCTTTTGATTTGGAAAGGGGCGTGGCCGGGGGTGTTGAGTGAGCAGTGAGCTGACCATTTGATCATTTATATGGGATGCCAGTAGCTTCATTAATCTGCTGCAGTGAAGTTTATGTTGCATTTTCCCCTTTTTTGTCTGTCTCAACTCTCAAGTTTTGAGTCCCGATCAGGGTATTCGAATCAAGATGGAAACTTTTAAAGAACAGAATATCTAAGGATGACAATATCCAGTACACAAAGAGACTCAGTGTGAATATACATAGTTGAATTATCATTTTTTTATGCCCGAACAAATTGTTTCAATGAAACCTTCTTATGTTTTTAGTGTATATGTATCAATGTGCACGTGAGCAGTCATGTACCAAGTTCCAGGAGTGCAAAATGCTGCTTCTTTGTGTTTCTTAATTAAGTTTTCCTGCGCAATTTTGTGGCATGTCGAGGACTAGGGAAATTTCTTTTGAAACACTGCACTTTTGGCTTCCTTTTCCCAGCATTTTGACGCAAATAAGTACCTGTTGTATTTTGCATTGTTATTTACTAACTTGCCGCAAACCTGGTTCACCAGTGACTTATTGCATGTGAAGGAAGAGATCAGAAATGTATTATCCAAGGGAAAGGCTGCTGGTGTACTTCGTCTAGTTTTTCATGATGCTGGAACTTTTGACATTAATGAGAAAACAGGTGGCATGAATGGCTCAATTGTGAATGAACTAGACAGACCTGAAAACAAAGGTCTTAAGAAATCCGTGAAGGTATTTCCTACTTCAGATTTACTTTTTGCCTTAGCTTTGTTCTTTACAAAGTTTTCATTTGCTTCTGTTAAGTTAGAAATTGAATTTAAGTTTTTATTTACTTACCCAGAGTGAACTCAGTGGATGCATTGTTGTTTAGATTCTAGAGAAGGCAAAAGCTCAAATAGAGGTGCAATGTCCAGGTACTTCTCTTGTACTGCTAAAACCCATGCACCGGACAGGTTTTTACATTATCAAGCTGACATTTACATTACTGGTGAATTTCAAGTTTCATGGGCAGATGTCATAGCTGTGGCTGGAGCAGAAGCTGTTTCTATATGCGAAGGTCCAACTATCTCTGTCCAGTTGGGAAGAATGGATTCATTGTAAGATTCATTCGCTTATTTGACTGCATATGTTTGAATGTTTAAAAGTTAGTTCAATATTGAGCGAAAAATGTCATAGCACATCGACCATGGACCAAAAGAAAAAGAAAGAAAATAGTTTTTTCAAACTATTGAGGGTAGATTCAGTTCAATCTTCGTTTGGCAAATAGAAGCACAATGTGTAGTGAACAATGATGGTTTTGAAAGATTTTCTCCTAAATAATGCTTTGAAGGATTTGTAGAATGTGTAGTGAATACTGTTGGTTACAATGATGGTCTGCTAGATAGTGCTTATTGAGGTTTTATTATTTAGAGTTTTGTCAGAGCCTTTGTAATTCGCTTTTAGAACTGCTGTTGTGCAATGCTGAAATTAGTGCATGTATACCTTCTTGTTTTATGCCTTAAAGGGTGCCGGATCCTGAAGGAAAGCTACCAGAAGAATCACTGGATGCTCCAGCTCTGAAACAGTGCTTTCAAAACAAAGGATTCTCGTAAGTACTTAGATGTATCATTTCCTTTTTGCTTGATGACTACAATGATATTTATGTGTGACTGCTCGCAACTACATGAAAAAACTGTCTCAAGAGCAATATTCTTGAGGGCCAAATGCGTATCAGATTCTAGTATCTTTTTTTTTTGTTCTTTTCTTTTCTTTCTTTCTTGAAATGCAATATTCTTGAGCAATATTCTAGTATCTATACGTGTGAAATATGTATCCATGAATATTTACCTTTTTTTTTTTTTTCCCTTTCCTGGAGAATATGTAAGCCTGGACTCAGGGCTTTTTACAGTGTGCAGGAACTTGTTGCACTGTCTGGTGCACATACCCTCGGAGGTAAAGGTTTCGGAAATCCCACAGTTTTTGACAACTCCTACTTCAAAATTCTCCTGGAGAAGCCCTGGTTATCTTCAGGTTGGTGACAAAATCCTCATCTCCTTTATGCCTTGCGGTGTTTCGTATTCCTGTATGCAAATTAGCTTGGTGTATTTGGAAAGCTGTTAGTCACCAGAATAGTAATCCAAATTGCATAAGTGGGTTTCTTGGTTCATTGTGTTTGTCCCAGTTTTTTGTAAGCTCTTGTCGAGCTATCATCTTGGTGAATAGTGCTGATAAAAAGTCATTTTTTTTTCACTTCTGTAGCATATCTAGATCATAATCATTCCATTCCTAGTATGATGCATCCAATCTTCTTTGCTGATGTACAACAGTAATTACTGAACATTTGCTTCTTTGCAGCTGGAATGTCTAGTATGATTGGTCTTCCTTCAGACCGAGCACTTGCTGATGATGATGAATGCTTGAGGTTTCTTACTTAGATATCAATTACCTCTGATGTTTCCCATGTGCTGAGTTGTTTTGTGCATTTCCAATTGAATTATTACATGGCCCACTTTTACATTTTCCAGGTGGATCTCAAAATACGCTGATAACCAGGAGTTGTTCTTTGATGATTTTAAGAATGTCTACATCAAACTTGTAAATACCGGTGCCAAATGGAGAACCATTTAAATCCATCATCATCATCTTCATTGATTAATCATGGCGAAAAACATTGGATGTTTTTCGACCATGGTGCCACCTACTTCCTCCAGGAGCCTATCTTGGGCTCTCAAGGAAAGCATCAATCTCGACATTAAATTCCTTGACAGTGAAAAGGCTAGTCCATACCGCAGCAGTCCTCATCCAAAGCTGAGTCAAGAAACAGAACAGAAGGAGGCAGCTAAAGTTATGCAGATTTGAAGTGGCCACTTGAGATTTTTTTCTTCTTTAGATTTCAATTAATTCAGAATGAAAGATTAATTTCCTAGTTTCATTCACATTCATGAATGCTGGTGTTCAGCAGAAGGCTGCCCCATTATATAGTGGCAACTCCAGCAATGTTAAGTTCATGGTGTCCAACTTTGAAACTGGTAAGTTTTTGTTAACAGAGAAAACACAAAATGATGCATGCTTATGAGTTTTAGGCTCCTCGAATTGATGCATAGATGTCACTAGTTTCCGCAATTACTAGGTTTGCTGTACTAATATTTAGTTGTGTTGTGATATGGAAACAATGGCATTGAAAAGAAAACTTGTGTGTACTGTTTTCAATCTCATTTCTTTCTGTCTCTCTTATGGAATTCTTTTCTTGTGAATTTGATCCAAAACCAACTACTGGGCTATGAGACTAGGTGAAGTAGAGATTAATAATCGGCCCAAAAATGGAGGGAAGCTTGGCAATTTATATTGGACTATCGGAAAAGTTGGTAAAAGATGGTAAGTGGTTTCTGAAATAATTTTTCAATTTAAATTTTTATTTTTAGCATAAGGAGTAATAAATTGTGACAAGATTGTTGCTCACAAACCACTTACACTAAGGACTTATTTTTATCAAATGCCTTTTGATCTTTTGGAATTTTTGTTGGAAAGTTGCATTTCGCCACCCATTATCCATTCAATTTTTTTTTTTTTTTTTGGCATATTGACATATTCAAATGTTATAATTGTGGTACACAATTAAAGGATGGTAGGCTTCCAATAAAAGTCATTATTTGATCCATGTCATGTTAAATCAAAATCAAAATCATGAGTGTAGCAGCTCAAAATTGACTAGGAATCTAAGCTACCACTTGTTAGAATCCATCACATCTACCAATAACAATCTAGATGTGTTTGCTCATTGGTGTCTCTCTTTAGAGCAAGGTACTTTGGTCAATGATCCTCTACTGTTACATTAAACAAAATAAGAAGAGGGGAATTTTACTCTCCCATACTTATAATGATGATATGTATCGATTATCTTACATGTATCAAAAAAAGTGTAACACAATAGTGTCAAAGAGAATCTGATACTCAGGTGCAGATGGAAAAAATTGGCAAGCAATTGGCGAAAATGTATCACTAGACAAGCAATTAGCCAATCTAAAGAACTAGGAGTAAAGTAGTATGTCTTTGTCTCAATACCCCCATCAGCTGAACATTCCAATCAAGAATGGGTTTTACACACACACAAAGTACATAAATCCAAATACCACTTAAAAAGGAAAATATAAAAAGGGTTTTCATCATGTTCAAAAAAAGGGTCTCCAATATCATGCCAAAAAATATTGATGATTTGTGGACCAAACTGTGCCTTTCTGATTAAGCATCAGAAAAACAATATATATTGAAATTATCACACAACACAATGAATCCATGTATGATACATCTTTTTTTTTTTTTTTTTTTTTCCTTTTTCCTCCCTTTTTTTTCCTGTGTTTATCTTCTATGAGTATATAGTACTAGTTAAATTGATAGGGAATTTTGGTCGGCACCTGTTTATTATAGTAATAGTTTGAGCTTTTTGGACCAACACCACCCAGAAAAGAAAGAAAGAAAGAATCCTGAATTTTAATTATTAGTTAGTCTAAAGCAAAATGATGTGAAACAAAGAATCCTGAATTTTCTTTTTCGTAAATGCAATGAATTAATGGTTTCACAAGGATACGTAAGTTGGTTTAGATAACATAAAAAATTCCACACCTTGTTTAAAGAACTGGTGATCATCACTATACTGTGAACAAATCACAGGTTTTAAGGGAGAAGGAATCCTCTTTTAATTTTATAATCCAATTTGTAATACTTTTACAATTAAAAACCAGTTTACACTTTTAACCTTATCCAATTTCTGCTAACACAATTGAGTTTATTAATACCCTTGATTTCTTTTAGTTCTGTTTCTCTTCTAATCTAAAGGGTTCACAAAAGGAATATAACCATCCCGATCACTCAAAAGAAGAAGAAGAAATTCTATTTGCAGCTAGACAAAATGATTCCCTCCTTTTTTAAAATCCAAAAAATAATCCGTATCGTAATTTAAAATTTATACAGAAAACAGTACAAATATTAAAATTTAATGTATATTATTATTTTTTTCTTAGATAGGGGAAATATTAAGAATAAATAGTACAATTATAGTAAAAATCCTTTTAGAACGGGAGGAAAATGCATGCATTTTCAATTCTTCATACAGTTGAAAATCAGTAGATTATTATTATTATTATTATTATTATTATTATTATTATTATTATTTCGTCCGGAAATTATTGTCATGTTTATAAGGAAATAATATTACTATTATTTATTGTTAAAAAGGTGTCTAGTGCATACATAACTACCCCAACTAAAGTAAAACAAAGTCAAGTACGTAATAAACTATTAATGTGTCTTATCCAGAAGAGAAGATAATGGAAAGTGTAGAATGGGGGATCACCAGGATCCTTCTATTTAACCTCTTTTTCTTGCCCCAAATTCCATGCAGTACTGCTAACTTTCTGAGTTCTAAAAATTTAATCCATCGACTCTTCTGCATCACGAAACATCAGAAGCCCTAACATATTGAAATTGATATTGATCGATCAATTCAGATGAAAATATAGATTTTGATACCTCTTTGTATGAAAATAATAATAATTTTGAAATGAAAAAAAGATATAATTTTTATCATATTGTATTGTTTATTAGGTTTTTTATGATATTTTTAAAATATTTAAATAATACTACCTCCGTCCCATTATTATTGTCCACTTTTACTAAAATGAAAGATTTTATTTTTGGTCAAACTTAACTATATTTTACCTTAAACAACCGGATATACCCCTACATAAGTAATTGTTTAACCACTAAGATTTTATGGATAATGTTTTTTACTAAGGACAAATGTGTAACATGGTCCATAAAAAGTCAAATTGGACAATAATTTTGGGACAAAATTTTTTGGGCAAAGTGGACAATAATTATGGGACGGAAGGAGTAACTGTTTTATTCCAACATACGTTTTTACATTTCCAATACATCTTTTTACATTCTCAATACAAAAATACCAAAAAACACACACTAAAAAAACGAAACAAATATAAATTTTTCTCCAACGACGATGGTCATTGTAATATGTGTATAACTTCATATACATACAGAGATAGAGCATATAAAAATGTAGGGCGTGGGAGATTTTAGGGCTCACTTGTCTCACGTGAGGACTGAGAAGGGCACCGCTCCTGTGTAATCTATACATATTACCTTTTTTTTTTTAATGATATGTAACCCCAAATGATTAATGTTCTCACTCGTTTCTGGTTTAATTACGGAAAAGAAGTTCACTAATCAAGCACGAGTTTTCAGTCGAACAACAAATGAGATATCTCTAGTTCTTTTTTTTTTTTGTATTATTTTTTTATTACACAAATTTCAATCGAATTCAGTTTAATATAGATTTCATAATATCCCAACTGAAGTTTCATGCACCTTAAAGCGAGAGTGAAATGTAGTTTAGAACTTTGATGACCAGAAATAATGGATTTCTTCTCATCTACCGTTTTGTGTGCCGATTTTAGTCATTTTAATATTTGATCGATAATTAGTTCGTGCAAGATCTAAATTTATTAGAGTTTTTTTTTCCCCTTTCACTTGACTATAGATATACACTCTAAAATTCGTCCAAGACGTTCAAATCACGAATCTGTGATCACTGTAAAAATTAGTTGAAATTTATGAGTATGTATACCGATAGTTTTGAAAAATTTCAGTAGGCACAGACATACATAATATATCCATGATGATTTTATGTAATAATTAAACTTCGAATTTACGAATGTAAGATCATAAATACATTGGTAAAAATTTGTTTTGAAGACTCTTTAAATAATTTTGTGTACGTTGCGGCAGACTCGAGCATCTGTGTAGAAACTCACATGGTTTGTTCCCTCACCTCCAATCTCACCACCTTCCATCTTCATGTGACCTCCTTCCCCCAATGCATTTTCATCTATTTTTGCAAACTCTTAGGCACACTTATTTAACCTTTTTTTTTTTTTCTTTCCCCGCAAAAATCTTTTATTGTGTCCAGGAGCATATATTTTGAATTATATTAATTTATTATTTATTTTATCTTGCTAATTAATCAGAAAACTCACTTTGAGAATAATATAAATGGATAACATAACACGAATGTCGACTCGCTTGAGTCTGAATCTCTCAAAACCACATCAAATATCTAATTCGTGTTCATTTTCTACGATTAATACAATTTTTGCTAACCAATTAGCTACAACATTTTTGAAGAGAGATTAGTTAATTAGTTCTTGTTACATTTACATAAAATTTGAAGCTTTCGTATTCATGAATTAGCAACGGTCAGGAAGTTTGTTTAATGATATCTAGAAATAAATTTGGCAAAAAATTAATGTCGGTGCACCGGGTCTGATGCACAGAGGTTTTTTTTGGAGGATACCACACCAACGTGAGGAAAATGACACAAATGTTACGGTATCTGTTAGCATGTCTTCAAACAAAATTAGTACTACTAATTAACTATGTACTTAGATTCTTAAGTACTAACAGGTAACAACTATTTACTTTTGTTTTTGTCTTCTTGATCTTTTGTGTTTATCATTCAACTATCTCATTTCCAAGCCAAAAAAAAAAGAAAAAAAGAAAAAAAAGAAGAAGAAAGTCAACAATCCTTCTCCTTCATCTATCAAAGATGAAACTAGTCCCTCATCGTTTCGATATGTTTTGGGAAATTCTATAATGCGTTTTTTAACTGGTCCATACATTAGTTAACTTGTTATCATGTCGTATGATTTTGAGTTTGACTAACCACTGTTAAATTGAGAAAAAAATCATTTAGAGGCAGGAAGAAAATGAGTTAAAGAAAGTGATAATGCAGTAATCAGTTACTATTTGATACTCCTCCACACCAAAAACTAACCTTTTTTTTTAAATTTTTTTTTTTAAAATTTAAATTATACTACAATTATTTGTGTTGTGGATAACAATGTGAGACAAAAGTTGTATCAGCAACACTGTTTTGTCCGAAACAGAGGAGAAAAATGATTTTTAAAAAATGAAATAAAAGAATCATTCTAAGAAAATGAACAGACAAAAACAAACAAATAATAACTGGCAAATTAATTTCAAAAAAGAAAAAGTAAGAAAAAGAAAACGCAAAACTGCAAATTTTACGGGCGGGAGTTAAAATTCCTTTTCAACAACAAGCCATCTGATGATGCCACGTGGACTGAAATCATTAATTATATGACGTGGCAGAATCACAGAGGAGGTATCTTTTCAAAATTTATTCCAAGTTCTTTTTTCTTCCAATTCAGACTGACCTGTCTCAAATGGAATTTGAATAGCACTACCACCAAAAACCCCCAAAAAATTACTAATAAACTATAGGAAAAAAAATAAAATAAAACCCAATTTCATTTCATTGTCAATTTCATTTCAATTTTCAAAAATCAAAAACATCTGAAACCCATTTCCTCTCACTGCAGTTTACTCCCTTTCTCTCTCTAAAAATCCTCCTAGATCTTTTTGAAACCTTGCAAGAAAGCTATGGCCCTTTTTTGATCATTTGTTTGCTGCAAAAAATGTAAGCTTTGAAGTATTCAGCTGAAGTTCACTTTGTGTTTAGCTTGAATCATTCATTATATTACAAGGGATTTCATCTGGGTTCTTAATGTCAAGTTTGTTTGTGTAACTGTTGTGGTTGTATCATTTTGGGGCTATTTCATGGGTGGAACTGGAAATGTGGTTCTGGGATCAGGTTTTAGTTGAATCTTGGTAAGGATAACGATTGGATCTTTGGGTGGGTTTGAAGATCTAGTTTAAATTAAAAAGAAAGCAGCTTGTCTTCTTTTGTCATGTTTTTGTTTTCCCTTTTCGCGATGTGTTGGATTCGGTTTATGATTTTTGATGCCTTTCTACTTGGGTTGATGATGCAGCTAATGGGTACATTTTGTAATGTTGTTGATTTACTTGATGGGTGGTTTTTTTTTGTTTGGATGGCTGCTCAGCTGTTTTGATTCAGTTAATTTGAAGTATTTGAGTATATGGTGTTATTCCTGATTAGATTATTCTGTGGATGTAAAGATGTTGCATTTGTTACTATTTTGAATTCTTTAGCTAGCGGCTGGAAGCATCAGGTTGTGATGAAATATGTGACTTCTAATTTCTTTTGTGTTTTTTCCCCATAAAAATTGTTCTTCTTGTCTCTGTGCTTCCTTAGCTAGCTAAATTTTGAAGCTTAGCCTGTTCATTTGTTTGTATCCTGGTTTTTGCGCTGCAAATCAGAATGAGAACCCTCAATTTAATGTTGCACGGTATTGTTTTCTGCGGGCAAATATGTTAGAGGTCTTTTGGATGTGTTTTCAAAATTGTTTCATGTCATTTTGTGTTTGCTGTTGCTCTTTTCCCCTGGTAATTCTTATCTATGCAACTGTTTTGGGGACTTGCAGAACATGATGGACATGGATAGTGTTATTCGTGTTTCTGAGAATGGGGGAGGATTTGAAAATGGAGTTCATGAAGAACATTCTGTAGCTCAAGAACAGGTAGCTACTGAAAAAGTTGGCATGCCGAGATGCGTCCCTGAGATGGATGAATTAGTTTCGAATTTCAGCTACGGCCTGAAGGTGAGAGTCATTGAAGATGTGGACTCTTCTGATGAAGTTTTGGCTGAAGGAGCATCTGCTGCAGATAGTTCACAGGTAGGTGATTACCCCCCACCCACAAAAGCTGAAGCAATCAAGCAACTGGATGTTTCTTTTTGGACGTAAGTTTATGTAATTTTTATTTTTCTAGGAACATGGTGGTGAAGAGTTGGAGTTGAAGAGTGAAAAACATCAAAAGGGTCCAGCAAAGAATAACATTGGGAAGCCCTCACATAGTAAAAATGCCTCGGTGACGAGTATTAGGAAGAGTAAAGACAGTGCTTCGAATGGGATGCATGCTTCTGAATCAAACCATAAGCAGCCACTTGCCAAATCAAAGAGTAAATCAGTCAATGACCGGCAGGGAGTTCCTACTTCAACAAATCCGAGCCACAGCAAAGTAAGTAATTTTGCGGAAAGTTAATAGCAATGTGGCTTTTCATGGGATTTCATTTTTTGGTGATAAGCAATTTTAACTCTTGTTATGTCTTTAGCAGCAAAGAAGGCATCCAGAAATGAAATCATCTTCGACTACTGATGCACAATCCGAAAACCTTAAGTATGTCATTTCCGACCTCTGTGTCCCTACAATGGGGTGGTGTTTTTCATTGTCTGATTCTTTTGGGTCATCATTAGATGATTATTTTCTTCTATTAACCTGTGACTGTTGTTCGCTATAAGTTTGACCCTTTTATTTCCCGATTATAGGGAAAAATCTAAGCCGAAGGTGCTGAAAACAAGTGAATCAGATAGAGCTGACGGCACACAACCCTTGTATCCTAACTATGAAACTTTTCTTCTTTTCGTTTCTGTTTGGGAAGGATTAAAAATAAAAGAAAAACCATGGATTTCATGGATGGTATAAAGTCCAAATTGTTGCTCTCTTTATTATTACTGCTATGCATTTCTCCTTAATTCGTTTGATAAGGAGTCCCACTGAGGAAGCTGCAAAGCCCCGCAAGCCGGGGACCCTTCCAAACTATGGTTTCAGTTTCAAATGCAATGAAAGGGCTGAGAAAAGAAGAGAGGTCAGCTTTTTGCTCATACTCTCATAAACTTGTAGTCTTTTTCCTGATTCTGTTGATGGATGGAAATGTTCCTATTACAGTTCTATTCAAAACTAGAGGAAAAGATCCATGCAAAGGAAGTTGAGCAGACCAATTTGCAAGCCAAAACTAAGGTATGTGTTGTGCGTCGTTTGTTGTCTTCTGTTAGTTCCAATTTGTGAAGTGCTATTCGTTAATGGTGGCATTGACTTCTCAACTGAGCAGGAAACACAAGAAGCTGAAATTAAAAAGTTGCGGAAAAGCTTGATGTTCAAGGCAACACCCATGCCGAGCTTTTATCAGGAGCCTCCACCTCCCAAGGCAGAATTGAAGAAGGTGACTTCGCATTATTTATAATAAAAAAGTATGTGTCTATAGTATGAAATTTGTGTTTCTGATGTGCTTATGTGCCTTTGGTCTCGGTGCCTTTAGCAAGCATAGTGTTCCAGAACTTTCAGGCTGTCTTTTCTAGCCACTGGAATTGGTCATATAATAGCTTGGAGATTTTGGCATGTGGAAGATCTTAATAGGATGTCAGATGAACTTCGCTTCTGATATATATAAACCTTATCAGAAGGTTCATGCTGATTGAGTTCTGTCTCCCTTTCTCCTATCACGTCTCTGTCCATGTTATAAGCTGCAACTTTTACTGATTTTTAAAAATGCTTTGCTGGAAAATGTGTAAGGAACTTTTATGAGAAATACTTGTTCCTCAGTTTATTTTGCTTAGTAAGTAGGAGGGCCAACCATACATATGCAAAAATTCATTTTCTAGGTCTGTATTCTCGCTTGATAGTTGTATACACCTTTGGTAAAATGCAACGGTCTTGTGAATTCTTGCTGAGCTTAGAACGTCTGCTAAATTGATCTTGCATCCTTGGTATAATCATTCAATATTTTGATTGGTAGAAGTGTGTTTACTTCTTGCATTTAGTTTGATTTGCTAAAACATTTTAACAACTTCACGGGGCCTTTCTAAATATGTGCATCAGAATTTTGATTTCTTCTTTGTTTTGTAGGTTTAATATTTTTATTTCAAAATGTCCAGCAAATCATTTGCTTTGATGATTGCTAGGCTGATGCTGTAGTCAGTGCTATATGTTGAATCTGTATTTGGTCACCAACTCTGTCAATAACTCCAGAAATTTTGTAGAAAAACCCTGGATATCTAATATTATATAACTTCACATAAATAACATCTTGCTTGTTTGATCAGAGAGAAATTCGGGGTAATGTATCGGGTTTCTAGTTCCTCTCAAGCATTGTTACCCAGGGCCTAATCTGCAACTCGTTTATTTATATCATATTCATTGTTAGAATGGTCTGATGCTGTATTTTCCTGGATTTTTAACCAAACAAAATTTTGAGATGAATATTTTGCTGTCTGGAAATGAAGTTATGTTTGGCTCGCTGACAGATAAAAGAAGCAAGTTGCTGAAAGTATTTCAAGGTTGTGAACATCTGTTGAGTGACATTATAAGCCTTGAGTGAAAGCCGGCTACACATTTAGTTTATTTAGGTTTTAGAACTTAGAAGGATGCAAAGCTAATTGGTCTGTGTTCATAATTTGACTTCGATTCCTGTGTCTGCGTGCATGTTTGTCCTTGTTAGTTTCAGATGCTCTGCATGCACTATGCTAGACTTATTCCCTGTTATTTTCAGGAACAGTATCATATTATGTTGAAAGTTTGCTGTCAACGTATAGGGATGCTGTTTGACTGATGCTCTTTGGTAAAATAGTGGCCTTACCATCCTTCTTGACAGCCTGTTGTTGCACAATTATGCAGATACCAACAACCAGGGCGAAATCTCCTAAACTTGGTCGTAAGAAAAGCTCGCCGACCAGAGGTGTTTCTGAAGAAAGTGATGAAGGAAGACACACTGTTAGGTTAAGTTTGGATGAGAAATTACCACAAAACAGCCCAAAGGCTCCTTTATCAGCCATTGTCAAGAAACCTTCACGGAAATCCCTCCCTAGGCTGCCTTCCCAAAAAACGAACTTGACCAATGAAACCAAAAAAGTTCCACCTCAAAAAACTGGCATGTCCAAAGAAACAAGCGACAATGGTTCTTCGATGGACAGGATACCCAAAGAATCAGGTGTATCTGCAGACCCTGCTTCTGAGATAAGTAAGCTGGATCAGGATCAGGAGGAGACCTTAGTGAATGATCCCGTTTCAGTGGAGCAGCATTAGATAGAGCAGCAGGGGACATTGTATATTTATTAGGGCTACCCTCAATCCGACCTGATGCTGTAAAAGAGAGGTATGATATTGATATGATTAAGACAGAATTCATTTCATGATGAACGGCGCGGTTGATGATACTTTTGTTAATGTTTGTTCATGACTGGTAAAAATGTCTATAAATGGGAAGGGCTTTATCGATTTCCATGATTGCTGTGTAATGTGATCCTCAGAATGTTGCTGGTTGTGTTGCTGTAGCATTGACTGGCTGGCCTAAAAAACGAGTTAGGGTTTATATTTCAAATGTGCCTCTTGGTCACAAGTTCAGAATTGGGAAATTTTTGGTTGTTTTTCCTCTTTTTGGTGGGTTTTCTGCCTTCCTTGTAATACTAGTTTGGAAGACGAAATTGTAATGTGGGCTTCTTTTGGTTTCAGTTTGATATGGCTATTGAGCTTTTTGTATTGGCTGCTGGTGCTAAGAATATGGTGTTCCATGAATTTCAAAAACGATGCTTTATCAATTGAGACTTAATTTTAGTCTGCTTTTGTTACCATTCCCTCATTCACCTCGATATTGTTTGTTAGGTTTTTTTGATGGTATTTTCAAAATATTTAAATAATAACTGTCCCATCTTAATATACCTTTTTATATTTTTAATACACTTTTTTACATTTCCAATACAAAAAATATTTAAAAACACACACTAAAAAAGCGAAACAAACATAAAGAGTTCACCAGGCCCTGCCCTAATGGCGTTTCTCCTGTGAACACCATCCAATGCAGATACACCGCAAATTAGTGACCAAAAGTTCACGTCAACAGAAACTTGATATCGGCGTTTCACTAGTAGTTTTTCTCATTTCTGGGTAGTTTAACCTTCTAACCATACGTGTAGTAATGGCACTTATGGGTGGTAGGAAAACAAGGTGACAAGTAGCTTTACATCCTAATTTGCCATGACATAACTACTTTACATTATAATGCAATATAGAAAATTTGCTATGGGATACTAAATGATTCCATCCCATAATAGTAATTTTGTTGTTTTGGACTACGTTAATCAAGAAATAAAATTATGTTTGTTGGGACGAAAATTAAAAGGCCTACTATACTTTGGTGAGTTACATTTATAAAATGGATATACAAGAGTAAACTTTTGAGTACAAACAAGTAGGAAAACGATGATGAAAGAACACAACTGGCAAGAACTATGGAAACAAGAGATGACAAAACAGATCCTTATCACAAACCGGGTAAATTAGAGGAACATTTACGAAAACCACCCCTTAGAAATTTATTTTTATTTTTTAATATCACAAATTATGCGATTTTTCCTTCCTTTTTCGGTTCTTACAATAATAAAAGAGACCAAGTCTAGAACAATTTACGTTTTAAAGATAAAGAGTGGGATAGGAGATGGACATTTATAAAGGTGTCGGAACTAATTGTTCACTGACTAATGCAAAATACATATATATATATTTCAGGATAGGGGGAGTACAGTATATGAATAGAATCTTATGAGTCGTTTGTTCTCTAAAAGGTGTGTTTATTTTCTTGTTAGACAATATTGACTACGAATGAAAGGTAAATTTTGTAATGTAAAACAACTATCAGGAACCCGCGTGAAGGGTATTTTAAGCCAAAATTGGTCCACACAATTAAGCAAAGATCATTACTTTCTTCTACCCAGTAATCACCCCTCTTCTTTTCTACTGGTCACGCATTTTTTTAATACAAATTTCCTTCTAACAAACACTTTTTTTACTATTCACAATGACATCATGGTACATTAATCATTTTTTAAAGGTTTAAACAAGACTTTTTGTCGGGAAAAAATCAACCTTAATTTGATCGTCTTAAGATTTCTTCTGCCAAATACTCCCTCCGTCCTTAATAAAATGTCATAAAAGACATTTTGATTTTATCATGGTTTCACCTAGTACGTATTTTTAATTGACAAAAAACTTTTTTTAAAAAATATTTTTACATTCGTTGTATTCTCTTGATCGTTATGAAATATTTTTAAGGTTTTTTTGACAATTAAAAATACATATTGAGTTAAACCTAAGACAAATCAAAATGCCTTATATTAAGTATCAGGGAATACATCACCCATGCATAACAACCAAATCTTATTATGATCTTATAACGACTTTTCTAGAAGAAAGTTGGTGTCTTCTTGGTTGAAAATAGAAACATTCACCACTAACAAGTATTTTTCTCACTATGTAAGGTTAGTATGATTACATATTGTTATTGTATTTTATTTAATGCATAAATTTTCAATTTAAAATTTAAATGATATTCACTTCATTTGTAATAGTTTATGAAATACTGACAATGAAAAAAATAGTGTCTTTATTGTTAAACTATATTATTAAAAATATTAACATGCTTATATAAATACAATCATGTGTTACAACTATACAAATATTAATTTTTACGGTAGAGTTTAAAAATAAATAATATTTTTTTAAAAACTCATATAATATACTTTTATGGTCATTAAAAATAGTTAAGAGAAATGGAACAAAATACAGAAAAATAAAATAAAAAAGTAAAAAGGGATTATTTTGTTATTTTTATATATTTTAGGGATTATTTTTAAAATTTTTAAAAACTATTGAAGTATTTTTGTATTTAAATTTATTATTTTATTAAAAAAACTAACGGAGATCTGTTAATTTGGATGGAAAATGGGCCGATTGGACAATCGACAAAAATTTTAAACATTAGGTAAAATTGGCTAACCAAAAATTTATTGAGTATGATTGACAATGAGGGCAAAGTTTTGGTTAAGAATGACATTTTTTCCGCCTATTTAAGAGCGAGAGTTCAGTCATCAAATCGGACAACATAATTGAGCAAAGTTCATTACTTTCTTCCACCCATCCTCATCTTGTCTGCTAGTATTTTTATTTTTTTAGTACGAAGGAAGATTAACAAAATCTCTTCACTTCTTTTTGCGGTTTCAGTAAACTTTCAGGTTACTGTGTCAGCTGCAGTAGATTAAACATCTTGAGTGATCATATATTTTCCAAATTCGTTTGCTTTAACTACTCCGAACCATGGCAGCTGAGTTGGGTGATTGCTGCTAATTTCTCTATAAGGTAGTAATATTTTGCTTGCCATTTTATGGGTTTCCTTTGAATGATGGATTCCTTGAGAGCACTACTAAAAAAAATCGTCCTTACTGACACAGAAAAAATACCATGGCAAAATAGTTTATAAGGTAGTATATTGTTTTGGACGAAAAGCCAATAAAAGAATAGGATTTGATGTTCATTTAGTGGCGGAACTGGAGTTTGAGATTCGGAAAGTCCTAAGCGATTGAGGATTTTATTTGTGGGTGCACTAAATATGATGTGATTATTAGCCAAAAAAAAATTAAAAATTAAAAAAGAAAACAATTTTATAATTTTTTTTGATGGTCTTGCTTTTGAGGGAAAACATACTCCACTAAAATTAATAGAAATGGTCCAACACTATTTGATACAAGAACAGACCGTCCAAAAATGACGTACTCGCGGTATTAGTTAATGCATCAAAGGACTTATATAGATAATAGTAGTTTTTACATTCTTATTATTAAATTTTACAATAAGCGTTTAACGTTATCAAATTTGAAATATTCGTGATTTTGGAATACATTTTAAAAGTTTCAATTAGAATATACTAAGAAAAATTAAAAGTGGTATGAATTAATTAAATTTATATAAATATAAGGGGCTAAAATACTACTGTAGGTTTTTAATAAGGTTGGACCGATAGGGTTCTCATGGAAAATGATGAAACTAGAGATCCTATATACTAATATTTAAAAGTTCTTAAATTGGAGCGTCCTATTCTTCCTCAATCCCAGCCGCTCCGGCGGAAAAGTGCGGCCTCCAAGCCGGCTACTTCTTCCGCCCTGAATAATTTTTTTTCCCGCCCTCCAGCTCCTTTCTGGCTCTTCTCCCTCTGAAACTCGGAGGGGCTAAAATATGCTGGCGGATCCACCTATAGTTCCGGCTGTAGATACCCTATGGGTGTCGCCGGAAAAACGGGGTCAGCCGGACCACCCAGGCGGTGGTTCCGCCCCGACCCATGTTGTATTAAGGTAACTTTGGTTTGTAATTCAGATGAGCGATTTCAATTGTTCAGGGAACTGCATGCCTTTGTTTTTACCCTAAACCCATAATTAAAATAAGACTGTGAAATGAAGATTTTGCTTGAATCACATGCATTATGTATCTTTTGAGTTTTCTGAGACAGCATAAATATATTTATATGTTTGTTACATCTCTACTACTGTTATAGATGAATTGCATGTTTGCTTAAACTGAGTTGATTAGCTAATGTTCCAAAAAATTTTAAGAGTAGACTTCAATCTATTGAACTCTCTTTTTTCCAAAAGTTTTGATTTCTCTTTGGTGTAATTCAACAAATTCTTCACTTAATTTGGAATTTTTCATTTAATTATCATAGGGGTGGTTTGTTCAGAGACAGAATCTCTGATTCTATCTGTAAGGATGAGTGTAGGCGATTTCTCTGCTGTGCTTGAGAAGCTCTCCACTTTAATTGTAGCTGAAGCCAATTTATTAGGAGGGCTTCAACAAAAGATCCAGGGCATTATAGATGAATTAGACCACATGAAAGCTTTCTTAATGTTTGCAGAAGGTAGAGAAGAAGAAGATCCGATGCTTCGAGTCTGTATTTCGCAGGTGCGGGAGGTTGCATACGATATTGAAGATGTTGTGGCTGACTTTCTAAGGTGCTTTGATCGTCATTACGGTTATGGTTTCTTTGGACATGCTCGCAAGATTTTCAACTCAATCAAGAATTTGTATCCCAGCCACCAAATTGCGGAAGAGATACAAGCCATCAAGTCCAGAATCACAAATATATCTGCAACTCATCGGAGGTACCAATCTGAATATGGTACCTTTAACCAACTCTTAGCTTCTTCTTCTTCTTCTGTGAACGACTCATTGCAGGACTACAGAAATCTAGCCGGTCTTGTAGATGAAGCTAAGCTGGTAGGCATTGATCGCCCAAAGCAACAGCTCATTTCTCAGCTCCTTGATGGCGACTCCCAGTTCAAAGTTGTATCTGTTGTTGGAATGGGAGGGATAGGAAAAACCACCCTAGTCAGAAAAGTCCAGGAGGATGCTCATGTGAAAAAGGAATTCCAGATCTTTACTTGGGTGACAGCCTCCCAGACCTGGGATCTAAAGGAGCTGCTCAGAGTGGTTATTAAACAGCTATATAAACAAATCAAGAAATCTGTTCCCGAAGAAGTTGCATCCATCACAAATGCTAGTGAGTTGCATGAGCATGTTACACGACTTCTCCAAAACAAACGGTATCTCATGGTGTTTGACGACGTATGGGATCCAAATTTCTGGCATTTTCTTAAGTTCGCATTGTCTGAAGGTAATTGTGGGAATCGTGTAATTATCACTACCCGGAATGCAGGTGTAGGTAATGCTACCAATGGCGAGTTCCAAAGTTATGTGCATACAATGGAGCCGTTATCTTTTGAAGACTCCTGGACTCTGTTTTGCAAGAAGGTCTTCAGAGGTAATAGCTGCCCTGTCCACTTGAAAAGTACCGCTGAAGGAATACTGAAAAAGAGTAGGGGGTTGCCGCTGGCTATTGCTGCAATTGGTGGTTTATTGGGTTCGAAAGGTACAAGTAAAATTGATGAGTGGAAGTTGGTTGAACGCGGCCTTGGTGGTGAAGATCTCGGTGGTGAGCTTGAGCTAGTAAAAAAATCACTGTTTCTTAGTTACCAAGGGCTTCCGTACCATCTCAAGACTTGCTTACTGTATGCAAGTATTTTTCCGGAGGATAAAAAAATAATTGAAAGGAGACTGATTCGATTTTGGATTGCAGAAGGACTTGTGCAGGAGAAGGCAAAGATGACAAAACATGAGATAGCCCGTGCCTATCTTAAAGAACTTAGTAGTAGAAGCTTAATTCAAGTCACACATCCTCATGACCCATCTCCTAGAGAGTATCACATTCATGACCTTTTGCGAGAAGTTATATGTTCAAAGTCAACTGCACAAAACTTCGCAACCATAGTCGCAGGAGACCGAAGTAGTTTGCCTAACAAGCTTAGGCGCCTGGCGGTCCATGATTTGAGGACGTTTGGAATGATGCCCGGCAATTGTTTCAAGTACCTCCGATCTTTGGTGATATTTGACTCCAAGGAGCCTTTGCCAAAACACTTGCTATCCAGGATGTTATGCAATGGTTCGAGGATACTGAAGGTATTGGATTTAGAAGGTACACAATTGGAGGAAATTCCAGAAGAAGTGTTCCGATTAGTTAATCTCAAATTTCTAAATCTTAGCAAAACAAGAGTCAAAGTCATTCCAAAGTCTATTGGGTCTCTCAAGAATCTAATGTATTTGGATCTACGCAAAACATATGTGACCGAGTTACCCAAGGAAATACTCAAGATTGAAGGGCTCATTCATCTAATGGTTTCTAGTGCTATGGCTTTGCCTTTCGGTGTGGTTACTGGATTTAAAGGTCCAAAGAACATTGCAAGACTTCGTTCCCTAGAATTCTTATATCAGATAGAAGCGAATGAAGTTTTGATTAGAGAGATTAGAGAACTTAAACAATTGAAGGGGCTTGGTATCTACGGCCTGAGAAGAGCTGATGGAAAACAACTCTGCTCCTCTCTTGGAAATCTCTTCAATCTTGAAGACTTATATCTCCAAGCACTAGGAGATCATGAAGTACTTGATTTGGAAGTTATGAACATTTCGTTGTATCCAAGTCTCCGGAACCTGCAACTGTTATCTGTCAGGGGGTGCTTACAAAAGGTACCGCAAATAATTCCTTTGTTACATGAATTGACAGTACTAGATTTGGGGCGGAGCGGGTTGATGGAAAATCCGCTTGAATCTCTTCAGTACTTGCCAAATCTGGAATCACTCATCCTGAATGAGGCATTCAGAGGGGAGAGTTTGTGTTTCAAAGCCGGATCCTTTCCGAAGCTTGAGAAGCTTTGGTTATGGAGAATGCACAATTTGAAATGGATGAACGTGGAAGAAGGTGCAATGCCTAACCTCGGACAACTGAATATGAGATGCCTGAGAGTGCTAGAGGAGTTTCCTTGGGGGATCCAACACTTGATCAGGCTCCAAGTTCTGTATTTGGATGACTTGAGTGATAAAGTGATTGCCCAGATGCAGGATCATGATGTTGAAAGCCAAGGTTATCAAAACATTAGTCACATTTCGAAGATTTTGATTTGGGACGAACAGGATGGATGGTGTAGGCATCCACAGTATTGGAAGACAAGGAAAGCAGGACCTCAGTGAGAAACTGTTTCCTTTTCTTTTTCTTTTTGTTTTAATGTGGAAATTTATTTGTTATCAATCTCTGCCTATTTAGGTTTTCCCTAACCATTTATTTTGTTAACTCTGTGGCCCCCTCTGCTATAGGAATGAAGATGAAAAACGATGGCTGGATTGGGGAGCAAGCACTTCTCACTTATCAGAGTATATATTGAAGCTTTCTCTGTCTTGAGATTGCTAAGAAGATCAATCATGTTCCTTTATGGCTGGCTGTGTAATAAACACCTGTACTTTTGGATTTGATTTCAAATTCACATTTCCTTTTTGTAATGTTTTCACTGTTGAGAATTGTTGTTGTAACTAATGATTCCAAATGGAAACATACGAATGCTACATCGTCATTATTGATGCAGGCATTAAAGACATTGTTTGCAAACATGTTGAGGGGTAAATCATTGCTTCAATATTGGATGTTTTGCTGGTTTTTCAATCTTTAATTTCCAAGCGAAACGACCTCTGTGCACACTTTGATCCAAGAGGGAGCAGATCATGACATTCTTGCAGAATCTCGATCGTAAGCTTTGCTACACTAAACAAGTCTTGAATCCATCTTGAAGATTTGGTTAACTGGCTCAAACTGAAGCAGTTGTTATCGATGTTGCATATATGCTTTCCCAGTTGAGAGTTCCTTGAAACTAGAAAGTCTTATGACCTATCATGTGGAGGATTTCTGGTTCTCGACATTGAATAGATGAGAAGAAATGAAGCCTAAGATTTCAGAATTGGTGCAGAAGACCAAGAAATCTTAAAAGGTCGATGAAATTAATTACTGTTGGCAAAATATCTTTTGTGACACTTTTGTGTTATATTTTATCACTTGTCAAACAGAGTTTTTTTACAGTTTTAGTTATGGCGTTAATAATTAATTACTTAAACACGTCTCAATCATTTAACATCGACATAAAATGTCATAGAAGACCCAAAGCCATTACTTCGATCGTAAAACCTATACTTGTCTTAAAATGTTCATTGCCACTGGGTTTGTCATATTTTGCCACCCTGCGGACTTACAGATAAACCTATCGTTAAGGGGGAAAAAATAAAATAAAAGAAAAATAGTCCTAGCAAACCTCTTCTTAAACAGCCATACATACATTAGTTTGGTAAATTGGTATGTACTCAGATACGAATAAGTGTCCCAACTTTTGCAAGGATTAACATAGTCTCCCAGGCAAATTCAAGTATATTCTAACGAGCCAAAAAAAATTTATATAAGTTTGATAGCCTGCCGTGGTTCTTGTTTGGACAGGAAATCTTCAATAATATTTCTTTCATTTGTCAAATTCAACTTTTTATTTACTTTTATTACAATTTTTCCGCCACAATAACAATAAGAATCAAGCCTTCAAATTCACACTAGATTCCTTACAATGCTGCATTTGATAGTGGGAGGTCTGTATTCGCTTCTTTTCAACCCCATCTGTACTGTTTTCTCTCCCTATTTCTAATTCTTCAAAGTTCAATAGGCTTAGTATTAATCGAATTTATACTTTTTTTCTTGAGAATCAAATGTAACCTAGCGATTAGCAGAGGCGGCTTAAGGTTTAGAGGGCCTAAAGCAAGTTATAAAATTGAGGCCCTAGTTAGATTTGAACTCTCTCTCAAACACTATAATTAAATGTTATTTTTTATATGTATTAACTTTATTAGAATACTTCTAAACTAAGACATTTTTTGTTTAAAGAGATCTTAATAACCAAGACCTTTTTTTTAATTTTTGTTAACAAGTAATTTTAATTTTTTTAAATCTATATATGTTAATAGAGGATGAAAATACTGATGTGGCACTAAATTGAGAAACCCAATTAAGTTGACGTAAAAAAATAGATATTACCATTATATATTAAAAATTACGATTTGACTCAGGATAAAATAATCTAAATATTTAGTTATACCGAATCCTAAAAAAAATCTAAAAATAATTCAGATAATTATTTTTTTTAAAAAAGAAATAAAAATGATATGATATTCTTCAACAAGAGATTGGTCATGTGTAAAATTTAAGGGTAAAAATTATTTACATTATCTTTATAAATTATGTATTATTTGTTTTCTAAATAGGTGGTGGTTGGCTCATATGTTACATCCATGTATAGTAAACAATTAATTATAAAATAATTAACCAAATACTATGATGATCCCATATAATTCAATCAGCATATGAAAATTTAAACAATTTCTTAAGAATTAATTAAATTTGTAAAGTTGATAAGGTTGTAGTTAGTTGTTCCAAAGGTAAAAATGAATCACTAATTTTTTTTAAAACTAGTTTAATTCTAAACTTTAAGTATGTCAGTTAATAAAATAACCTGTAAAATTTTTCAAGGGACCAAGCCAAAAAACAATGTGATTATTTTTTTATTTTTTAATCTTTTTTCATATTTTAATAATATCTCAATTTTTACTAATTGTTTCATACTTTTGTAATTCTTAGTAAATTTTTTTATTGCTTAAAACTTTTCAAATTTTCAATCTTTTAAAAGAAACTTAATAGTAAAACTCTATTGATTTTCTTTTCAAATTATAAATTTGATCCTGTTTATAATAAGTAAACTCTATTAAACTTTTTTACTACCTCCTTTTCGAGAAAAAGAGGTCACATTGTGTTTTAAAATTTATACTAAAAACATTATAAATTTAAAAACTCAATGTGTACTAATTTTTCGAGACAGAACTACTAGTATTTTACGAGTATAAATCACTCATCTCCCTACCGAACACATTTTACACCCATAATATATTTCCCGTGCAACATATAGGGTATACACTAGTAAATAATAAACAACTACAAAGTGAAGGAAAATGATTAATTCATGAATTAATTGTAGAATTGAGAAATTTAAATTTTGGGTTAATTCCAAATAATACCCCTGCGGTATGGGAAACTACGTGAAAACCTCCCTATGGTAAGAAACTATCTAAAAAACCTCCTTATACTTACCCGAAACAGGTAAAATGGATGTAAAGTGTTAACTTTAAAGGTGATTTTGTCTCACGCGTTGATTTGCGGCTGGATAAGTTGAGAAACAGGGAGGTTGAATTTTAATACCCAAAAATATTCCGTGAAATTCAAAATACCTTTATAATTTAACAAAGTACTTCCATAGTTTTGTAAGGTATCTCTATAATTTCACAAAATACTTCTATAACTTGACAAAATACTTTTGTAAGTATTTCTATAATTTCGTAAAGTATATTGAACACTAACTTGTGGTGAATATACATTTGGTTGTTAAGAATACATAAAATCTGAATAAGAACAGCGGAAGAAAATCACTATTGCTCGTTCGATTTGAAAATTTGATTGCAGCATAGTAACTAAGGGCGAACTAGGAAGTTTAGATGTTTTTATTGTTGGGGATTTATCCAGAGAAGAAAACTCGTATGGAACCCAATAAGTAAGATAAGATCCATCTGAACTCAAAAGCTCAAGTTAATGGGTTATGAAACCACCTTACTTATTAACTAATTCACATATCCTTATGCCTCCGATGTGGGATTCATAATCCTTGCCACATGACTCTCAACATTCTCCCCCGTCATGGGCAATCTCCACATCGGGCTTCCAATTTATCTCGACAAGCCCAAATCTGTACTCCACCTGAGTAATTGGGTCGTACATCCCTACGTTTCCGCTCGTAGTGGGCCTTTGACTGCCTGGGTTCAATTAGATCAACCGAGATAATTTGAGTTAAATCACCCACCCGCTTGGCCCAACCTGGGCTCTGATACCACTGTTGAGGATTTATCCTGAGGAAAAAAACTCAACATGGAGCCCAATAAGTAAGATAAGACCCATCTGAACTCAAAAGCTCAAACTAATGGGTTCTGAGACCACCTTACTTATTAACTGATTCACATGTGCTCATGCCTCCGATGTGGAATTCATAATCATTGCCACATGACTCTCAAGATCCATCAATTTTGGAGCTTGGCATCCATTTCACCACTTTCGAATAAGCACTAAGGGGTTTTTAAGATATTTTCTTACCACATGGGAGTTTCCATGTAGTTTGCTATATCACAAGTAGGGGTGTTCACGGTTTGGCTCAATCCGGTGGAACCACCCAAACCGATCATTGGTTTGAATTAACGGCGGATTATAAGTGAATTTTAATCTAGTAGATTTGAAATTTGAAAACTAGTCACACCAGTCCGGATTACTGTTTGGCACCGTCAAATCGTCTATCAAATCGGATCGGACCGTATATATATTATTAAATAATAATATAATGGTTTTGTATATATAACTGCGGACGATGAATTATAACGAAATTGTTAGGCTGTCTGATTGACTTTGTTGTTCCCATCTACTCTTAAATTTGGTTGAGGTTGTGAGTTCGAGTCCCCTCCATGACTAAATTTAAATTTCTCCCATTTTTTTCCCAAACCAAACCCAGAAATTATTTACGAAAGGCCTAAAAACAATTTAGGAAAAACCTAAAAAAGGCCAAAAAAGGTCCAATAACAAAAAAAATTCAATTTTTGGCCCAAAATAGAAAAGTCCAATTAGAAACCCAAATCGCCAATCCGCCCAAACCAATCCGTTTATAATGGATTGGATCGGTCTGGTTTAGACATCAAACCGGTCCGGTTACAGTTTGAAAAATTTTAAAACCATAGTGAACGGTTTGGTTACGGATTACTATCAATCCGGAACAATCGGGTCCGTGAACACCCCTAATCACAAGGGGATCCTTTTGAATTAATCCTTAAACTTTTGGACATTTTATACAATGTGGATACTGTTGAGGGTCATGTGGTAAGGATTATGAATCCCACATCGGAGGTATGAGGACATGTGAATCAGTTAATAAGTAAGGTGGTCTCAGAACCCATCAGCTTGAGTTTTTGAGTTCAAATGGATCTTATCTTATTTATTGGGCTCCATGTCGGGTTTTCTCCTCCAGATAAATCCCCAACAGTGGTATCAGAGCCCAGGTTGGGCCAAGTGGGTGGGTGATTTAGCCCAAATTATCTCGGTTAATCTAACTGAACCCAGGCAGCCAAAGGCCTACTACGAGCGGAAGCGTAGTGATGGGCGGGCCAATTACTCAGGTGGAGTACAGATTTGGGCTTGTCAAGATAAATTGGAAGCCCGATGTGGAGATTGCCCATGATGTGAGAGAATGTTGAGAGTCATGTGGCAAGGAGTATGAATCCCACATCGGAGGTATGAGGACATGTGAATAAGTTAATAAGCAAGGTGGTCTTAGAACCCATTAGCTTGAGCTTTTAAGTTCAGATGGGTCTTATCTTACTTATTGGGCTCCATGTCGGGTTTTCTCCTCCAGATAAATCCCCAACATATACTTGAAAACTGGGCAATTCTACTTCAAGAAGCCTAAAGCGGTTGCTTTTTCTGTTTTGTAGAAGAGAGCCGCCACTGGCGATTAGTACAGAGGGTTTTAAGAAAATAAAGTTGAGATTGGAATTTTCTCACGTATGTATAAATGTAGCGTTAGTTTACAGAGGTGGGTTTGCTTAATTTCTTTTCCAAAAAAAAAAAAAGAAAAAAAAGAAGAAAAAACTCTTATTTTCTTGGTCCTGTTTCTCTAGGCAAAGTTACCAGTACCACCTCATGTACTTTTCTTGGTTAAGCTCAACAGGTTTGCTGTTGATCTGACGAAATATATTAAGGTAGTAATACTAATCAAACACTTTAAAATCTCATCAAATCCAATTAGTGAGGGGCACTCCCCATCCCCAAGTCAATAATTATTCTTGAAATGAGTGGTTGTGGTGTGGAAAATATATACATGGGGATTTGATTTGATTTGATCCCACTTTTTTTTTTCTATTGAATTTTATTAAATTATTGTTAGTAGTGCATGAACATAAACCAACTAGGCAACCACAAGTCGCCTTTTTGTTCCCCTTTGATTACTTTTGTGTCAATATTTTAATCATTTGAGTTCATGAATCTGTGCTTTAATCACAAACATCAATATGGTCCATCTCTTGTTTTCTTTATCCAATCCCCTTTTTAAATGGTTGTTAAAGAAATTTCAATTAGTCAATTAATGTAAGCCCCATTTTCCTTCTTTGAAATTGATATACCAAAATGTCACATCAGGTAGAGTTGAAAATTGAATAGTCTATTTTGGTTGATTATATAAATGGCCAATTGATCATCTCCGGTTAGGGAAAAAGGAACTTACGAGGAAAGTGCAGCTTCTCTTCTTTTTTAATTTCCGTTTGTTTGGCAAACGTTTGTTGTACTTTAGTCAGATGCATTGAACTTAGAAAAAACTAACATTTTTGTTTTTTAATGTTTGATCAGGATGGTTTGATGTGATTTGATCCCCACTTGCGAAAGTGCTGTTTTCAATTCTGTCTCCTCAATCCAAGATTGGGTCACTCAGCCCTCTTTTCCTCACTTCTTCATTGCCCTAATTGTTAAGGAAACCTTCCATTCTCAACTCGGATATTCAGAAATCTGAACCCAGAAAAATTATTTTGAAAGTAGAATAAGGAAAATTAAAAGGACTTTTTTGCAAGCATAAACAAAAGAGTGTAAGAAGGGGAAGCTACTGCAAAATACACAAAAACCATTTTATTTATTTATAACAACAGCTGGAAACATAAGTGAGCTAAGAACATAAAACTATTACATCAGATCAATATCATCATCCTGGCAGTGGTCAAAGCAGCAAAAGGGGCAGTTCAAAAACTAACTAAAGAGAAACCTCGGCAAAACTAGGGCTTGGTAAAATACATCCAAAAAAACAACTCTTTGATCACAAAAACCAAGAGTTGTCATGGCAGCACCACAAAGGCTACCGCCATGGCCAAAGCCCTCGATGCGCGAGGCAACAACGACCATCCTACAGAAAGAACAGCCCCATAAAGCACTATAACCACCGCCCAAAAGAGTTTCATTTTCCAGGATCCTTCCAAGCTCACCCACCAACCGACGCGGAACACTCAGAGAAAAGCTGAAACAAACGGGACAGGAAATAAAACGAAAGACAAACAGACAGATGGACGCAACGGGAGCTTGTTTAACCTAGGGCATTAAATGATGGAAAGGTTCAAGTAATGCTTTAGGTTAGGGTAGCTAAAACACCATCATAAACACAAATCCACCAAAAGAATCTCAGTTTGATCCCGAACTTCAGCACTGTATAAGTCTCTCAGTAAAAGAAATGGTCCCACCAGAGAAAGACACTCACCCAAATTTAAGGGATGGGGGTCCAAAATCCTTGAAACAGCTTTTCCCTTACAAGGAAAAGCTGCAAAAAAAAGGAGGGGGTTTGGCTGGCCATTTTTTACTGGAAAAAGGGAAGGGGGAAAGGGCTAAAGGAACTGGATCAGGAAAGACCTATCAATGGAAGACTCAAAACTAAAGCTACGGAAATTGGTAAAACATTCTCTACTTGTACGCGTCCACCTTCACCGACTTCAGAATTATTTCAACCACCATGGTCTATGACGACACTTGTGGCTGACTAGAAGAGGATATCACATTTAAACAGGATCTCCGAGAGTAAACCAACAGCGTTAGAACTTAAACGACGGCAGTGTTTGATGTTCAAACCGACCAAATTTTGTCCCAGCTTTTTTAGAGAAGGCAGGCTTCTGTTTGACAAGCAAATGCAACCTGAAAGAGATAGGACCTGCAAACTGAGCTGCACGGCTTCGGCAAGAGCTGCGATACCTTTATCCGTGATTTTGGTACTGGCGACACCAAGTTCATGAAGCAAACAGCAGTGCTCTGAAATGGCAAACAAGCTTGCATCAGTCATGCTTTTGCAGCCGTCAAGATTCAACTCTTCAAGTGTGCCACCATGATGCTTGGCTATGGCTGACGTAACTTTGTCAGTCAACTGCATGCAGCCACTCAGATTCACCTTAACAAAACCGGCCTCAGAGTTCTCCACAAGGGGAAGAATCCCTTCGTCAGTTACATCTCCCAGTCCAGTGAGCTCTACGTGTTCAAGATTTGGGCAAAGTTTAGCCAGCACTGAAAGACATCCATTGCCAAATCCCGGGCAGTTACGGACACATAAAGACTTTAGGGAGGAGCAGGGGGCCAAATTGTAGTCCAACCCGAGGGGTAAGTCCTTAAACCCCAAGCAATTGGCTACTGAAAGAGACTTCATCTTTTTACCACATTGAAGGAGCAAACCCAGAAATCCAGCTGGGCTAATCCTGTGGCACTCATCCAACTGAAGGACCTCAACTGAAGCTGCAGCTTTGGCGAACGAGGCCAGTCCATTATCTGACACAAATGCACACTTCTGGAGACTGACACGCTTCAGGCTTGGACTACCTTTAGCTACAGCTTCTAAGCCTACATCAGTGAACCCTTGGCAAGCAGTCACCGAGATAGATCTCAAGTTCGATAGGCCCCGACAATTACCCATCACCCAGAAGCCCCTCTCATTCACATTTTGGAGATTTACAAGAGACAAGTCAGATAAAGCATTGCCATATCGCCCAATAACTGCAAGTGACATATCACTAATGCTCAACGACTCGAACCTTGCCTTTGTCAGCACATTACCATCAGGCTTTAAAAAGAGACTTGCAACGCCATTATCCCCAACACGGGCACAGTTCTTGATTGCGATGGACTTTAAGTTGTGGCAAAAACGAGCAACAGCCTCCAAGCTACCATTGCCAATGTTTGCACAAGATTCTATGTTCAATGATGTCAGATTGGGGCAGTTCTGAGCAATAGCCAATAACGCTTTGTCGGTGACAGCAGGACATTCGCAAAGGTCAAGCTTCTCCAAACGATGACATTCATTAGCAATAGCAATCAATCCTTCATCACTTATAGCAGATAAGTTCCACAAAGACAGGTCTCTTAAGGAAGGGCAACCATGAGCAATGGCCTTGAGACCAAAATCAGTCACCCCACGTCTAGTGTTGCTTCCTCGGATGGAGAGCTCGCCCAATCCACCACGCCTTGCAATTCCAATCGCAATTGCAGCAAGTCTGACATCTGTAGCCTTCTTTCCTTCCAGACACCTGGAAAGATGTCCATCATCCATCATCGCACCATCATCAGCAATCACATCAAGACTAACATCAACGGATTCATCCTCCTTTTTGAGATCAACAATCTCAGATGGCTTCTGGACAACAGGAACAACCTCAGATTCAGCAGATTTCACGTCCCCTGTGTTGGAGCATATCTCATCCGCGCGGATGCTGCTTAACAGTGTAAGCCACCGCTTGGAAACGCAGGCGCAGGCACTTTTCTCTTGACCCCCGGGCAAACGACGGAACACCTCAAAGAGGCATTCATCGGGGAGAACATCAATGGAGGGACGCTTCTGCACAAACCTTCCTTCACGGAAAACAAAAGGAGCATTGACACGAGACCTCTTAGAAGGAGGGAAATAAACCCCGACGTGATGTCCAAGGGACAAAAGCAGACTTGAATCCTTGGGATTCGGGTACATTGAACCACCCATGAAAAACTCACTGTCACCTGATATCAAGAAGTTTGAAAAATGTATCAGAAATAAGTCGATTATGCAATCAAATACAGAAAAAAAAAAGAAACCAAGACCAATCAAATCTAACAAACTATGACAAACGCAACTAAATAAATCATATTCCAAAAAATTCATTTGTTGCTGCAGAACAAGAATATAGAAAATAACATGACAAAACTTTTATAAGATAACTGCAATCTCATCATTAAAACTTAAAAGGGGATATGGCACATACTCACAAATTAAAGCATCCAACTGTGGTACAAATCTGGAAGATATGTCAAACAGGAAAATTACAACCTCAAGCTCAAAGTAAAAGATAAAGGCAAAAGGAATCCTTGAATAGAACATCAATCCTCCATCGAAAGGATCATAGGAAGACCTGATCTATAGAACAAAACAAGTAGTATCCCAAACTTGAACACATAAAGAGGCCCCCTTCTATGGTAAAAAAATAAAAAATAATAATAAGAAGAAAATTATACAATTCATGAGTTTCGAAGGCAGACCAGAGCTGAAGATCTAATTTTAATAGCATACCCCGGATCAAATTCAAACCAAGAGATTCCGGCAACATAATTAACCCTGAAACGTTGCCCTTTGACAATTTCAAAAAGATTCAGAAAACATATCAACCAAGGAAAAACATCGGGCAACCCCCAAAGTTGACAACTTTAAACAAGACCCAGAACGGATTTAAGGATATCTACAGCAGAAATCAGACAATTGACACAGTTTTTTTGCTGAATCAACTGTAAAGGATCAACCCTTAAACCAAACCCATAAAAGAAAAAAAAAACAGTAATCACAGCACAGAATTAAAAAAGTTATATAAATATAGCAGAATCAACTGTAAAGGAACCAAGAATCACAAGTGACCCCTAAAATCACAACTTTAAACAAGACTGATGAAGGAATTAAGGTCAACTTACCACTGAAATCAAACACTTGAGACATCTTGAGCAGGATTGGAGAAGCTGCAACTGAGGAAACCCAACAACAAAAAACCCTCTTCTTGTGAGAGCAAAAAAAGCGAAGCAGAACACAATCAACAGAGCATCAATAAGCAGTGAATGCATGAGCAAAACCCACCCAGAAAAAAAAAATTTAAGAATTAAAGGCAAGAATTCATGAAGGAAAAAACTGAAACAGCAAAAAAGAAACCCTATTTAGAATAGGGCAAAAAAAAGAGGGATGAAGGGTGGTGGGTGGAGATTGCAAAACACAATACAATGAATGTAATTGTGTGTGTGTGTGAAATGGAGTGAGGTCTGTGTGGGGAAGATGGGTTATTATCTTCTGCTGTCAAAGGTGGGGCCTGTGGGCCATTTTCATCAATAATATTTTGGGTTTTATAAATTGGACAGCAATTTTTAAAATGTGGAGGAAAGGAAAGAGGTTTATATTCAATGAACCAAGCACAAGTTGGGTTTTATTGCTTGGCATTCAATGTTTCTTTCCTTTTCTTGTTTTCCCTTTTTTAATAAGAAAAGAAAATAACACAAATAGCCCTTCAAATTTGCAAATTTCTTAGAGGAAACATGTGAATTAGAGGAAATGATGAAAAGAACATTTTTTTTAGATAACAGACAATAAAACTCAACATTTATAATGAAACCATGTAATTTTTTGATAGCCTTCAATTGAGATTAATTATAAAATGAAAAATGTGATGTAGTTAAATTCCTTTTCTTAATCTCATTATAAATCTTATGCCGCAAAATCAAAACCTCTTTCACAGACATAGACATCTTTGCTTTAAATTATTTTTTTTACATGTCTTGATTTTTTTTATCAAAAAATCGACCAACAAGATATAACATTTAGTAGGTATGAGTGGCTTGAATTTTAGAGTTTATATGTTAATTTCACCGAAACTCAGGAGAGGATAAATGAATTGATTAACATTCTCCTCTTCTTTTCTTAGTATTAATTTATGAATATAAATTAAAAAGTTTTTAACATGTGCCAATATGAAAAAGAGACTTGGATCATCCATAAAAATTGAAACAATATAAACAATAATAAATAAATTGTTTTGAACATGTGACAAAATGAAAAGAAAGGGAAATGAACAATTAATGGCAAAAACTAAGCATAAGAATACCTGAGAAAACTCTTGATGCTTTCTTTTGCTTTGCCGTTTGCCCAGAATGTCTGCGATGTTGTAGTGTTCTCATTGTCTATTCATCTATTTAAACACGTGATTTGTGACTATTTGCGGAACTAAGATAAATGCGTGATATTATTAATATTTACGTTTTACCATAGCGGCTGATTTCCTACTAAATTTTGCGATATTATAATATTAACCGTTAAAAGTTTTGCTATACAATGAATCCGTAAAAATAACATTATTGTTATTTATGTTATTACGAAATATTGAGATATCTTATTTGAAACAAATCATTATATGGCTGATATGTAATTATAAACTGAACGTATAATATTTTTCATTGTTTTGTATACCATGATCCTGAGTGTTTTGCTATATTATTGCAGCACTTGGGAAATGGTCCTTTTTCTTATTTTCAAATCACTTAAATGAAAGTTACCATTTGAAAACAAAACAATTTTAAAAATTACAAGTTTGCCTCACCTGAGGCAATGTGGGAGAAGGCAATCTCGCAGTCTATGATGCAAATGTGTACCTATTCCAACACCAGAAAACAAAGAAGATGAAATGGTGGACATGATTGGCTACTAGGACAAAATTGTGATGGTTATTAGGACTTGTCCAAGTGGTTGTCCAATGCCACTTATTGTTAAAGTTTGGAATAATATACCTTGTATACCAAAAAGTTAGTTATACATTTCATAAGATAAGTATTAGTATTATACAATCGACAAAAAAAATACCATTTATTTTTTGGTGTTTCACAAATACATACATACTAAAATATTTATCCATCAAATTTAATTTATTGTAAAACACATACATGTTATAGCTATAAAATATTCATAAATGTAAAAATAAAATAACAAATTAAAGTCCTAAAACGTTATACCGAAGACCTCATAAGTGAATTGTAGATTTGCATGATTAAAATTTTTAAAAATAGGATTAAAAATTACTTTTTTTAATTCGCGTGTAACAACGCTTAAAACAAAACCACCACATATTATGAACCTAAGTTCACGATATGAATTGCCCCAAATAGATCCAATTGAATTCAAAATGCCCCTACCATTTCTATTAAATTGCATGTTTATATTCATTTTTGATAACCAACCCATGTCATATATAATGCACACAATTCAAAATCTGGTCTTGCTAATATTGTTCTAGTGATTAAACAAATGTATTGACCTTTGAGAATATAAAAAGTACCCAATTATGGTACGTTGCACCGTGCGCAACTTGCAGTAATCTAATTTGAGATTAGATTGGCCCTTAATTCATTCATTATTAAGGAATATCTCTAATTTTTATGGACAGTAAAATCCCACTTTCTGTTGTAAATGAGAGCTGGATTATAGGATATGTTTTACTTCTTCTGTCCCAGAATTATTATCTAATTTGAGATTTTACTTTTAGTATAATTTAAACTAAAAATAAAAATTCAAACTGGACAATAATTATGGGACGGAGGGAGTATTATTAAAACCGATGATGGCCTATTTCAGTTGCTTTAGAACAAAATTAAGATTTCGCATACCATTGTAAAAGAAGATAGTTAAAGTGTTAGTAGATAGATTTTGTGTCAATGAAATGAGGTCGACGCGAGTATATCCTTTTTTAGTTTATTTTTCCCCACTTTCTTTCTTCCCCTTGGTTTAAAGAAAAAATATATTGCTGCCTCCAGGTTCATGAAATGTGAGATATCATCAATTTCTTTCAATTTTAAACTGGAGTTTTAGTATACATTCTACATTAAATTATCTCCATATTTATTTAAATAATAGTCTGGGGGTATATAAAGATAAAAAAAAAAAAAAACCAAAACTAGTGGATATTTAAAACCATATCCAAGAAAGATTTTTGGCCATCCATGGACGAAGCATTAATTATTTTCCATTATTTAAATCTCATCCCATTTTTATTTTGGTGAACTCAATAATATTAATCATTTTATAAATCACTTTCCAAACAATACAAATTACAGTAATTGTCAAAACATTATCTTACGGATTTAAAACGCAAATTATACTGAGCACCCGGTGCGCTCAGGTTAGAGCGCATCGGGCTGGCAGACTGTTTTTTTTTTCTTTTTGATTTTAATTTTATATTTTAATTTTTTTAACCTTATAATTTTTTTTAATGCAGTTTCAACCCCATTTTTTACACACCTAATTAATAGGTTACGTTTTAGTGTGTGATTTATATTCTTTTAATATTACTTTATTTTAAAAACGAAAACTGTAATTTTAGGACACATATGAAGTACTCAAACAATATATGTACAAGTTGACAATTGTTTGAAATTTCCCGAGATTAAGGAGTGCCCAAATCCATGGAATTAGTGCACAAAACTAATCTATAGACCATCCCTTCCGGCGCCAACTTGGCCATTAATCAGTTTTTGGATTCATGAATCATCGTCATTATCTATCATCATCCTGAAGCAAAGGAAACATACGCCTAGGATCGATGTGATGTATGAAAAATTTTCTTCCTGGGACAATCAAATTTTTTTCCAGGTCATTATCACAAAATTTTATTCGCAATATTCATCCTCCACTTTTGCAAGTTGCATATGTTGCAGATTAATATAATTGATTAAGAAACGTATGTCTTCATATGACCATCTTAATTGTCTTCGGTGAACGTGAATGCCCCATTACCATACTTAGAAAACTAATCCAATTTTAAAAGTTAAAATCTTAAAATCTGAATTATGTGATTTATATCATTTAAAAATCATCATATAATCCGTAAGTAACTCCATTTTTCATTTTAATTTTTTAATTTGAAAGATTAATCCATCTCATTTATAAATTTTAATTTTCCAATTTAAACTATTTTTTTCATAATAAAAAAGTATAAAATTTTAAAATTAGACTTATACGATTTATATAATCTATAAATTCTAAAACTATCGTACAATTGATGAGTAGATATGATTGTATTTATTTATTATTATTATTTTTAATTAAAAAGATTATTTATAGATGTTATTCCTCAAGGAGAAAAAAATGCGCTACGACTCACCAAAAGATTTTGTGAAAGAGTATCTACCGGAGCCGGTCCATTTAACTTTAATCAAGCAATTATAGGTTACTAAATTGTACTGTCAAGCGACCTTATAAAACTCATAAACTTATAATAATATGACAATTAATGAAGTCCCAAAGTAAGAATCCTATTAAGTTTCATTGCTTTTTTAATACAGTTAATGTCTATAATTTTTTTTTTTGTTTTTCAGTGTCGAATCTCTAGTTAGCCATCATTTCTTTTAATCACAATCTTTACTTAAATTGACTAATTAGGGAAGCGTCTTCCTCTTGTGCTTGGCCTGCCGGCAGCCGGCCTTCATGTGTGCCATATGCAAACCAAGACTTTAGGCATATGAATTGGTACTTGACCACGATATTGTTATACCCTCTTCATTTTATTTTAGTACTCTATAATAGTGTATTGTTTTAATTTAACTAAATGGACTATACAAGTAAAAAAAAAAAATAGATTACTTAAGAAAAATTAATGAGCTAGGAGACCTCTTGGAATAGTATCTCTCTGTGAATGATGCCATGCATGTCGATAAACAGAAATACAGTTGATCGGTATAAACTAATTTTCTGGCTTTCAGAAAAATGATTATACAACGCAAGAAGAAAACGTAAAACGGCAAGCGCTTGCATAGGTATCCTATTATATCCATTAATTGGCAAGAGAAAAAAAAAAAAAGAAAAAAAAAAGTTCAGTTCCATCGTAAGTTCAAATCTCTCAGCAGCATACCCTGATACACATCCATTAATTAATGTACGTCATTTATCACTTCACAATGGTTATTAAAACGTCATTGTTTCGATGGTGGCACGGCACCCATACAAGTGAGACACGCCATATATATATATATATATATATATATATATATATATATATATATATATCATTCACGAGGCATTGGATCGAAATAGCTTTCTTTCCTGTGAAGGATCCAGAGATCAGAGATCCAGCCATCCAATCTAATATACGTAATAAACCAAAGTATTTTATTTATTTTATTTTTTTTGGGTCTTACTACTTATATGATTAAAACTCAAAAGTTATAGGCACGTAGATCACGATATCGACGTCATAATAACCGTAACATACTATAAAAAGACTTTTGCTATGTTGTAACATCTGGGATTTGATTCATTAATTGAGAACCCTATTAAATGAACGAAAGAAAAAAAATGGCCTTATGTTCTTTGTCTTACATGGATGGAACGAAACACTTTAAACCCAACATATATATCCCATGTGCTATTTCCTTTGTCACAAATTGATTTTGAAGTGGAACCACATGCGAGTCTATATATAGGCCTTATCACAAATTAATTTTAAAGTGGAACCACATACAGGTCTATATTTAGGTCTTCAAGAAGCCCATGAAGAAGCAACGTATGCGCTAAATTAAGGCAGGCATCTAAGGAAACATGAATTATGAAGGAAGTTCAATTATAAAAAAAAAAGTCAGCAGAAATCAATTAATGGAACTTTGATGCAGAGAAAATGGGAACACGTACAGTGTTTTTAAGTCTGGTCTGAACTTAATGAAGAGAAGAATGACGTTTTAAAAAGAATTTCCACGCTGCTTTTTCATAATGAAGAAGAGAAGAAGATATATATACAACTTAGGAAAAATAAGGACCGGAGTGTCGACATTTTGACCCAGATTTTTTCTTTCTTTTATTTAATTTAATTTTTTTTTTTTGGGGTACAACCGAAGACTTTGAATTCATATATAAACATTAGGCAACGCTACGAACTTTTTGGATCTCCAAAAAAGTGTTTTTTTTTCCCGGTAACAACTACCTACATAACACATAGGTCTTGATGGATCACTTCTAAGTTCTAACAGATTTTATCAATTGATCGAAAAATTATATTGTCCTATTCTCCCAAATATCATCTTGTAACTCTCAACTCTCAAGTTATGAAAAATTGTACTCACGTCATTCCGAAATAATTGTTCGATTTAAATTTTCACCTCAAGTACTGGTTGTACTAAAAATAAAAGTTTCAATTAACAAATATTTGGGACCATCAAAATTTAATTATTGGCTGCAACTTAAACGTCATCCATGTAATTCATCTATATATTTAAAATCGTGTCCTTGAAGGTTTTTGAAAGCTTTTTTTTTTTTTTTTTGGTCCAGCTAATAAAATCATTTTTTTTCGTTTCCTTTTCTTTAAATCTACTTCCGGGGTAATAGTTTTGCATGTTTGATGATTCGATTCTCAATTAAGTGTCTGGGCTTTTTGATATGGTTCGTTTGTGACCTCATTTCGTTTGTGTTCGGGCCGGTTCTTGTGACACTATAATCCTCTAATATGTAGCCACGAAGGCGCTTGGTACATATAGAAGGGATAGCTTCATCATTTGTAGTTTCTGTTGTAAGCAACTCTACTTGCGTATGTAGCTGGTTTTAAATTAACTCAAAAGAGTTATTTATCACCTTGTTCTTCAAATTGAGATTTTTTTTTTTTTTTAATGCCAACCACCAGAGGTGGGTAAATCCACGCCCATTGCAATAGTTAATTCGTTTCTAACATAAAAAAAAAAAAAGAAAAAAAAAGGAAGGAAAAAGCAGTAACTACTTGATGGTAGAAGAATAGCAGATTTCCAACAGAGTTTGCTCGGTATACTTTCTATATAATACTTTAATACTCAAGTTCATTAATTTGATGACAATTTTGTTTTCGTTTATTGTTATCAACTCGGTGCAAGCAAACCTCAGGGTAAAAAAAGAAGGAAAAAGAGAGTTACAATTCCTAGCCTTCTTTTTGTTTCGTATAAACATTTGGGTTCTATATTTGGTTAAGAAACAATTTAAATCTTTTCAAGGTTTTTTTACAACCGGAAAGGAAATGGCCAGTTTGAATATGATGTATTTTTCTGCTTCGGTGAAAGACAGCAGCTCAATCATAGAGTCCTTCCTGCTCCCAAATATCAACAAGAAAATCCACCATTTCCTGCCATCAACAGATTTAAAACAGCATCACCCCAACCATTCATCAAACATGCGTTGCATTTTAATCGAAGGATGAGATTGATGTTTAGTCAATCGCATAGAGAAGATATCACTTTTTTAGATGATGCACCTTGATGACAATGAGAGACTACACATATTTACTCTTTCAAACTGACTAAGGTACTAAAAATGTGTTCAATTTCGGCAAGAGGTACCAAAGGCTCATTTAAAGACACGAATCTTGCCAACATCCCATAAATGGAATCGAAACAGCTCACAGAAAAGGACTTACAGGTAGAGGGATGGGCTGTGGAAAAGGTTTGTTGGAGCCAAGCAGACTCTCGTATGTAGCATTCCAGCTGCAAGGAAAGACAAGTTTTACATTTTGAAAAAGTGTTCTGAATTTCTCTGAGCACGTCAGGTTTAAGATTTCATTAACAATGGTTAAAATTTCAAGTAAGCAGTACGATATGCAGCAACATGGATGAATAATTCGACCTACCACAATTTGGCATCCTGAGTTTCCTTGGGTTTTGTTTTGGACTCCTTGTCTTTGATCCACTGTTGTCTCGTTTGGTTCCAAAGAAGAAGACCTGCCCAAAAGAATTCATCATCAAAATCAAGCATACAGTACTGAACAAAGAGCAATGTTAAACATATGAAGTTGTGACGGGAGTCGAACTTAACCTTTTTTTCAGTTAACCCAAAAGAGAACTTTTCTTCCCACCTGAAACAGTTGGCATTTTACTCTCCTCCCCAAAAAAAGGGTTGGTGTTTTACTCTCCCGAAAAAAAAAAAACAAGTTGGGGTTTTAATTGTATTTTCGTTCTAGTCTTGCTTTTGTGTTCTAACACATTTCCAAAATTGTGTATTTTAGGGGTGTCAATTGGGAAGAAAAAGAGGGAAAACATGATCAAACCAATAGAACGGATATTTAAGTTTAATTGACGGAGATACATCGAAGCAGTTTTAAGTTAACAGAAGCGAATTGCGAAAACAAGCTCACCGTGGTTGACGAATTCGGAAGATTGGCACATGCTGCCGCTGGAACTATTAGGATCGAGCGTCTGAGTTGAAGTACTAATTGACGAAACGCTCCTTTGAGATGGAAACGTGCTGTTGTTGTCCATCTCACATGTGCTGCTACTCCAAAAATCCTCCGTTACACTGGCTTTCTTTACTCGCTGACCTTGAATTTTAAGTCCCTTGTTAGGCTCATCAACGGAAATTATAAGTGGGGGTTTTGCACAACATCCAAGACAACCTCTGCTCTGTTGCAAATCAGGTACACAACCAAAAAGCCTGATTAGAATACACAGTAGACACAAGTAATCGTGAACTACGTCACTGAAAATCCAAGAAGAAAGGCTTTCAACCAAACGGAAAACTTCAGCATATTAGCCAAGCTGTTTGCCCACATTAGAATCAAGATTTTGACAATGAATCATATTCAGTCCATTCATTTACAGAAGATTTTCCCTGAGAGCCAAGGCTGACAGCCAAAAGCACTGTTTTCAGGTCCAATTCCACAAATCACAGACCACAAAATGCAATTCACATGCACGCAAGAATACAAGCCAATCCTATAACCCTTCTTTTCTAATTTGCTCTGCCTGTAATGCAATTTAATCCTCTGGAAGTATAAGTTTTGTAAACAACTGATGTCACTAAACTGCTCCACCCCCAACCAAAAAAAACAAAAGAATATATATAAAATCCGTGAACAGCATGCAACATAAACCAGGAAAGAAAAGAATTCAATTTCCACCATTGAGAGGATACAAAAACTATCAACATTTCAGAAAGCCGTGTAAAAGAACAGCTTTTCCTATTGATATAAGACCACTGAGAGATTTGTAGACAATTCGACAGGGCCATCAGCATCTATTTTCCTAGTTATTGTTATTCCAATAACTCTCATAATAAATTTCCTTTCAGAAAAAGAAGAACTCACGGATACAAAGAAGAAATGTCATTATTAAGTGAAACCTACTACACCCTCCCCTCTCTCCCCCAAAAATAACAATAGAAACAGACTGAAACCAAGAACTCGCAGATAACACGTTCTGATGGACAAAAGATTCATTATAACCTCTTACACTAAAGAGGGCTGCCAATTTTCCCTTCAACTTTTCCATCAAGAAACCAACAAGAGCTCGAAAATATCCTCCGAAATACAATAAGAACCAAGAGATTGGCTTCCTTTGGAGACAAGCCTCCAACTGAATCAAATGACAACACTTATTATTCATTAATTTCTAAGGAGTTGGCTTAAATTACTGCAAACTAAAACAACAGCATTAAGCACAGGGAAACCCAATAAAATACTGATAAATAAACTTTTGACCACTCGCAACAAGAAAAGCAAAGCTTCGGAAACCGCAACAAGGTTCAATCTTTTACCTTTCTATTTTTTTTTCCTTTTTTTCTAACTTATACAGTCACTCAGAAGTAATGCTTGCTTAGACTAAAAGCAAACAAAAATTATATTCCACAACCCACAATCAAAGTAAAGGGAAACCTACTCCAATCAACCTACAGTGAAAACGGGTTATCATCAATTATACCAAAGACAAAAGCTAAAGAAAACTCGAATATTAATATTGTTATCTTTTTTACGTATTCTCCCCAAATTAGCTCCCTTCGTTCACACCCGAAAAGAATCCCATAAATCCATGATGACATAATCACCATCTAAAGTCTCTTTATGAGCTCAAAACAATAAAAATTCCAAGAAAAATCACAGAATCTAGAGAATCAACAAGGAGTAATTATACAATTTAGGGAAACAGAAAATAAAATAAAAACAATCTCAGTGGTAGTCTCTGCTTTTCCACTAGTACATTAAGCTGGTGAGAGATCAAACACTTAAAATTAAAAAGAATGAAAAAGGAAAACTAACCCCATGCATGCAATGATTGTAGAGATCCAGGAAGGAAGAAATCTACAGAGTGGCATTCAAATTCAGCAACTGAAATATATACAGGGAGAACAATTTAGTGTTCTTGACCCACCAAAAGGAAAAACCATAATCAGTCAAAGCATAGATCTTTCACCAAAAACAGCAAAAAGGGCAAACAAATTTAAGGGAGAAAGTGAGAATGGAGAAGGGAAAAAAAAGTGGGGCAAACGAGGAGGAATGGGGGGAAGGTAAGGTTGGTCTGAGTTAGTAGTGTTGTGCTGTGTGTTCTTTGGCTGCTATTGGGATTTTCGGCTGGCCACTTTCTGGGGGAAGCTGGAAAGACGGTATTGCCCTTTGGTCTTGTGGGGTGGGCCTTATTGACATTACTAGTGTTGAACTATTAACTAATTAATTTTTATTTGGTTTTTTTTTTTTGAAAAAAAAAAAAGAATCTCTCTTTTTTCTCTTTAATTTGATTCCCACTTTTGAAAAACAAAAAACATATTACTTGGAGTCTACTTGGCAGAAATTATCTACTGTACCTCACGGTTCAATAAAAAAAATGAAATATAAGCAGTGAACTGATTGGCAACAACATTTTAAACCTCTACTAAAGTTGTATACAACTTGTATGTAGGAGACTATGAATTTTTACTGACAACTTTACTTCTCTAACTTTTTTCAAACGTAAGAAATTATAATTAATACTCATTCCTTTGGTCTCAGAGTGATGGTCTAATTTTCTTTATTGTAAAAATACCACAAACTTAGACTCTGATTTTGAACAGGAATAGTTTCACTTCTTATTGCAGAAAGGTTTGCCAAATAAAGTTGTTTAAACAAGGATGAAGACTTTGTCTACCATGAAGAAAATGAACGTAATCCCAGTTGAAAATTTATTAAATGTAGTTGGAACTTTTTTTTATAAAAAAAAAAAAAAAACAAATTGTAAGTTCATTTAACGGAAACCAAGATACAACTTGATGAGCGCATGCATGGTAGACATATTCTTCAAGAGGCAAGTAATGACATAGCTCGGCATTTTTCCACCGGAAAAGACTATGTCAAATTCATTTTATTCGCTGAATTGACCCCAAGATTCTACTGTTCGTCATGTTCCTGATCCTGTACTTTATTTATTTATTTTGTTCAAAGGTTTTTTTTTTTAAACAACCGTTCAGGGCGTTGAAACTTGAAACAACACATACAAACGTTTATTTCACTATCTAGGATTGCTTATATAAATTACATGTATATCGTCATCGTGTTCTGATTGATACTTTCTTGAAGAAAAGGATGAAGAAGAAATAAATTGGCAACACATAAATTAAAGATAATGAATGACATCATCACTAAAGGTGGAAAAAAAAAAAGAAAAGAAAAAAATAACATTTAGATCACCATCTCTATAATAACTTCTTTTTCATATGTCGCATTTTGTGTTTTCAGGTAGAAACTCAAAATCCTGGTAGATAGATGAAGGCGAAAATTGTCACAAATGTCTTTTTTATTCCAGGCATTCTGAACAAAAGGATATTTCATTTTTAGATATCCAGATATGTTAGGCTATAAAGCGATCGATCCCGGAATCGGAATACTTTGCCGGCCTCTAGCCAGGTGGTCCTGACGAACTTGATATCATCCCATTGATCTCAGGTTGATGTTTGGTTAACCTACATTAATTATGTACACATCATCCATTGTGTTGAGACACACAATAATAAAGTGATAAAAGTAATTTGGTGAGGTGTTATCATGGATATTGGAATGATAAGGAAAAAATGGCAAATTATCTGATGACGATTATCACTCACTTAACTTAGACATCATCGATCGACTACTTTTTCGGCTATATATATATATATGTACTAAACCGCTTTGGTCAATGAATCAATTATTGAACTCTTTAAAGTGATGCATCACTTTTGGTCATTCCATTTCCATCCACTTTTCGGTTTCTTAGAGAGGCAAATAAGCGCTCTTCCAATGAGAGTGGCTCCAGTTGGATCGTCATTTTAGATTGTGAAGATCACGCTTTTGAGATCAAAATGGGCACAATAGATTGGAAACCCTTATATACCACTGAGGGTCTGACGGGTCATTTCGGATCACTCTAGCTCGTGTCACCCGAGCCCTTTTTTTGGATCAAAGTTCTTGCATAAAAAGTCAAGAACCAGCTGCAATCTGTGGGTTTAATTGGCTTCTAAATTGGTGGAATCTATCTCCAGACTTGGCCGCTTCGCGATTGTTACTTTTGGGAGTTGATCAGCTTCATCTTGTATTGACTATTGACCTCACCAGAGCTGCCACTGCCTTCTCAAAACAGTTTCTCCCTCATTCGATCAATTTGGCCATATTTCATTTCAAACTTAGCGAACCTAAAATCAAACTCCTAATTGCGCGCCCTTTGAATGACATTCCACAAAACCTCTGGAAAATCAGGCAAGCTCGATCTACTTGTTAATTATGCCTCAGCTCAAAATTTTTTGTTTCCTTCAAATAAATCTTGTTGTGTGAATATGACAGGAAAAATAATACTCCCTCCGGTCCTTATTTGATGATTTGATTTTACGCAGGGTTGAAAAAAATAAATAAAAATGGAAGAACTAAATTAGGGACTAGCATGCGGCTTGAATCAGGGAGATTTTGCGGCGTTTGAAATCAAAACATCCCGTTTAATTACAATTAAATATGAAGAAATCTAGCCTCCTTTTTTTTTTTTGGCAGATTTGGGGGCATTTGAAATTTGAATGGTGGAAATATTAAATGACGAAATAATGATTTCATTTAGTATTATTACATTTGAAATGACAACACGGTTTAATTAGAGAGTGGGAAAAGGAACGTAATTAATTAAGTGGGTACTTATTCTTTTTCTTCGTATTAACTGAGCAGAGGAATTAACGTAGCTAGACAAAGTAGATTTTCTGATAGATTGTTCTTTCTTATTCTATATATAAAGGCAAATTTAGTTCCCTTGAAAACCTCCTCTGTAATCTAACATCACCTTAATTTTTTGCAAAATTTTGTTCCTTTGGTCTTTCTATATCCCTGAATTGGAATAGTTGTGCAGTATTTTAGTACTTCTCGAGGAGGAGGAGGAGGAGGAATCTCTGGGATTCCACATATTTTTTTTCTCACAAATTCGGAAGCGTTCTCACATTACAATGGCATCAGCTGATCCAATATTATATTCTGCAAATTGTCGCCGGAAGGAATTCGAAGACCTATTACGCCAAGACCCATTGAACAAAAGCGTGCGGATAGAGTATGCCAAGTGGGAGGAGGAAGAATCCCCGCAACACTTGAGAATTGAGCGGGCGCGTTACATTTGGCTGTGCGCCGTGGCAGCAGATCGCAGGGATCATACCATGTGGTCTAACGTTGCCTTGTTCGAGATGAGATATGGGTTCATTGACCGCGCTCGGGAAGCGTGACAGAGGACTGTCAGAGTTTTCCCTGAGGTGGATGAGCTGTGGATTAGGTGTATTCGTATGGAAGAAGTGATGCTTGGAAATGTCGGTGTGGCTCGGGAGATTTTCGAGGACTGGGTGACACGGAGACCAGGCCGGCAACAGGTATGTTAAGTTTGAGCTGAGGCATAAGCAAGTTGATCGAGCTCGGCGCATCTTCCAGAGGTTCCTGGAATGTTGTCATCCACATAATAATGCATTAATTAGGTACTTGGCTTAACTTTGCTAAGTTTGAAGCCAAGTACAGAGACATTGCTCGTGCGAGAACCTGTTTTGACAAGGCAGTGGATCAGCTGATGGCGGTGAAAGACAACGTTCATGAGGAAGGAGCCGAAGCAGCAGAGCAATTGTTTCTGGCTTATGCCGAGTTCGAGGAGAAATGTAACGAGGTCGAGAATGCCCGACGAATTTACATAAAATCGCTTGAACATTTCTTACTCCAGGGGGTTAAATCCGAGAAATTGTGTAGCAAGTTTGTGGCATTTGAGAATCTATATGGAGGAGGAGACAGAGAAGGTGTTGATGAAGATGATATTTTGTGGAAGAAAAGATTTGAGTACGAGGATGAAGTCCGGAAGAATCCATTGAGTTATGATGCCTGGATCAAATATGCAACGCTGGAGAGATTTTCAGGTGGAATGGAGCGAGCAAGATCCATTTTTGAGCGTGCTGTTGATCAACTCAAACTAGACACGCCTGAGTTGTGAAGCAAGGTACGGTTTAAATTCCATTCTTTCCATTTTTCTAACATGAAAAGAATTGCCTAAGAAAAATTTTATGCCTCTAGAAATTTTGTTTATTTGCTGCCGATCTGGATTTGGACATGTCTTCACTGATTTCGGGGTATCCAAAGGGGAGATTGAAAGACGCCGGACCCTAAAGAACCCGACCAAGGTGTTGGGGGAGTGGCTAAACATGGAGAATTGTAGCTTGGGTGAGGTCAATACTGAAGTTGATCAACCACCAGAGAAATTCGAAAAGGGAAGAATAGAGAAGATGGAGACCGTTGTTGAGGATGCGTTCCCTGAGGAAGAAGAAGTATAGACCAGCTCCAATCTCTAGAATTTAGAAGCTCCTTATTGGGAGAAAGAAATAAAAAACTAGTTGAAAGTGAAAATTGAAATTGGCCATTTTAAATTCTTTGTTTTTATATAGTATTTTATCAAAAGAAAAGGTTATGTCGTCTTTACTTTCAGTTTTGGATGGACAACTCTGGTTCTCTGTCTTCTTTCCATGCCTCATAATTTTCGATCAATTGTAGGTAAGTCCCATACTTTTAATTGGTCTTGGAATGGTTCATTCCTATGTTTCACACATAGTGAGGTTCATAAGAAATGTGGTCATTGAAAGAAGTAGGACCCTAAAGAATCAGACCAAAGTGCTGGAGGGAAGTTATTTCAAACACGTATTTCATTCGAAAGGTCCATTCTAAATCACGGCAGAGGGAGTTTCTAATTCTAGTGGAGCTGCAACAATCAATGGAAGACCATGCTTTTTTCGAACCTGGATCCATTGATCTACCTGGATTAATGGAGAGTGTCTCCGTGGATGGATTTATTTTAAGGTTAGGTTGCATGGGGTATGGAGATTTGTTATGCGTAGAAGGTGAGGATAACACGTTTCACTTGTTAAACCCCTTGACAGGCCAAACTCATATCTTGCCGCATCCTTTTAGGGCGTATGATGATTATTTGGCATTGAACATAGCGTTTGCATTAGGGTTCGTGGATCACACAAACCAATACGTACTAGTGAGCATCCATCGTGTTTGTGAAGATCAATCAAGGCGGGCTACCAAGTTGCATTTTGAATGCGATATTAGAAGAAGATCAGTTGGGTTGACCGCGGGTTGGGGTGAGATTGAAAAGGATTGCCCCTGCGAGGTTGATCATAATGGCATATTGATTGACAATTCTGCTTTTTGGGTGGCAACAGAGAAGGACACCTAACATATTACTCCAATTGTCGCACTGAATCTCTTGGAAGAGAGATTTGAACTCATAAATGGCCCTTCAGGCTGGAATCCGAAATCCAGGCCCAGTCTCGCGGGAATAAAAGACAGGCTCTATATTATTCTTATCCACCCCAATGATGATGATGATGATGATACAAGTTCAGGAAGTGTACTAACTATGTGGGGAAGGATCGGGTCCGATTGGTTAAAAATGCACACAATCAAAGTAAACTTTGAAGCCCTAGTGTCGCCAAGGTGCTCAGCGGTTGGACATTTGATACTTTACGAAGTGAAGCGTGATTGCAAGAAGTTTCACCTACTTGACCCAGAAAAAGGAATGTATGATCTCATTTCGGACATGAGTTTCCCTTTGCAGAGCGAGTTAGGTTTTTATTTTGAGGGTTTTCGTGCATTGGGCAAAGTATATCGCTGAATGCATTTTCTGATCTTCGTTTATGTAATGATTTTAATATCCGCAGTAATTGATATAATTATTATTAGTATTATTTTTAAGTTTGTGATTGTATACATAAAGATTGGGCTGCCTTTGGAGAAATCAATGTAAAAAACTTGCTCTGATGTATGGAAACAAACAACAACGCAAAGAATAATTATTGATTTGGAAGAACAGAATAAGTACATAACCGGCAACCGGAACCAACAAACAAAAACACATGATTATCTTCATTTTGAACCTACTTTCTGATCTCATTTTCCCAAGAAGCATCTTCTGAGAAAACTAGAAATTGGAATTGGTGTGAGGTTCTTCTTCCTCCGCGGTGGTATCTGTCTCCAGCCCTTGTTCACCTTGGAGTTTTTTCGGGTGTTTACCGGCATCGCAAAGGATGAACTTCTCCATGTTTCTCCATGTTTAGACTCGTTTGCAAAACTGATTAAAGTGAAAGAGTTACCTTGGTTAACAACTCAGGGGTGTCTAGTGCGAATTGATCAACAGCATGCTTGAAAATGGATCTTGCTCGCTCGGTTGACACCTGAAGATCTCTCCATTGTCGCATATCTGATCCAGGCATCATAATTCAACGGATTCTTCCGGACTTCATCCTCATACTCAAATCTTTTCTTCCACAAAATTGCAACTTCAACACCAACTCTGTCTCCTCCATCATAACGCTTCTCAAATGCCAAAAAATTGCTGCATAATTTCTCATCTATTCCCCCTCTACGTAATATATGGTCAAGGGAAAATTTGTAAACATGCCTGGTTTTCTCGACCTCTTTGCATTTCTCCTCCTCAAACTCTGCATACGCCACAAACAACTGCTCTCCTGCTTCCTGATTGTTGCCGGCCATCCATTTCTCCAATGCTTTCTGAAAACAGTTTCTCGCGCGATCAATTTCTCTATACCTCATTTCAAACTTAGCGAACCGAGACCAAACACCTAATGCATCATATGGATGACAACATTCCACAAACCTCTGAAAGATCAGGCGAGCCCGATCTACTTGATGATGCCTCAACACAAAATTAACATAGGATAACCACCCGAGTTGTTTGCCTGGTTCCCGGGTCACCCAGTCCTCGAAAATGAGCCGAGCTCCGAAAACATTTCCAAGCATTTCTTCTTCCATGCGAATATAACTACACCAGAGCTCATCCACCTGAGGGAAAACCTCGTAGGTCCTCTGCCACACTTGCCAGGCACGCGGTCAATGAACCCGTTCCTCACCTTGAAAGACGCAATACCAGTCCACATTGTATGATCTTTGCAATCTGTGGCAAGAGCTCGTCGCCAGATGTAGCGCACCCCCTCCATTTTGAAGTCATATGTATCAGGGGTTTCTTCTTCCTCCCACCTAGCATATTCCAGCCACACGCTTTTGTTAGAGCCGTCTCGGCTTAATATCTCTTCGAATTCCTTCCGACGAGATTTGGCATAAGTTCTCGGGTCAGCGGGAAGCTGCATTATTTCCTCTGCTTCTTCCGGCTCGTTCTCCGCAGCCAACGTCTTATTCTCCTGACGGGTCAAACTAAAGACTTCCCAAGTTTTTGTAGATCGCATTAGTATTTAGTTTTGAACATAGCATTTGCATTTGGATTTGTGAATGATACAAACCAATACGTACTAGTGAGCATCCATCTGATTTGTAAAGATCGATTAGGGAGGGCTACTAAGTTTCATTTTGATTGCGATATTAATGATAGAGTTAATGTTAGCTCGACATCAGGTTGGCATGAGATTGAAGAGAATTTCCCCCGCGAGGTTTATCAGAACGGCATATTGATTCACAATTCTGCTTTTTGGGTGGCAACAGAGAGGGAGACCTACCGTACTACCCCAGTGGTCGCACTGAATCTCTTGGAACAGAGATTCGAACTCATAAATAGGCCTTCAGGATGGGATCCGAGTTCCAAGCCGAGTCTGGCTGGAATAAAAGAAATGCTCTATCTTATCCACCACAATGATGATGATACAAGCTCAGGAAGCAGTGTACTAACTCTCTGGAGAAGGATCCAATCCGAATGGTCAAAAAAGCACACAATCAGAGTAAATTGTTTTGAAGCCCGAGTGTCGCCAAGGTGCTCAGCAGTTGGACGTTTGATACTCTATGAAGTCATCAGTGGTTGCAAGAAGTTTCACCTACTTGACCCAGAAAAAGGAACGTATGATCTTGTTTCGGACATGAGTTTCCCTTTGCAGAGTGAGTTAGGTTTTTTAATTTTGAGGGTTTTCGCGCATTAGGCAAAGTATATCGTCCAAAGTGTTTTTCTAATTGATGTTGATGCAATGATTTTCATACTCATATATTGTATAATTATTATTTAGTTTTCTGATGAGTCCATATCCACCGAGAATTACTGGACCGGCCCATCAACCAACTACGGTTCAACCGACCTGATAAAGGCGGTTCTAGAACATGAAACCTAGTAGGATTCGGCATCCTTCAAGGTAACTTCATGCCTATAAATAGGGCACCACAATACGGGTATGCTATCTCTAGCAAAAACTACTACTCACATACGTTCATTAAACCCTTTTCTGACTTAAGCATCGAAGTGTCTACCTCCGGAGGATCCCCGAGATCTTCTTTTGTAGTAAACCCTAGCCGGAGTTCCATTATGAAGCCGGCGGTGTAAAATCAAGCTTCGCCATCTTCCTTCACTGCGTTTTATGAGCAATATAATATCATACACATTCAAATTGAGAAAATAAATAAAATCCACCTAGTAACACAAATTGACATGAAGTGATGGACCAGATAAGGATTTGGGTGCCTTTGGAGAAAATAATGTAAATATTTGGGAAGAAGCAGAGTAAACTACATCAACCATAATAAAAAAGGAAAAGCTTCACACCCGAATCCATCCAAATTAAATTTAATAAATGAAAAAACATGAAATTTCAATTGGACTAGAAATCGGAATTGGTGTGATCAGGTTCTTCTTCCTCCGCGGTGGTGCCTATCTCCAGCCTTTGTCCATTTTCCGGGTGCTGATCAGTGTTGGTACTGACCTTGCCAAGGATACAGTTCTCCATGTTTAACCACTCTTCCAACACCTTTGTCTGCTGCTCTAGGATCAGACGGCTTTCTAACTCGCCTTTTTTGGGTCCCTAATTGAAAGCAGTATAGGGTCTGTCAAAATCGAAATTGTGTTGAAAGATACTACTCACTCTGTCCCAAAATTATTTTTCATTTTAAATTTCTATTTGCAGTTCAATTTGTACTAAGAACAAAAATCAGAACAATAAATAATTTTAGGCTGGAGGGAGTATAAACTACTAAAAATGTTTACCTCGGTTAACAACTCAGGGTTGTCTAGTTCGAACTGGGCAACAGCACGCTTAAAAATGGATTTTGCTCGCTCCGATTCACCCGAACATCTCTCCAGCGCTGCATATTGAATCCATGCATCATAATTTAGCGGATTCTTCCCAACTTCATCCTCGTACTCAAATCTTTTCTTCCAAGCTGTAGCAACCTCCATCCCTTCCCGGTCGCCTCCATAACGCTTCTCAAAATCCCCAAATTTGTTGCATAATTTCTCGGCTCTTCCCCCTCCTCTGCGTAATATGTGATCCAGGGAAAACGTGTAAATGAGCCTAGCTTTCTCGACCTCTTTTCATTTCTACTAGAACTCGGCATACGCCACAAACAACTCCTCTGCTGTCTCCGGATGATCAGCTGCTGATGCTGCCAATATCCTCTGCTCCACTGCCTTCTCAAAACAGGTTCTCACGCGAGCAAAGTTGCCATGCTTCATTTCAAACTTAGCAAAATTAAACCAAGCAACTAATGCATTATGTGGATGACAACATTCTACAAACCTCTGAAAAATCAGGCGAGCTCGATCTACTTGATGATGCCTCAACTCAAACTTAATATAGGATAACCACCCCTGTGTTTGCCCTGGATTCAGCCTCATCCAGCGTTCATAAACTTCTCGAGCTCCAACAACATCACCCAACATTTCCTCTTCCAAATGAATATATCTACACCACAGCTCATCCACCTGAAGAAAACCTCGACGGTCCTCTGCCACACTTGCCGGGCACGGTCGATAAACCCGTTTCTCATCTCGAAACACGCGAAGCTAGACCATGTACTAATCTCTGCGATTTGCAGCCAAGGCTTGCCGCCAAATGTAACGCGCCCGCTCCATGTTGAAATCATAAGTATCAGGGGGTTCTTCCTCCTCCCACCTCGCATACTCCAGCCACACGCTTTTGTTCGACCGGTCTCGGCTTAATATCTCTTCGAATTCCTTCCGACAAGATTTTGCATAAGTTCTCGGGTCACCAGGAACCTGCATTATTTCCCCTGCTTCTTCTCCACAGCCAGCGTCTTACTCACATCTCCCGCGTCCAACCTAGATGCCATTGTCCTGTTTCAGATAGTTGTTATGCTTATAAGAATCAATATAAGATGAGAAATGAGGAAAGGAATTTGTTGTAATAAAATGTGTATTTGTGGAGGTGTTTTGGTAGAACTGAAGTAGGAAGTAGTAAGTATTAGTAGTAAAGGATGAGAAATTTGGTCAATATATATAAGAAAGAAAAATCTACCAAAAAAATCTATCAATTCAAGTTTAATGCCGAATTTAAGTTCTAATTCAAATTCGAAACAGAAATTTAAGTGAAATCATTATTTCGTCATTGAATATTTCCATTAATTCCACGCTCCATCAATGGCTTACATTCATCTTGTACTTCCTAATGGAATGAAAACGGAAATGATCAATACAGCATGCGGCCTGTAGGGGGGAAAGAAATTTAATTGGGGACAAGATTACGCTAGCGTACGCCCATGTTTCACCAGCCCTACAATCGCAACAAGAAAGTCAAATACGATCGGAGACGTGATTGCGAACCAGATAGAAACAAAACCCAGCTGGAAAACGTCCTAATCAGCTATTAAAACAAACAAGGGGAATCCGATACTGAAATCACTACAAAATGTACAGCAAGATTGACGATAAAAGTGAGAAGAAACAAATTACCTTGAGACGACGAAAAAGAGAACAAGGAAATCGAATAGAATAATACTTACTGAATGAATAGGTTGGGTTTACAGAGAGATTCTGTTTAAAGAAGTATCCGATTTGAAAGGATTAAGAAGTAAAAATAAATAAATGATAAAAGAAATAAAAATAGTTTCGAAGAGATCAAGAAAGAAAGGGAGTAAATCAACGGTATTAGACTTCGTTCGTGACGATATTATTCAACTCGATTTGGAAAAAAACTTGAGGAGGTTTGTCCGTACGAGATTGATCAAAATGGCATACTGATAAATAAGTCTACCTATTGCATGGTGGCATCAGAGAAGGAAATCTGTCTGCAGATTCCAATAGTCTCATTAGATCTCATGGAAGAAAGTTTTGGATTCATAGAGACTAGAGAGTCCTTCAGGATGAAATCCGAAATCAGAACCAACTCTGGCTGAAGTAAAAGAACAGCTAGCTGTATCTCATCAACATTGTGTACTAAGTATGTGGTGATGGATTCAATCCAATTGGTCAAAAAATGGATAGAAAAACAATGAGGATTTTGGAGGTCCAAGTCTCACCTAGATGCTCTACGGCTGGAGTTTTGTAGGATTGGTTGTTAGAATATGGAATTGCCTCAAAAAAATAACTTGTCTTATTTGTTAACGGAACAGATTCTTGGAAAATTAGATGTGAAGAGTGTGTTCAAGTTTCGATTGGTTAGCAAGCCATGGAAGGCTATTATATCCAACGCACATTTCATTTATAAGAAACTCCATCGTCGATTGTGCCAGAAGGAGTTGCGACCAGTGTTTAGAAGAAAATTTTGCGGGCGCGGATCGTTTAATCTTCCTGGAATGAGAAATGTCTTTGTTAAAGGACTTGATTCACTTTGGGTTGCTTGGGATATGGAGGGGGTTTGGTATATGCTGAAGATTCAAAAGGGTCATTACGCCTGTGCAACCCTTTGACATATCACACTTATACCTTGCCACGTTCTTCTGAACTATTGAAATCCTCATCCACAATCAGAGCTTTTGCATTTGGGCAGACAGACCTCATTACAGATCAATATGCGCTGGTGAGTATCCATCGTTTTAACGATGGATCAAAGAAAGCTACCAAATTACGCTTTGCTTGTGACGACACTGTTGATTCGATGTACGTAGTGGAAAGAAGTTGAGGAGCTTTGCCTTTGCGATGTAGATCAAAATGGCGTGTTGATAGACAACTATGTTTTTTGGATGCCATCAGGAAGGGACATCTATCTTATGACCCCCATACTCACTCTGGATCTCGCAGAAGAAAAGTTTTGCTTAATAAATGGCCCTCCAGGATGGAACCCAAATTGCAAGCCCAGGCTAGCAGGAGTTAAAGGGAGGCTATACCTTATTCAAAATGACGCCGTGAGTTCCAAAAGTGTACTAACTATGTGGAGATGGAATCAAAATTCTAATAATTGGTCGGAACCAGATGAAATCAGCATTGAGTTTGAGGTTCAAGTGTTACCTAGATGCTCATCGTCTGGACTAATCATACTTGAGTCTTATCTGGAAGGGCATAGTGGAAAGAGATTTCACATGCTTGATCCAGAAACAGGAAAGGTTAGACTAGTTTCTGAAATGCATTTCCCTTTAAATACGGAGTTAGGTTTCTATTTGGGAGAGTGTTCACTCACTCAGCATACCATGACCTTGAATATACACCTCTTTTATTTCCTTTGATCTACTGTATTTCTTTTTCTATTATAATTTTTATAATATTGAGAAGTACATACAAAGAAAATTTTACAGAAAGTTTTACAGGGAGGCTGTGTCTTAACTATTCTCTGCCCGTTTAGGTAACTATGGACAGTTATGATTCATTCTTTATATATTTTCCTTGGGATTTTTCCCTACAACAATGATTATTCTTTTTTTAATAACAATCAGGTTTCGTTTTTTTTACTAAGTGTTAGATTGTATTAGAAGACCCTTTGCAGTTTTCATTGGATGGATAGTTTGTCTAATAAGATCATGGTAGAAAAAGGAATTGAAATGTCATGAAAAATATAAAACCATGTGAGTCTACACCTTTTTTCAAGATCTACTAAGAACTTCACCCACGAGGTAGATTCATTGCAACAACCTGATGATGAATGTCAAAGGATACTGCGACGGCAAAGTGACATATGCAGAAATTGATACCATAAAAATCTCCCACGCCTAAAATTACAAACATCTCTTTAAGAAATTAACAGACAACGAGGACAAATAACAGAGTTAATAAACGAAAAGTGAATCCATATGCAGCTTCTAAAATCTAGAGATTGGAGGAGCAGCCGGTGCTTCTTCTTCGACGGAGAATCCATCATCTATAAATGCCTCTATCTTCTCCCGTAGTTCCTTTGAAAGTTTCTTTGGCAGTTGATTACCATCAGAAGTAGCGCTGACCTCACCAAAGCACTCTTCCAACACCTTTGGATTCTTTCCCGACTTCATCCTCATGCTCGAATCGTTTCTTCCACAAAATAGCATCTTCATGAACAGCTTCTCAAATAGCATCTTCACCTTCTCTGTCTCCTCCTCCACACAGCTTCTCAAATGCCACAAACTTGCTACACAATTTCTCGGCTTTTACCCCCTTGTGTAAGAAATGTTCAAGGGAAATTTGGTAAATACGCCTGGCTTTCTCGACATCTTTGCATTTCTCCTCCTCAAACTCCGCATATGCAAGAAACAACTTCTCTGCTGCTTCCTCATCAACATTGTCTTTCATTGCCATCACCTGATCCACTGCCTTCTCGAAACAGGTTCGCGCTCGAGCGATGTCGCCATACTTGGTTTCAAACTTAGCAAAGTTAAACCAAGCAAACAATGCATTATTATGAGGATGATGACGACATTCCACAAACCTCTGGAAGATCAGGCGAGCTCGATCTACTTTGCTTATGCCTCAACTCAAAATTAACATAGGATAACCACCCGATTTGTTTGCCTGGTTCCCGGGTCACCCAGTCCTCAAAAATCTGCCGAGCTCCGACACCATTTCCGAGCATTTCTTCTTCCATGCGAATATAACTACGCCACAGCTCATCAACTTGAGGAAAAACCTCGACAATCCTCTGCCACACTTTCCGGGCACGGTCAAAGAACCCGTTTCTCATCTCGAAAAATGCAATGTTAGACCACATTGTATGATCTCTGCGAAGCTCCTGGAGGGCTCGTCCCAGAATGAAACGCGCGCGCTCTATATTAAAATTGGGAATTTGGGGGGCTTTCTTCCTCCTCCCATTCGGCATACTCCATCCACACGCTTTTGTTGGAGGGACCTTTGCTTAATATCTCTTCGAATTCCTTCCGACGAGAGTCTGCATATTCTATTGGGTCAAGAGAAGAGACTCCATTGCCTCTGTTTCTTGCCGCTCAGGAGTTTCATTCGACACAGATACCATTGTTAGTCTAAGAAAGCTTCCGACATTGAGAAACAAAGATGAATTATTGGAGTTTCCTTCTCCTCAAAAAAAAAAAGTACTAAAAACTGCACAATTATACCAACGACAGGGGCAGAAGAAAGAAACAAAAAAAAATTACTTGATGTATGAAGGTGTTCTGTTACTGAAGTGGGAAAGGAAATTAAAAATGAATTAAGAAAAGAAAGAAAAATCTATCGATTCAAATTTAACCAATAATGGAATTTAGTGTAATTCTATTTCGTTATTGAATATTTCCCACCATTCAAACGCCCAAACTGATGGCTTAATTTCTTCACACTCCCTAGCAAATCATTTGGAAAAGAAAAAGAAAAGGAAAAAGAGTACCCAATTAGTTGCATTTCCTTTCCCACTCACTTATACTCCTAGCTCTATAAGTACAATATTACAATTACTGAAAGCTAATGACATCATTATTTTACTATCAAGTATTTCCTAATTTTAATGCATTCAAACGTCCAAATTTAAGTAAATTGCTAAATTTCATCTCGCAATAATACGCAATCAGCAGTTACTCCTTTGTCAATGGCATCGACTAAGGAAATTAATTAATTAGTTGCTGTAGATTTTAAATTTTTCCTTCTCCCTAGAGGTTTGGCTTTTCTTTTTTTTTTTTTTAAAAAAAAAAAATTGAGGTACGCTATCTCTTACATTGACCGCAAACGTTTTCATCCATCAAACAAATTTAATATGACTTTCACTTAGCATAATTGGTTGGGGTGAAAAAATGATACATGTGCGTGCAAACGACACTACAACAAATTAATTTACATTTATCATATAGTTATGTATGTAAGTAACATCACATGTACAATATATACAATTTCACTACTATTAACACTGGTGTAATGAAATCAAGTAGTAAGGATCGGAGGCAGGACATCAGATCTGGTCCCAAGAACACGGGCTTTGGTATCAGGGAAGAATTCAACTCCAGGAAGATTACCGATATCACCATTGCTTGAAATACTAATTGGATACCTAAGAAGATGACCCGGAAGATATTCAGTCTCACCAAATGAATCACTTGAATAGAGCTCCCAATATTTATCTGCAATGGAATTCACCTCCTTCACACATTGTAGGCTCTCTGGATGAAAGAATACTTCATTGTACACATCCAGATGTTCCAACCACAAAGCCATTCGGAATCGGAATACTTTGCCGGCCCTTGGTGGCCCTGATGAACTTGCTAAGTGATGTGGTTGATACCCTCCCATTGCTATCTCACTGTCTCTTGCTCCATCCATTGATCTCTGGTTGATGTTTGCAGATCCCACAATTATGTACTCATCATCCACTGCATTGATGCAAAGTTATTGATTGCCCTAAAGGAAATGAAGATATCATAAAATAGTGATCATAATCAAAAGTTTACCTATCATGGTTTTGGCATGAACATAAATCATGAAGCGCCTGGAATGTTGAGCTCTAGCATAATCAGTGTCAGGATCAGGAGCTTGTGGAGGAGCATATTCACCAACTTCTTTAGCTTCTCTATTGCCCAGGCAAAAGAATGTTAAATACTCTCTAAGATCAACATTTGTTTGCCCTTTAGCCTGAAGAGCTCGTGCAATGTCCTGGTACATCATTTCCATTGTCCTTCTTTGCCAATCTAATATGGCCTGAACAGAACCGCTTTCCGGCACCCCTTCAGGCCACATTGGAATGACAATGTACACGGTAAACCTCTCACCGGCTTCGATCTTGCTAACTATCTTCAGTGAGAGCTCCTTAGGTATAAGATGCAATGCGTTGATGTCTGGAACTCTTATATCATTCCCTTCCCAACCAAATGAGCTTCCTAAGAAGTACTGATTCTCAATGTAAATGAAATTCTTGGCGCGGCGAATGGCGCTGATGTAAGCATCCTGAATGCTTCTGTCAATGACATTATCTTTGCCACTCACAAGCCCTACTTCAGCAGCCTGTTCAGGACTTTCAGGGAAACCGGTGACAGCGCCAGCATCTATTGACCGGAAGATCTGAACATTCCATGTTTCCGGATCATCTGAGGAAGTAACAGGGGATGGCCGGATAATAAACCTATCCAACTCACCAATGGTGTAAAGAAGATTATTCCCAACCTGTTTTTGCCATCTTTGTTCAAAATTATACAACACATCCCAAGCCGCAGGCCCTTCAATTTTGCAATGAATATCATGCCAAGGCTCCCTGGGGCCGCCTTTTGTGATACTTGAGCCTGGAAAATTAGGCTGGTGGAAATCATCTTTGTGGACAGTGTTTAAAGTCCTGAACAATGGATGCTCAATCGAGTCATATCGGCCGTCACATAGATCAATCCCACCAAGAAAACACACAATTCTTCTCATCCCAGATTCTCCTCCTCCCGGAATTTCAGCATCAACAATGACAGTCTTCTGATGGTGAGTGAACATTGTGGAAACCTGGAATCCCTGGATTATGCTTTTTCCACCATCAGGATTCCTAGGACACAAAACACAATGTACATTGGTGTTTCGGAAGAATTCCCACGTTTCTTGATCATGTGTTTCCATTAGTCCATCCTTTTTAAGAGCTTCAGTTGAAGTTCTATCATCCCAAACAAGCAAAAGCACTCTGACACCATCATTAGCCTTGTTTTTCAGCAGCTCACCAAGAGTAATGTTGCCTCCTGGTTTTGGCCTGCCTGGATCCCTAACCAGAGTAATTTTGGCATTCACAGACCAACCCGTTATGTAAATGATGTCTTTTGCATTGGAAATGGCATCAAATATGTCCTCCCAACATCTCTGAGGTTCATAATGCATCTTGGATTCCAAGTATTCTGCAAATGCATCATCAGGCATGTGAGCATCTTGATACAGTGTCACGCTATTGCCTTGCCTTTCCCTGAAGAAACAAAATGGAACCCCTTTGAATGCAAGGCTACTCCTGATTCCTTGAGACCAACCACCTGTTAAAAAAAAGTATTTTACGTTCATTTATCAGTTATCATATATTTTTCTGGAACAGAGAGATACGATATTAAGCGTAATCGGATAATGCTCGAATAAATACTAAAATGGTAACATTTACCGTCCTGTTCCACGCTGAAAAACTGCATCCTAACATGAAGCTTTGAGCCACCAGAAATTGGGCTACCATCTTCATCCAAAATCTTTAACCATCTGTCCACTATGTATCCACTTTTGATTTCTTCCACAGGCAAATAAGCTCTTCCAATTAGAGTGGCTCCAATTGGGTCATCATTTTTTATTGTGAAGATTACATTTGAGACCAAATGGGCACAATAGATTCGAAATCCTTCGTACCAACGAGGGTTTGAAGGATCATTTTGAATCATTCTGGTTCGTCCAACTCGAGCCCTTTCTAGATCAATTGTTGCATATAGCCTTGAACCAGCAATCTGTTGGTTCACATTAAATGAATTGATGAATTCACTTAATTAGTCAAATACATGTTCTTAGAGCCTACAAAATTAAACTATTTGATGGAAAATTTTAATTACGTTTTCTATGAGTTAATCACCAAAATCGTCCTTCACATTAATGTTATATAGGATTGAACATTTTCAATAATAAAATATAGTGCAAGAAACAATGAGCAATTTCAATTAATACTTTAAGTACCTCCCGACCCAAAAAAAAAAAAAACATTAAAAAAAGAATATTCTCGTAAGCGTGAGGAGTACAAAAAAAAGGAACTAGATTCTACATAAATTGTTCCATTTCTTTTTAAAAAAATGTTAGAGATTAAGATTGTCAATCGACGGTATATGACGGACGATTTCAGTGATTACCTCCAAATAAAAAGAATATATACCTCTGGCCTGCATAACACTGCTCTTTTTAGTTGTGACAAGAACTTCTTGGTCATCTTTTCAGGGCCCCCAGCCTGCAATATTAATAAATATGATCAATAAGTTAACCAAAAAAAAAATATTATGATCAATAAGCCTTACTCTCTCTGTCCCAAAATTATTGCCCACTTTGAGTTTTCATTTTTAGTTCAATTTGTACTAAAAATGAAAACCCAAACTGGACAATAATTATGGGACGGAGAGAGTATTATTTTTTCTAAAGAAAATAAAATAAAGAAAGAAAGATGATGAACACAGAGTTTTTTTTTCCCCTTATGTTCTAACTTGTGAGGGTCTCTATGATATGCATCATTTTTCCCTCTTCATTCTAATTAGTTCTAACCGATTTACCAAGAAAAATTATAATGAATATAATTGTAATAAAACGATGTGATTTAAATAATGTTTTTCCATTTTTACACCTCGCCTTTATATTTCAAAATGCATACATATACTTCTTTTTTTTTTTACATTTTACCAAAAGACATACGGTTTGGGTTCAAGAATTTTTTCTAAAGAAAGAAAAATGTGTGTAATTTTGAGTTGTTTGATTTGGCCCCTGGAAGTAGCTGCAAACTACATAACAAGAAAACTTACTTTGCCGCAGAGATTAAAACCACATCCGGTTTGCAGTCTATCAATCTCAAATATCGTTGCCCTAATGATTCCATGAAGCAAGAACGGTGCCATTCCAATGAAACTGTAACTTCCTTTTTCCCCTAATTAATCAAAACAACACCAAACTTCAAAATCAATTTTCAAAAATGGAAAATAATACTTTCTCCGTCTTAGAAAAACAGTTCATGCATGTCTTGTTAATAGAACGTGGATTTTTTTCTTCTTTTTTTTTTAGAATGACTGGCATTTACTCTCTCGTCCCACAAATTGAGTAAAACAGAACAATTATTTTAATACAGATAGAGTATTATTGCAAAAAATGAAACGAAGATAAGCATTTTGGTTTCTTTTCTACTAATTAATTCATTTTCCACCACGAACGTACCAAGATGTTAGCAGAAACTATGAAACTAACCTTAGAAATCACGAACGGTCGAACTTCAATCAATGAAAACCTCAGAAATTCATATGTAGTCGCAATATATAAGTAGAGTAACATATATGAAACCAATCCAAAGAGGAAAAACAAAAGAAAACGCTAATCTCAGATCTCTCTTTGAAGGAAGAAATATCCTTTGCTTTTGCTTCTGAATCCAGCTAACCAGATTGAAACCCAAATTAATAATAAGTTGATCCTCTCAAATTCTTTAAAGCAATATTCTTCATCAATTCTAAAATATTGGTGTAGCATGAGTATCCCTTCTGAAAAGAAAGCTAGCTCACGAAACGTAGGAAGAATTCTCTTGTCTGCTTTTTAGTCTTTTACCTGTTTGGCGGGGAAACTGACTTCATCAATTTAGTACTAGTACGTACTGTATCCATTGTGAATTTTTTCCCTCAAATTATCCATCTATATAATAAGAAAAAATGGAGTTAACTGGGGGGTGGTAGGGAGTTAAATAAACTTCAAATAAAATACAAATTAATCATCTACGAGAAATAAGTTTTCATCCTAACAAAATCTCTGCTTGTTTGTGAAAAAAACAGTGCATTTTCTTAGCTAATTAAATGCTAATGTTTTTCAATAAGTTAATTATTTTCTTTTTTTTTTCTGGTTCAATTTTTGGTATTTATAGTTATTTGATTAAGATAGTCACTATTCACGACTAATGAAGGTTTTAAGTGAGGGTCCATTGGGCTAAATTTTTTTAATTCCTTAAAAAAAGACAATTTCAAACTGATTTCCTTAACAATTGTTTTGAAAAACAATTTTAATGTCTAATTTGAAGTTTCTTTTTGGTGTATAAATGCATTGGATACAGTTTGTGAATACATAAAAGGTGGTTTGTTTATATGCGTGAAAAGGTGTCATAAATTTTCTCCCTGCTTATATACAGGAAAATATTTATAAAATAATAATTTTTTCTGATCCAAATTCAAGACCCAGTACAAAAAAAAACAGGAGCAATCAATAAAGTATTAAAATAATAATTTTCGGAAATCTATATAAATGTTGATTCCTTACTAAATTTTTTTAATAATTATAAAAGGAAAAAATAAAAAAATAATAGCAAGATTTATTAAAATATGAATATAAAGATGGTTTTTTTGTTTTCGATATTTTAACATTGTCTTAGTTCTTCTTTTTCTGAAAAAAAAAATCGCATTTTAAAGCTAGCAGCTTCAAATTAATGTAAAACAGATCTTCTTCATCAGATCAAAATACCAAAAGAATAAAACCATCATTTATCTAAAGAATAAAACGAGCTTGGAATTGGTATTGTCTATTTTGGAGAAAAGAGAGTTTAGCAGAGTTTACCAAAAGTCATCAAACCCTTCTACGCCCCTCTAATAATAGTCAGAGTCCCTCTATATGTTTTTAAAGATAATTCAGTGGTCCTTAAATGGTAGATAAGGTCGTGACTGTAGAGATGGCGGAGGAGGAGGAGAAGAAATTCTGAAGGTCCTGAAGATAGATTGTGTTACAATAGACAAAGCTCTGCTCTTATACAAGGGAGCCCCAAATACCAATGACATTTTTGGAGCCTCCTCTGACCCCAAAGCCAATCGACAATCTATAGCATAATGCCCCTTCTCACACAATTTCAGTATTTCTTCTTGCTCAGAAGAATAACATAAGAGTTCACCTCTATAAATGCCAAGAAGCTTTGCCCATTGTAAGCATTGGATATCTGAATCTGATATCACAATAAACCTCTTAATCTTCAGTAGCAACTATTCCCCCAAGACCTTGTGGATTAGCTTTTTCAACTTACCGAGACGAGTCCAACATCAGTAAAAATCAGCCTCATTGGCAGCACACCTCTTCTCCATGGGGAGAATATGCAAAATGAGTGATCTCACTACAGGTTGTACATGTGCAAATTCAGTCACATTAATTGAATTACAGTCAAATGTGACCTTAGGAGTAGACAGACAGGCCGCGCTAGGAGTTGTCGAACCGGCATTCGAATCAAAAGTTGTTGCTCGAGTATTCGAATATAAAGATAGTTTATTTTTTATTAGAATTTATATTAATATAATAGTGATAATTTAAAAATTGGGACTTTATCCACGAGTTCTTAGAAATTTGAAGTTCTTTTTCAAAAAGATTTCTCAAAATTAATAAGTTACTAATTTATCAATATATTAATAAATATTTTATCAATTAAATAATAAATTTATAGATCAATAAAATTTGGTTATGAAAGTATTAATTTATTGATATTTAACTGTAATATTAATTAGAAATTACAAAAAATAAGAATAAAAAATTAGAAAGATTTTTTAAATATTAATACAAAGATAGTTTGTTTTATCTTGAAACATGTATAAAACAAAATTCATATAATCGAAACTCGACTTTAATTATAAATTAAAAGTTCCTTTTTTAAATTTTTTTAAAATTAATAAGTTATTAATTTATTAATAAATTAAAAACGATTAATTTATCGATTAAATAATAAATCTATAAACTAATAAAAGTTAGAGGTCGTGGGTTTTGTACTCGTACAACCCACAAATTCCGAGAGGAAAAAAAAATTGAGAGAGTTTAGAATTGTATTTAGTTTGGATCAATCCTTTAAAGACGATATTAACGGCTGGCTTAGATATGCTTTTGAGAAAGGTTGAGAAGTATAGAATTGGATTTGTTAAGGAGGGATTCAGTGATAATTGCAAATCCTTTTGTTTTTTCCCATGAACTGTTGGAGCTGAACTTCTATGGTTTGGTGTCTTAAAAGTTCTCAGGTGTGAGCGTGACTGACTCTATTATGATACTGATATTAGAAAAATTTTGCTCTCTTAGGGTTTTAGGAGTTCGTGGCTCAAAAAGTTTAGAAAACATTAAAATTAGTGATTCTCTTTTGCCAATACAATAATTAAAACTTTGACTCTCTCCAATAATAAGGCTTGTTATCATCTCTAATGTAAATTTGGTTTTACTCGCAATCATTGGAGATTGCGTGCTTTTCTAGAAATTTATATATAATGTGAAGTTAAAGATTAGATTCATATAATTAAAACTCAATTTCATCTTTCAGTTATTAGAAATTGAATGTTCCTTTTTTCAATTTTTCATTAATAATTAATAATTATTAATGAATCGATTAAATAATAAATTTCTAAACTAATAAATTTTTGAGGTCATAAAATATTACCTTATAGATTTTTTTAGTGTTGTTGAGCACGTACAAAGATCAAGTTCTGAATCTGTCCCTGAGCAAGATCTATCATCAGATCAATCCAACAACAATTTGAAGGAACAGATGCATTATATGGAAAATTTGTGTCCGACTAAAGGCTAGTTTGGAGATGTTTGCCCTCAGTGTAAGTTATGAAGATCTTAAGATTTTCTTATGATGTGACCTCATCTTATTTAATTCAATTCAAATAAACTTACAAATAATGAATGTTCCTTTTTTTTGTTTTCTAGACTCTTCTCCAATTAAATTGCTTGCCATGGTGTTATTTTGTTGTTGGCGAGGTGATTGTTTTGTTTTCTCGAACTAAACGGGTTTCGTTTTGGAAAAGCAAAAGTTGTACTTCTCAAATACTTCTTGAACAATGGTGTGACTTTGGAAAGAGTTGTTGTTCGACCTCGGGGTCTTAACTTGGATGAAAATGATACGAGAGTATGCTAAATGAGTTATGGGGTCGGCATCCAAATGTGAAAATTGAATCTATTTAATTTTTTGAGATTTTAATTTAGATATGAGAGTTGAGATTTTTAACGGTTTAACCTTTGAGAAATTGCAAAAGGAGATTTTAATTTGTAAGTGGGATGATGAGTTATTACAAATTGAAACTCGACTTTCATTCAGTTATTAGAAATTGGAAATTCATTTTTTAAAAATATTTTTAAAATCAATAAGATCAAATATATATACAAAAATATTTATGCCTATAATATCCAAATGAATTAGCAAGACTCATGTGACTTGAATAATTTGGTGGTTTATTTCTTTCTTCTTATAAAAAAGTACGAATTCCTGTAACTTAAATATAAAGTGTACCAACTGAATGCAATTGAATAAAAATCAAGAAATCAATTAATCAAATAGAATATTTTCTAGATGAGAAGTGAAGGAAGTACTTTTTTCGATGGATAACAAAGAAAGAAAGTCTTCAAGACAATCAAATAGTTATGTTCGAAAAACAATGCGTTTGCTTTGCTAATTAAATGTTAATCTTGTTTAATAAAATAATTATTCTTTTTTTTTGCTGGTGCCATTTTTGGTATTTTGGTTTATATTTGATTAAACTAATCGCTATTCACAGCTAAGGGAAGGTTTTCTTTGTAAAAAATGAATAGGTAATTTCAGGAATTTTACAGGTAAACGTCTAGGGTCATTTGATTATATCAATAAAAATTTATAACAAATAACACGACAGAAACTATGTATAAAGGCAAAGTTATAAATAAAAAAAAAAATGGGCCTTAGAGCGGAAGGGAGGCTTGCTTTTGCACAACGAAATGGTTTAACTATGAGACTAAAGCCCAAATACTCATGAATTAAACTATTATTATCCTAAAAAAAATATCATTATAACCAAAGTGGTTGTGGTGAAGTGGAAGGGACTCCTCCACCCTTTAACCATAGGTCGAGATTTTGAATCTCGCCACCTTAAATATTTTGGCCAACTATCCTACTCATCGAGGTGCCTACAATTCAGCGAGGGGATTAGTCACTCATCGAGGTGCTTACAATTCAGCGAGGGGATTAGTCACTGTGGCCGATGGTAGACACCCTGCAAATATGTAAAAATAAAAATAAAAAATATAAAAAAATATCATTATCCGAAACGATTTTGGGAGATTAACGATTTTGAGAGTTTAGTCACTGTTGTCGATGGTGGACACCTTGCAAATATACAAAATTAAAAAAAAAAATCATTATCCAAAACGATTTTGGGGGATTAGTCATTGTTGTCAACGGTGAACACCCTGCAAATATGCAAAAATAAAATCATAATTTCATTGTGATTGGTCTGGCAAATTCAAATTTTCGTGTCCGAATGAGAGCAATATTTTGTCAATGTTTCCATTAAGTATTACAAAGATCTAGAAACTGATAAGCTTGTTTCATTTTATAACATGTTTAGGGATAGTTTAGATTTAGTCACCATGTTTCTTGTCAATTTTTATATCAAATTTTTCTTACATGTATCACCACTCTTCTAATATATTACTTTAATTAATCAGTACAAAAATCATATATTTGAATACTTAAACATTCGTGTCTATAATACTCCATCCATTCCAATTTGATAGGTTCATTTAGACAAATACAAAAATTAAGAAAAAGTGGATAATATAGTTTAAATGGTTAGTTTTTTTGGAATTCACCTAATATACCCTTATTCATGACCACTAGTTGCTAGTTAATATAGTAAGATTGTGAGTTAAATTTAATTAAATGTTCTAAATTCAGTGATAGTGGTGAGGTTATATTAGCAAATTTATGGATAAAATTAATGTTAATGTCTAAAGTGAGACTGAATTTTTAAAAATCCTAAAAGAGAAAGTGTCTCTATGGAATTGAAATAGAGGGAGTATCAAAACGAATTAGCAAGACTCATGTGCACTTGAATAATTTAGTGGTTCATTGCTTTTTTTTTTTCCAGAAAAAATCACCCAAGGACCCTACTTAAAAGAGGGTAAAACCTCCCTTACATACCACTTAGTGAGAATTATATCCAAGTCTTATACCAGGAATTACAATATTTTTAACCGCTAGTCTGTCCTTTAATTCCATAAAAATTCATTACTTTCTTCCCAAAAAAAAAGTGCAAAAGTCTAGTAATTTAAATAAGGATTAAGGACGAAAGCCCTCGAACTATGTTTCAAATACTAACCTCCCCTCAATTTTTTTCATAAGGACAAAAACCACATTCACTTTCATAAAATTAAGATAAATGGCCCATGAGTGTAAAATGATTAAAACACTAAGATCCGTGACGGAACCAGTCTCGAATATTTGTAAGGTCGATTACAATTAGAATTTTTTTCTCCGAAAAATATAGAAAAATTTAAAGGTTTTTTTTCAAAAAAATTTGCCATTCGCAGAGTTGGCGGACCCCTCTTGCTCCCCCTTGGGTCCGTCCCTGACCAAGGTAGTTTATGCAATATTTTAAATGAAAGAATTCATAAATTGAAATGTAAAAGTTAACTCACATGTATATGACTTTTTAGCGTGAGTATTACTATAAAATATATATGAAATCCTAAAAAATAAAAATAAAGGGAGAAAAGAGAAACAACAGAAATTGCAAAACAATTTATATATTACAAAATGTCAAAATAAAAAATAAAAAATAAATACATAGAAATCTAGTACATGAAAATATAGTGACCACGATAACTGAACTAATGGTTGTAAATTTAGTCTCTTTGAAAAGTATAATAAGTATGGAAGATTAATTATAAAATAATTATTCTCGAAATTCAGAAATTAAAATGGCCCTTTTGTCATTTTGCTTATCATTTTTTTTTAAATCATCAAAGTGATCCACTTTTACATCTTTAGGGACTAAATTGTCCCGTTAAACATAATTCGAGGGAGTTCCTGTCATTTCAATAAATGTGAAAGAGAATTAGTCTTTGAAACATAATTTAGGGGCTTTTTATCTTTATTCCTTTAAATAAATCGTACCAATTGAATGCAATTGAATAAAATTAAACATCCGATTGATAAAATTGAATATTTCTAGATCAAAAGTGAAAGGATGACTTTTTTCGAGGGATTATTGAGAAAGAGAGTCTTCAAGACGATTCTATACAGGACAACACTATACTCATTGTGAATTATTTTTTTGAGACAAGTATAGTACACAAAAATAACATCATGAAAAAAATTAAGAACAAGTGCACCCGCAGGCGATCTCTCCAAAATATCCACTGCTCCGATGGGAATTAGCTAGTAGCTAGAGGGATGACTTTATTTCCTAATCTATATATCTACCATTAAATAATTCCATTTTTTTTTCCTTCTTCATTTCCTTTTTCGTGAATTACAACAATATATATGCTCTCAGCAAATGCAAAGGTTTTGACTTTGAAGTCCAGAAACGGTTACGCCATAAAAACACTCGGCAAAAGAATATATGAAGGAAAAAGAAAAGTAGAAATGGCACAAATTTACAAGAGGCAGAAGAACTATCACAAACCATAAATGCATAATCGTAGTTTATGTAATTTTGATGGAATTCGTACATCATCATTGTGACACTTGGAGTCTGTAAGCCAAATGCTTCCAAATTTTCACCCCTTCAGCAGATTACCATAATCCAGACTTCTCCACCTATTTTGATTAATTAATTATATATGATTTCTCTTGGTATATACATTTGATCCCTTTTTTTTTTCATTTTGGGTAACGTAAAGAAAAGTTCGATTTTTATAATCCTAAGATGGGTGTCAAATAGTTATAACAATTACGGTGTACGTTACTTTTCAAAGTTGACGCATTTAATAGAGTTAGATATGTGATCAATTATATGAAGTACTACTGTTGTATACTGATGTGCTAACAATAATATCGTACGTACCTAGCTTCTTTAGCTGATGGGAAGTGGTTAAATTTCATTCATAAATTAATGTCTCTGTGATGATATTTCAAACAACATGGGTGAGTTTCTTGTGATTAAAAAAAAAAAGACGATTTTACAATTGTGAAAAGACTTAATATTAGATAATTCCGTTGTTTTGATTGGTTATGTTAAAAAAAACACGATATTTACCAATAAATACTTTGTACAAGTGATAAAGGGTATTAGTGTAACTATGATCCGGATTCGAATCAGGCACAAACATGCACGAATCTAGATTAGTCGGAATAATGAATTCAGACACCGAGTGCATAATATACCCAAAAAAATAAAAATTCTAACATTTTAGAAGAGTGAGAACCACAACCTCTAAGGGTACAGAAGAAACTTTAAATTGCGCCAAAGTTTTTATCTTTTTAATTACTTCATGTTCATAACAATAAGAAAAAGAAATCAATATAAAAAGAGAGACATAAATATGAAGGGAGTTTGGTTTAGTTTCGTCCACTCTTCTTCTTTCCCTTGAGTTCCCTTTCATCACCGACAAAGAAAGGGTACAACTGCACTGCAAATGTCATCAATTTTACCTTCTCTATCTCTCTTATTAACTTCCATTCACTTCCTCTCCATTCATACTTCTCAATCTCTCTCTCTTTCTCTTTCTATTTCTTTTGAGCTGCAAATTTTGAGAACAGTACTTTTACAGCAATATTCTCTTCTACCTTAAATTCAGTGTGTGACTGTGTGTGTTGTTGTTAGGAGTTGAATATTACTTATAAAATAAATGTGGTCAGAATGAATGAATATATATATCTATACATATAGTGATAGATTAAATATAGTAAGCATCTTAGGAAGACAAAAGGAAGATCATCATGGTACAGTCGAGGAAATTCAGAGGTGTCAGGCAACGCCAGTGGGGATCTTGGGTCTCTGAAATTCGGCATCCTTTATTGTATGTTACATTCTTCTGTTCCTCTGCTTCTTCATGTACATGTGTATAAGTAACCAATATATTCTTTTCTTAAATTGTAATCCTCTTCAGAAAAGTACACTTTTTTTTTTCTCACTTGCATCAACACCACATTTAAATTATGCTAAAACCCTCTTCATTCTCTTCTGATCAAATTTGGTTTTTTTTCTTCTTTACTCTTCTTTCACATTTCAAAGTAATGGGACTTTTTTTTTTTTTTGGGACATGCACTCCATAATTATGTCAAGATTTGATTTATTTTTTATTTTTTATTTATTTTTTACCTCATCTTAATTTTTTGTTTGGAATGTTTGTGTAGGAAGAAGAGGATATGGCTAGGGACATTTGAGACAGCAGAAGAAGCAGCAAAAGCTTATGATCAAGCAGCCATTCTCATGAATGGCCAAAATGCCAAAACAAATTTCCCAGTCTTGACCAAGGAAAACAGCAATGATAATAATAATCAACAACCAAAAAATTCACCCATTAATCTCTTATTATCATCATCTTCTTCTTCTTCTTCTTCTCCAATGTCAGAAATTCTGAATGCAAAGCTGAAAAAATGCTGCAAAGATCCAGCACCATCCCTCACTTGCCTGAGGCTGGACAACTCCCAAATCGGAGTGTGGCAAAAGCGAACCGGCCGGGCCGGGAATTCGGGTTCCAGTTGGGTCATGAAAGTTGACATTCCTTCCACCAAGAACAGCAACACCAAGAAGAAATTAAGTGATCATCATCATCAAGAAACCTTACTAACTTCATCATCTTCTTCCTCTTCTACTTCAAACTCTTCAAGCACTAGTCTTTCATCAGGATCAGGCGCGGGAATGCCTGAATTTGATCAATTTGGAGGAATAACTGTGGATGAAGAGAACAAAGTGGCAATGCAAATGGTTGAAGAGCTACTCAACTGGAATTGCAGCCCAGCAGTACTACCATCTGATCATCATAACCCATCATCATCATCATGGAATAAATTAGATGTATAATTAATTAATCAATGGGTGTTTATCAAAAATTTAAATCCATATATATTGTGTTGTTGCTTGTTCTTAGTGTTTTTCTTATAGCTTTGAAACATAGAGATTGCTTCCCTAAACTTGAGGTAGCATCTTTGACTATAGGACATCACCATGTAGTAAGAATTAGACCTCAAAAGCTAATTAAAACTTTGTTGTGTTTTTATCATGTTTTCTTCTTCTGATGTAATTAAATAGCACCAATTATATACACTCTCTCAAATTATCTCTTTTTTTTTCAATTATATATATTTTGTGTCAAATTATCCAAAAAAAAAAAGAAGTAGTTTGATTATGATTATTGTAAGGATCACATCACCGCTTCTAGTTTTCCAGTCACCTCATCAATTTGCCATCAATTTATTAAACGGGATTTCATATGAGATGGGGAAAAGAAATTGCTTAAGAATTAAACAACATAAATACTCCATCGTATTCTATAATACGTACAATGATTAAAACTCTTATTATGGAACGGAAGGTATTAAGGATAATACCTTCTAATCGGGTGTCTATAAGCTATACAAGAGTTCATCAGCTATATGATTTCTGACAAGCAATTTTCTCGTTTTAGATTGATAGTTGAGTTAATGGTGATAAAGATGTGAAACGATCATAATTCTTAACACAAAATTCGTGTAATGCATGCATGTTTGGTGATTGATACACATATTAATTTAATGTTTTTGTATGTCTCTTTCTTTCCTCACTGTCAAAGGACTAGAGTCTACATCATAATTAATTGCTAATCGTTTCCGAAATTTTTTTAATACACATACAGATCTCTCTATCAAGTGAAATGTACCCATCAGAATTAAAGGCTTAGTGCACTAAAATTTTGCCCATTTCGACTTGACCCAACTTTGTGCTTTCAAAAGCAAGTACGGTTAAACCAAAACAAACCTACGCCAATCATATTAACCAAATTTAATATTTAGATTTTCGTAAAAAAAAATTTGAAATAGTTATACCACAATCGAGGGAATACCATCAAATACTGTCCTAGTTAATTTTTTTTTTAATATGATATATACATATATATATATATATGTATTGTTATTATGAAGAAAGAGGGAAAAAGCCAAAAAGTTACTTTTTACATATAAACCCTACTTGTTTACAACATAATTAATTGGCGAGACAACTGACCCAAAAATTTGTATACGGGTAGTAAAACTCAGGAAGGTGTCATAGTTAAGGATAAAAGAATGCAAATTACTTCTCAAGTAGTATAGATGACCTGAGATACACGAAAGAAATCAAAGAACCGGAATGGACTTGGTTTGGTCGGTTGATGATGAGTCCAGGGTCCAAAAATTAAGGGAAAATCGTCAAAGTATGGTCGTTATTTTCTTCTTCTCTAGAAAGAAAGCATCATAATCAAACAATTAATGCAAATCAAATCCCGTAATTGAATGAGCATCCGTACAAGTTACAACCATCTCTCTAGCATTCGACCTTTCAGATTTGCTGAATATTTTGGTGTATAACTTCAACCATATTACACCTGATCACCGTCTTTTGTTAATTTATTTATACTACCTCCATTTTTCAATCTGTCGTATTAAAGTGAACCCAATTTTTTTCAATTCCACTTTGATCTCCATCTACTTCTATATTAATAACAACCATCTATTTTCCGCACTCCAATATCAATTTTTTTTATAAAGTTTCAATACTTTAATTAGGGGTAAGATATATATTATATATGTATATATATAATCATAAAAATAAATAGAGGAAAAAAAGTTGCTAATAAATGCAATGAAGGGGCAAATGTATGCAATGAGGAGAAAAAAAAAACATTCGTCTCATTAAATTTAGGACGAAATCTACTTTTCTTCTTATGCTCAATTTATTTTCTGATTATTTATATAAAAAAAATTAATTATGGGGACAAGAGTATCTCTTTTATACTCTCTTTTATGCTCAATTTATATATCTTTATTTATATAGAATAAAAAAAAAACCCCACTTAGTTAGGTTTTGTTGGACAGGGGGAGTAAAACCTAGACAATTATCCTAACAACTACGACAAAGAAAGGCATGTGTAGATGCTCCTAAGCGTCTCATTTAGCATGCTTTCGTACAAGTTGTGCATTGGAGACAAGTTGTATTATTCCTCCATTTTCTCATATAACCCAAAAACCATCGAACATGATCAAATTCGATTAATTAATTAGTTTAATAGAAAATGTGACATAAAAATTTATGATAATATTTCTTGCTATATCACATCCTCAACTACTAGACCTTGCTAGCACACACGACAAAGATGAATAAACACTCTAATTAAGTTGCTAGGTGACATCATTTGCCCTATATTTAAGTCAATTTCTAAAGTGACAACTCATATGAAACAGTACATAATCCCTAATAATGTGCTATATAGATCATCCAACTTATTTAGAAGAATTAAGAGAGTGGTACCCAGCAATAAATCCAATACGACTGAATAGGAGTACTACTAGCTATACTAGCTAGAAAGAAAGAGTCTTTGAGTGTTGTGGACTTGTGGGTTATGGGGATGGCATCCTTCCATGTGGCTAATAATCATTGGATTTTTTTTCATTAAGAACTTCCATCAACATCTTTTAAGACAAGAATTGACATGTTATTGAAAACAAAGCCCTTAGGTAGTTGGGTTGTTCATTACTACCAGAGTTAATTACTAAATAGTAGCTCTATTATATTCTAACTTTGGAGCTTCACCACTTTGACAATATGCACTCACAAGTCATAACTATAATTCTAGCCATTTTGTGGTATAAGAATTTCATTCTTCTTCTTTTCTTACAAAAATTAAAGAAACCTAAGTTTTTTTTTTTTAGTCTGATTATCTCAGAAAGATTGTCTAGTACAATAAATATGTGTAACACTTATTTTGAGACGGAAGGAGTAAAATTTAAAATCGTAAAATTTTTTAGAAAATTTATTTAGTCCATGTTAATGAATAACGATTAAAGAGAGTAAGTATGTATATACGCACAAGTCAATAGGATGAGATCCGAAGTCAGAACCAACCTCGTATGTCTCTTGTGTGTGTGAATGAAGTCATGAAGTGGCCATGATGATTCGGTTGATATAATGCTTTTCTATTAATGCTAGCATATGCGTCCATTTAATATTTTCAAAGATAAAAGTAGAAACACAAAAAAAAGTTTGATGTGTAAAATTCCCCAACTTCTAACTGCATTTGTTGATTTCTGGCACTTTTGAAGTAAGAGTTATTCATCTGCTTGCACATTTGGAGTAACTCTGCTTTCAATTCTTATCTCCTGTACTCTTTTCCCATAATTATTATTCTTTTGATTTCCCTTAGTATTGGGACATGAAGTAGTGGGAATGCTGCTTTTTCTTCTTCCTCTTCAAATATTCCATCCCGAAGAACACTTTTTTTTTTTCAAATTTTATTGTAGTTGTATTATTTTGATTCGAAAGATTCTTTATTTTGAAATACAGGGGTTATTTTTTACGCCTCAAAATCAGGGGTGGAGACAAGAGGGACCAGTAGGGACGGTCGCCCCCTTCTCTCAAATTTTTTTTTATTTACGAAGAATTAATTTTTTAGTTCGAAATTTTTAAAAATTATAAATTCAAAAAAAAAAATCATTTTGCCCCTCCTATTAGTTCAAAGGTAAAGAGTTACATTATCAGGAACAAAGTATCAAATGGCCGATAGTTGAATGTTCAAAATGCCGCGAGAAATAAGAATTCGACCAAACCAAAATAAATCTTGAAGAAAATGTCACTTCAAAGTCAAAAAAATACAACCCCTCCATGTATCACCTCTACATTTATTTATATATGTCGCGATTAGATAAGAAAAGCAATATAAACCGATTTAAAGGACATCCTGACACATTTTTTATTATATATTATTCAAATTTTCGTCACTGCTTTCTTCATAAATTGATGATCAGTTGATGTAATAGTAATTTTGAATAGCTTGACTAGATGATGATCAAAAGAAAGACCAATCAAAATAGTCGACCCTTTTTAGAAATCAACCAAATGCTGATAACAGAGGTGAAATCAGGGTGACATTGTGAGACAAGCAAAATTGGGCTACTGAAAGTCAGTCAGGCACAAGGCCCAGTTCAAAATGTTTCTTTTCCCAATTTAACCAAAGCTGAAAGCCTGAAACTCATCTTATAGGATACAGTAGCCTGAAACTTTGGTTTGGGGGCTATTTGCTGGAAACTATGGAAAGCAAGGAACGAGGAGACTTTTGGAACAACAGTGATCTCCATGGAGGAATTGAGAGGATCCACACACTCTCTAGTAAGGGAAATCGCCAGATCGAACCTGATTTTTGCACCACAAGATCGGTCTGGAGAAACACCAAACGGAAACAGGCCATGGCGTCCACCACCCTGGGAATGGGTTAAAATAAGTAGCGACCGAGCTGCAAGCATCATCACGAAGAAAGCAGCAGCAGGTGGCCTTATTAGAAATCATCAAGGCTTTTGGATTTCGGGTTACGCAGCAAACTTGGGCAACTGTAGCTCACTGGAAGCCGAACTCTGGGGAGCACTATTCGGCCTTAAGATCGCCTGGAATCTTGGATTCAGAAAAATCATTTTGGAACTCGACTCGGCAGAAGTGATCAATTCCCTCAAATACAGGGAAAAATCCATACCTTCAACCAATGTACTTAAGACATATGGAGGTATCGATGAACAAGGACTCTCATTCGTACAACTTCGACGCCAGATTCACTAGCCAAATTTGATTTCTCTTGTCCGACCGAGTTACAGGTTTTGTCAATATTCCCGTCCAGCATTGTCGATCAACTAGAATTAGATAGGAATTCCTCGTCCCCAGCTCAAGAGATATTTTGTACCCAAGCTTTTGCTTCCTTCCTAATTAAAAAAAAAAAAAAAAAAATCTTATAGGATACAGTAATTAATTACTCCAGGATGTTAGGCCCTTTCTAAGTGATCTAGGATTTTAACTTGTCCTAGTTGCCACCAACTATGTGCTTCATGTGTTGGACCAGCAAAGTCCAACATTTCTCTTTTTCCAGTTTTCAAATTTCTACTCTGGTAAGAACTTCTCTACTTTTAGCCATAGATCGAGAGTTCAAAGTTCATCATGAATATAGAATAATCTTAAATCCTTTGACTATAAAATGAACTAGACGTTTATAATGTATACGACAAGTTTTGAGGGTGATGTTAAACGTTTGCAGTCCGGGTAGATTCTAAACTCAATTCCTTGCAAAGGGAAAAAAATTTTTTGACTCAATTCCTAGCCCAGGGTATTCTTGCCTAATGCGTACAAACAAGTTAGCTGTGTCTCTCTGCTTGTAAAAGGCAACAAGCTCTGAAGTTCTTTGGTTTACTCCGCCTTATCATCCCATATGGTTAGCTCCTGCTGTTGTGTTGGTGGTGTTTGGACTTACAAGTATGGCATGATCAAGCACCTTTCTTTCAACAACGGCTGGCTGAAGTTAGTCTTGTACGTCACCAAGGCAATGAACCGCAATTATCTTAGTAAAATTTGGTCTTTATTATCCATTTAAAAGTTACATATTTTGTTATTGCCACCAACAAACACTAGAAAAACTAGAATTTTATGGATCAAATTCATCCCCCAACTCAAGGGGATGACATATTGAGAAACATCTTTCCTTCATTCTTCTGGTTGACCTCAAGAAATTTCCCAATTTTATCCAGTGTTTGAGTTCAACACAACTCTCTAGAGCTGCCTCCCAAATGTGACAAACAAGTACCAGGCATTAAAGAGAAAAAAAAAACAAAAAAGAGTATCAATGCATGGAGAAGCCCTTCAAACATCTCCTAGTTGCAAATGTGACAGAATATGATCCTCTCACTTGGGGTGTTCAAGAGATAGTAGCATACAAGACTTTGTAAACGTGTATCATCATGAACCATTAGAGTTCACCCACCATTCAAGGACTTGTATGAATGTAAAATGCATTCAGCGCAAGATGATACGCGAGATCGATATGGAGGGAATTCGTATCCAAGACAACAAGAGAATCACTGAATCAAAATTACAGGCATAACAGTCAAGGGTGTTTCAGCCCCTAAAAGTAGTAATAAGGATCTTTCATCAGAGGCAATAATGCATAAATGATCCAAAATAGAAGCTAAGCAGGCGATTGAAACAGCAGAATCAGTTACTTTGGCGAAATGATGAACTGGAGGAAATTGTGATTGACCAAAGCCAAATCCAGCTCTGAAGAAAGCAAGCAGGATAACGATTGATTCACAAATAAGTTGGTGTACTTTAATGATCAGGTTGCAAATCAGGTTGTGATTCTGCTGAGTGAAATCACACAAATAAAATGAAGCCATACCCGCCCCCAAAAAAAAAAAAGCGATTACTTAGTTAATGAATTACAAAAGCTGCAACCGCTCCTTGTACCAACTGGTATTCATTACAACGACGGCAATTGATTCTTCAATTCACCTTACAAAAGTCTGCTAACTGAAGGTTGTTAGCAGTCCACAGTACCCTTTACCTCTTCAAGTGAAATTCAACCCCGTAAACGGCTAAAAGGAGGTTGTTAGCAACATTTTTGGTGAGAAAGCATTATGAGAAAAGAACAGATTGCATCAAGCAAGGCCTAAAAGTTCTATCTAAACAAGCCATTCTCAAATCCAGATGAATATCATGAAAAATGCAAGAGCTTACTCTATAATCCAAACCAGATAATGCCAATGATCAGCCCTTTATGAAATGGTTAAAAAAAGTGCAGAAAACTTGTATACTTGATTCTGCCAATCCTCCCCTGATGGTCTTCACCACCAAATATGGTGGTAGATTCCTATCCGAAAATGATGTTTTATGGCATAGGCATCATGTTTTACTGAAAGTCACAAGCCCCAAAATCTTTCATACAAGAGTTGTTTGGATGATCATAAAAATGTTATATTCCATAAAGCCAATAAGCCAAATATACCTAACAACCCTCACATCACATGACAAAAGTGGGTGATATATCAGAAGGCACTATGATGACATTTACAATGGCTTCATAGAACATAATTACCCAAGTAGCAGCCTCACAATTAGGACCCAAAACGAAGGTACCAGAGACTGAAAATTTTCTAATAACATATAGCTCAATCAGTTAGGCATATACGAGATGAAACAATACTCGAAGACATCAGAGATGAATGAATCATCATCTAGTAATACTAACACAAAGGCTAGAACTTTCAGGTTTCTGTCCTTATTTGCCCAAAGAAAGGGGGGGGAAAAAAAAAAAAGAAAGAAGCCATAAAAAGTTTCCTTAGAAATGTCCGCACCAGATTGAACTAGGCCAAAAAGTTAAAAAAGCACAAAAGAAAAACTAATAATCATACACTTCTACTCTTATTCCAGTTTCCTTCCTCCCAAACAATCGCTAATTACATAAATAGAGAGAGCATAATCTATAGTTTTCCAACTAAAAAATGCTAGAATCTGGCATAATAAACCAGAAATTTCTTGGCAACAGCAATAATTATAGCAAAGATAAGATTTTTACAAAAGGAAGAAGAACAAGTAAAAAAAAAAAGTATTCATAATTTGGCGTACTTTTTGAGATGATCCCCGGCATGTTTAGCATTATCTGGAACAGGCAAATTACACATAAGAGTAACTCTTGAAGAAGCAACCAAAGACCTTTGGTTATCCTTGTTCTTACTATTGTTCTTCCAAAGCCTAACTTCCCAAACTTGAAGAGTTCTCCCAACACTAACAGGATAAGCCTCAGCAAACACAAGGTCACCCAATTGGGCACTCTTGACATGATTGATACTGAGGTGAATCCCAGCAACCCTTTTCAAATCTGATGCCAAATGGGCTCCCATACTTGCTAATGCCTCGGCTATTAAAGCAGAAACCCCTCCATGCAACACCTTGAATGGCTGACAACATTTTGGTGTTATCTTCATCCTGCCTGAGACTTTTTGGGCTGAAACGTGTTCAATTTCAAATCCAAGTCCGTGGATTATGTGATCCAATTCCTCTGTATTCACTGATTGTGGTGATGATTGGGGGGATGAAGGAGTTGGAGTTGCAGCCATAGCTATGGCAAGTTATGAAATGATAAGACTCTCTCTGTATGAGACTTTTGAGTTTGCTCTGTTTGGTTTCATTTTCTTCTTCTGTATTTAATCACATTTATATGACTTTTGGTTACTAAAGCAGCCTTTTGCATAATAATTAAGTAAAATTTAAAATAAAATGGCATCCCTTTCAATACGTGCAATTGAGTCGTGTTTCATGTCTTCTTCTTACAACTTATTACTACTACTTATAAATACTAAAAACCATGTCAATCATGAAGCAAAAATTGCTTTTTACAATAATCTTTTTTTATTTTTTTGTATCATGATCATGTTAATGTTATTGAAAAATAATCCAATAATGTTTTAAAACACTATCATTTTTTTAAATTAGTTGCTTTTGTGCCTTATATTCACGTTTACCACATTGTTAGGTTCACTCCGAGTTGGGTGGTTAAACTGCAGTAGAGATACAGGTGTAACCGTGTGGAAATCATATCCTTCTAGAATTTTTTTTTTATCTTTTTATTTTCTTAAAGAAAAAAAAAGTAAAAGAAAGAAGAGATTGTCCTACTTTGTACTGTTTGACTTTTGACAAAACTTGCATATTTTCTTTTTCTTTTTTAATTTTTTTTAATATACTTCATAATGATAAGACATTATTAGGACGAACGAATTGGTAATTATTTGTGCAATCATTAATGTTATAGCTTAGTTAGGAATTCAAAGTTACTGCTCCCTCCTGTCCTTAATATAAGGCATTTTGATTTGTCCTAAAGTTCACCTAATACATAGTTTTAATTGACGGGAAAACTTTAAAAGTATATTTTTACATTCTTTGTATTCTCTTGATTGTTATGAAATGTTTTAAAAGTTTTTTTGTCATTTAAAAATGCGTATTGAGTGAAACTTATGACAAATCAAAATGCATTATATTAAAGACAGGGGAGAGTACATTTCTACTTAGTTATTATCTTTCCCATATAGTAATTGGAGAGCTTGAAAAAAGAATTATATTCCAACTAATGTGACTTTTAAATCTCTCTAGTGGTGTGGTGGTAATAAATAGGCCATTAAAAAGTTCACCTAAAAAAATGAATGCTAATTGTATGAAAAAATATTCTGAATTTATTTTTGCTATAATTAGACCATGATGACGATGATGAATGTGACGCCACATGTGAGAATAAATAAATTGTAGATATTGGTTTAGTTGGGTGGTAGGTATAAGAAACACTGGTGTGTTCTAAAGTGTGGTAGCTACCAATTCGTAGAATCTTCACGTCCTCAAATGAAATTCTTTTACTAAATTATAAACATATTCGATAAATGGTATAATTGATCAAGAAAACTTTTTCATGTTTAATTTGTAATTCTGACCGTAATTAAGAATAAATGAATCTTTTCATCTCACCATTACCCTTTGGTTAGAGCAAGTTTTGACTGATGAAAGTAATTAATTTCATTATCCATGAAAAAAAATCTTTGAACTTGTAATTTTTTATATAACAATACAGTAAAATCTCTCCAATTAATTTTCTATTAATTAATAACCTCTATTAAATAATATTTTTCTCCGGTCCCAACTCGGCACCAGTACTAAAAATGAAAAAACTCGATTAATTTATAAGATAATAATTTTTCAAGAATCTACTATGCAAACATAGGTTCCCACAATTTCATAAATTAATAAATACCTAAAATATTAAATTAGATTTAAAAATTAACTTAGATTTTAACTTTTTTTTTGTTTACGTTTGTAATTATCATGTTTTTGTTCCAATAAAAAAATTATAATGTTATGGTTAGGGCTGTAACTGACTTTTCTTGATATAAGAATAATAAATTTTGTATTTTCTTCCTTATAACATTGAAAAACTCTTTAAATTAATAAAATATTAATAACTCTATAAATTAATAAATTTTTAGAGGCCCAAATCTATTAATTTAGAGAGGTTTTACTATATTTCCCAATATGACGTTACAAACAAAAAGGGAAAAAGAAACAAAATTGTCTATAGCGTCATCAGTCTTAATTTCCTGCTCCTGTTGATGCTAATTTTTACACAGGTTTTCACAGGTGAAAATGATGTATAGTTTAAGTGAGCCAATTGGTTTGACAATATAACAAGTGATCTTCAAATTTTAATGGCTACAAATTATATTAGATAACATTTGCAAAAAAAGATATCTGTAAATAAAGAAGAAGATACTCAATTGATTTTGTAGTTACTTGTGGGGGATGCATAATGATGACTAGAGATTATCGAACATGTTTGAGAAAGTGGATCAACTATGTAAATTAATTACTAGTTACCTTTTTAGACTTTTATGCGGAATTTGGAGTACTCATGATCCTCATTTTGAGAAGTTATGGAGAAACTTTCATCTTCTTTTTTTTTTTTAAGTTATGGTTTTTGTTTCTTTCTTTTTATTTTGTTGGCATTCAACCAATTTACCAGATATTTCACATTACTTTTCCAAATATATATTACCAGAAGACCAACAATGTGCGATATTTATTTAACCGGGGAGCTAGCTTATATGTACGATTTTATTTAACTTCCAATGATTTTCCAGAGATTTCCTTATGATATTATTTCTTACAACCCGGTATGATTTTAGTATTTCTTTTGACATTCTTATGATTTAAAAAAAAAAAATGAATAAAATCAATCAAAGTGCGTGCATTTTGCATGATTTAAATCTCAAAGTTACTGCCAAACCCAAGCATGGTGAAGAAAAAAAATTGCAGACAATAGATCCATTAAAAATAACTTAGAACTCATCAAGCAAATTTTAGCATGCCTTCTTCTAGCAAAATGTCTTGACAAGCTTTTGATTTGCTCGTTGCTCTTAATAAATAGAGAGAGTAGCATTTCCTCACTCAATACCATTAGGACAAACCTAGTCAATCACCCTACTCTTACTATAGAATAGGAGTACTTTAGAAACTCACCTCGTATATGAGGCTAATAAGTAATTCTAAAACAACAATAGCTAGAACCACGGCCCACCAGAAATGATACTCATTTACCACTCAGATTTATCATATCTTATCAGCAAGATACCTACCCAGTGCATCAATCGGTTTGCTAGAGTTAGTTATAGACACTGCTCTCTTCCTAATTTTGATCTGAGCAATGAAATCCACAGCAATCCAAGGAAAGCTTAACATTACCGTATCACCAACAGTACCATCTGGCCAGAGTAATTCCTGCGATTTCCGCAACCAAAAAGGATGGTAAGTTACCTGATACCAAGCTGAAGCCTTTCTTTCGTACCTAACATTTTTCTCTTTATCAGGTAGCTTATCAAAATCTGGCTCCATTTCCTCGAAAACTTTTCTGAACTCCTTCCTGAGGTTTGTGTATGCATGTTTGAGCCTCTCTTTAAGGTCTCCGAGCTTTTTGCTGTTGTACTTTGGCATCGACCAAATATGACCAGTAACAACTTCTTCTTCACGGTTGACTTTATATTGTCCTAGGAGATTTTGGAGCTGTCCATCATAAGAGCATTTGATATTCCATGCCTCCATTATAAACAACTCAGAACCCTCAATCTCAAGGTCTTTGTCATACTGGATGTTATCGGTGACATATACAGCAGCCTCATCGTGACCACAAGCGTCTCTGACGTGACGGTAGAGCTTACCTAGTATCTTTGTCGATTTGTATGTCTGGAATTCTTCCTTCCCCATGAAATCAGGATACACTTTCGGTTTATAATTCGAAGGCATGTTCACAATTTTTCCTGTTTTGGGGAAATCAACTGCAGTTGCAGCTAGCTCAGCCAGTTTGATGCACTTCTCGTCAAGCGCGCCATATTCGCTCAGGTCAGCATGTACAACATGGGCATTACAAATAGTACCTAGGCTTTCCGTAACCATGTTCTTCGTGAAGAATTCTATTATGTCCTGAAAATAGAATTGGGCAAGAAAAAGTACAGAAAGAAGTTAAAGATAATAATTTTGTTCCTTCTCTATTACAAGAAATGAATGACACCCCACAGACCGTTCAAAGCACATATTTAAATGATTGGTGTTGTTACGAAAGCACAAACTATCAAACCAAGCAAAATTTTTCACTCGTGAAATTCACCCTTTAATTGATTCAACTCCTACAACTGATTGAATCTTGTTGGGGGCAATATTGTCAAAAGCACAAAAAAAATTGGTGTGCGTGATAATAACTGGCAGTTGCTGTGCGTGATACTAACTTGCAGTTAAAAATAACTATAACGCGTATTAATTATTTGACATAATAAAAATCATGAGATGGTGACAAGAGATGAGGGAGCACAGTTAAATTCCATTCTGGCCAAGTGAAAAATCTGCTTCTCTGAGACTCAGTAAAATACAAACATCACAGTGTAAACAAATTATCATGCATACAAAGTAACCAGCTAAAGAAGACAAGGGGAAAAAGTAGCCGCCATAAAACTAAAGTAACTAACAAAAGCATCATGTCAGTCAATCCACAAAACGCAGCATATATACAAAACAGTGATATTGGAGGCAATCAATTTACAAAACAAAAATGCTAGATGATTACCGGTTTTTTGACTTCACGAGGCAATTTTATAGTCTCTCCGGGTGCATAATCCATTGGTGTCCAGCTGCTTTTACTAGGAGGGATGAGATTTTCATCCCAAGTAACGAAGTATAAATCACCATCCAAATCACTTCCTGAAGCTTCATTTGTATGGGGCCTATCTCCTTTCTGAGGAAAGACCAGACAATCATCCAGATGGCGCAACTCAGGAAGATCAACAGCCTCCAGAATCCGCACGTCTCCAGGATGAAGGCAGGGATTCTTTGCTACTGCCACTAGACCTGTGATCACCTGTAGTTTCTTTTTGTTCGCCTTTGAGAACACTGAACCGTGTTTTGAGAAGCAAGTTTCCAAAGAAGGATGTGAAACTTGGATAAAGCACTGGCCTTGCTCGAGCACAGCAAGCTCATCCAAGCACCCCATCAACCATCTTCCATGAGGAACAAATATCCGGGCCCTTTCTCTCAGGTCCCCAAGCTGTGCTGTCCGAATGCTAGTCAACATCCCTCTCAGATGAGGTTCGGTTTTAGGTTCAAAACCAGCACTTAACATTATTGCTGCCGTATTGCCATCGGCGCATGAAGCATTAAGGACATCAAAAGCTACATCAACGTCTTCAAGCATCTTATTCAGCTTAAAAATCATCGATTCTTGCATTTTCCAAAATATACTATCTCTTACACCCAAAGCAGAAAGTAGAGTGACGATTTGCCTGTTAAGAAACCCCGGCTGAAATCGGGTCCACGAACAGATTTCAAGAATTCTGTGGTTGGACTCAAACTTCTGCATGCTTTCCCTGAGATACAAATGGCGCCCTTTAACTTGTGTTGGCCAACATGCAACGACACCTTTACAACCTGCATAGCGAATCTGATAAGCACACGGAGGATCTTCACTCAATTTCAATCTCTTGGCCACTTTGGTAGCCAGTTCAGCCGATATCATGCCAATCCCATCTGAAAAAACAAACGTGTTTCTCACGATATCATCGAATTTAGGGACAACTTCGTCTGGTGGAACTTCAACTGTGGCATAAGTGGATGAGAAGCATTGTCCCATCCGGGCAGCACATTTGGCAATGTTCCGATCAGAAAATTTCCCCATCCACTTTAAGATACCATCCACCTGAACATCCTTCTCCTCGGCAAAGAACCACGCAGAACGGTCCCTTAACTGATTAGCCGAGAAAGCCAAAAAAGAATACTTCCGACCACACAAATAAAATCCATTGCTAAGGATAGCCTTCACCTTTCTAAACATTGCAGTTCTTTGAGGGCTATTGTTTGAATTGAGATCCCAAACGATAGAGGCTGGATAATAATTCAATACATTTTTATTCAATGTTTGCATTCCTTCGTCCATGAAAGTTACCCTTAAAAATCTATCAGCGATATCTCTATAATGCCTAAGGACTCTATTTGAGAGTTCAACTTCAGGTGGAAGACAGTACGCTTTAACCGGAGTAATGATCAACCTTCTTATTTCAACAATATCATCAATCTGTTTAGGTTGTTCAACAAGCTTCGGATTTTTCAGCAGCCAATGCTGGATAGATTCAAGCTTCTTGCAAGCATCATATAGAGGCCACTTGTAAGAATAAATGTGCCTCAGCGCCGCCAAGTTCACCTCTTCTCTTTGCCTTCTTAACAAATCAAAGAACTTATCGGACATCTGATGCTGATTTATTATACATTTGTGCAACACAGCATTAACTAAGAACATCACCTTAAAAGTTATCCCGTCCTTGGATTGGATGCAAAAGAATGGATTAGATAAGGGCGTGCCAAAACTGGGTTCATCCTTCACCTGAAGCCTTCTTGCCAAGTCGATATCCTCAACATGCACCCTGCAATCTCTAAGATAACTCAAGGCCTTTTTGAGGATTCCCCCCTTACGCGGAGGAACCAGTATTCGGTACGTGTTACATCTCCCAATCGCTCCGCTCGGTGTGAAATCCGTGGTGCGTATCCATGGATCATCATCATCCAATAAATCAAATGGATATGATATTTCAATATCATCATCTGCTGTTCTGTAGAAGATTTTGGGAGCCGAGAATAACCGTAGGAATATGACATAACCTGAATACTCTTGGTATTGTTCTACTGAAAGGATTTCACGAACCAAGAACGAAACCTTGAAGTCGCATTTCATTACTGCAAAGTCAGGTGCATTCTTAAATGCGAAAGCCGTCTCGCGTGTAAAGAGTATACTGCAAGTCGAGTTAAATGGGTCCACTAGAAAATCAAATCCAGTAGGATCACCCCTCCAACCAACCAGGAACTCATCCCGACTAACCAATACTCCAATCTCAACCTTGATATCAGAAAGCCGATACGGAATCTCAGTCCTCCTCCTCTCGTTCAACCGATGGGGATTTTCTGGCCCGAGACTAACTTTCAAAGACTTCGTGCCCAGTGTCAGTTCGCTACGACCAGCTGCGTCCATGGCAAGATGCACAGCTTCTGAGCGAGCAAAATGTAAGAAGGCATGCGGGGTTACCTTTTCATAATCAAATTTTTTTGGTGCAACCTTACAGTCAATATTGTAGGCGGGGAACGTATCACTAGGGGTCGAGGAAGTCTTCAATCTACACCTGTACACTGTTCCCACTTTTTCTTCAAAGTACTCAGCAAGCATTTTAGCAGTGACATCATTATCAAACCCGCCAACAGAAATCTGAGTTACAACCAAATTCCTGTGACTTCCCTCTGATCCCATTGTTCAGTCAATGGAGTGTAAAACCAAGATCACTCTGCTCTGAATGCCATCATTGATCCAGCTCGTCAACGTAAACTGTTAATCCAACTTTTTTGTTATCGAAACCTGTAAATTTTCATGTAACACCAGCGGAATGGCAGAAGTTCCAGAAAGGCAAAAGGCAGGTTAGACTATATATATAATATAAGGAGATAATATAATATAGACGGCATTATTATCAAAATTCACAACGAATTTCATGAAACTACTCATAATTCGTCCAAAGTTTGTGTCTTTCTTCCCTTATATTGTAGTAAAGCAAGAATGCTTTCAAATCTCTATCCTCAAGCAAATAACTTCTCCAATTCACATTACATGAAAGAAAAGCAGCCCAGAAGCGACATTTATTGTATTCTTTCCATGTTAACAAAGAATAAACAAAAATCACACTACCATACAATCTAATCCATATATGATATCAACAATATAGCACCATCATATCCTTCTTTATAAAAGATGAAAACTTCAGGAAATGGATGATCATTTCTCAGCTTCAAAGGCGCAACATTTCAAGTATACCGCTAAAACCAAGTAACAAAATAAATGTTTTTCCAATCATTGGAGAAAAACCAACCGGACGAACCCAGAATATCGTGTGATTTCACAATTCAATTCCCCGATTAGACCCCAGAGACTCCTCAACTCAAAGCTGAAACCTTTGGACTTCAAACAAACCTCAACAAAAGGATTAAAGACTAAACCAATGCAAATCATAATACCGAACTGAAAGTACATAAACTATGCTCTATAAGTTCAAGAAGCTATGAAAACAAAGACAGAACAAAACCACAGAAAATTGCACCTTTATAAGCCGAATTCCCCAATAAATTAAAGAAAAGTACACAAGAAAAATCAAAACATGATCCAATGCACTTACCCTTTTGGTCGGAATAATCGATCGTACTGAATTATTGAGTCCAGTTTCAATCACCCGCTCTTTTACTCCTCCAGTTCTTTACCCTTGAGTGGGGGAGTGGAAGTAGAAGCGGAAGTGGAAGGGAGACTCAAGTTCACTGATTTTTGTTGAAAACTCAAACAAAGAAAAAAAAAAAAAAGTTTATGTAAAAGGAAAAGAAAAAAGATCACTCATTTATAAGAAGGTGTGAGCTTTCTTCATTGTAACCAAAAACAAAACAAAATTAATGGAAAACTGTGAGATTTGGAAGTGAAACGTAAAGTCCTTAATTCAAATAAAATAAAGGAATACTCTATTTATTAATTATTTACATCCTCAACTATTTTTAATCTTTTTTTTTTTTCAAGAAATCTCTAATCTAAAGTTTCCATACAAATAAAACGTAGCTACTGGCGCGAAAGTGCCATTGGTTATAAAACAATGAAATCATCTAGTAGTTATTAACTTATTGCCACAAATAAAATTACCCATGAAATTCGTCTAATTATACATGAATTAGCATTTGTTTATGTCAGATATTAAAACTACTTTGGACAAATATAATCTCCAAGGTGATAATAGTCTATTTTGATGCCAATCGAATTGAAATCGTCTAGTTATACATAGATTAGTATTTGTTTATGTTAGAGATTAAAACTACTTTGGACAAATATAATCTCCAAGGTGATAAAGTATCGGAAGCGAGTGATTTTGTTTTGTACATAGTATTCCTATACGGTCATCCCGACTAAGGGAAATGGATAGAAGTTTGGGAGAAAATAAATAAATTAGGTCAGTGTCATGTGTTTCCATGTATGATTTTGGGGGACTTTAATCAAGTTCTGGATCCTAAGGATAAATGGGGGGTAATCAAATTTTATGACAAGGGAGCTGTTGAGTTTAAGAATTTGGTTAAGGAGTTTGGACTTTCAAAACTGGTCAATTTCGGAAACTAGTTCATATGGTCAAATAATAGATCGGGAAGTCAAAGAATACTGGAAAGACTGGATAGAGTCTTTGTAAACCAGCTATGGTTGGAGATGTTCAGGAATGGCAGGGTGAGAAGCCTTCCCATTATGAGCTCGGATCATAGTCCCATCCTTGTTGACTCTAGATTTGTTGATAGAAGCACGTCAAAAAAGAAGAAGTTTGAAGCCTTTTGGACAAGGAGTCCAGTTGCCAGAGAAATAGTACAGAAGGTCTGGTGTGAACAATCTTATGGCAATAATAGTACAATCTGTATTTTATCCAACAAACTGGATGTCACTTTACGGTATTTGTGTAACTGGAGTTTGAAAAGCCATGGAAATCTAGAGATGTAGATCCGCCAGGTAACACGACTTCTGGAGAAAGCTCAGTCCTCCCAGAACTTCACTATCAATGAGGGAGAAGAAAGCGAGCTTCGGCACAAATTGGAAAATTTCACACAAATGCAGGCGGACTATTGGAGTCAGCGAGCAAAATTGAAATGGGCAATGGAATGTGAGAAAAATACTGGTTTCTACCATCAGTGGGCTACTAAGCGGAGAAGCCAAAACTGGGTGAGTGAATTACAAGATGAGCATGGAAATTGGTTTGCTAATAAGGAAGATATACATTGATTGATGCTTGAGCACTTTAAAAGTATTTTGGTTGCACCAGATTTCTATCCGCCATCTGTAGACGATGCAAAGAACCCTTATAACATTATTGATCAAATCACGTGTTGTATATCTGAAGATCAACAAAAAGAGCTTGCTGCGGATTATACAGAAGCTGAGATTCGTTCAGCCTTAAGTCAGATGGCAACTTGAAAGGCACCGGGTCCGGACAGAATTCCCGGATTTTATCAACAGTACTGGGATATTATCAAAGAGAGTGTGGTCTCTTCTATCTTAGAAGGTTTAAGAGATTCAAGCTGAAGCTGTCTTTGGAATCAAACAATTGTTGTCTTCATCCTGAAGGCCAAGAATCCGACCAGGCCATCTGACCACTGTCCGATCAGCCTATGTAATATGATATACAAACTTATTGCCAAAGTTTTAGCGAACATGTTGAAAAGAGTGCTGCATAATATCGTGTCAGAAACGCAAAATGGCTTTGTCCCGGGACGATACATAGGAGAGAACATTCTTCGTGCAACGAAGCAATTGAATATATAAGGAAACGACAATCTGGAGAAGTTAGGTTGGCTGCCATCAAGCTTGATATGAGTAAAGCATATGATTGACTTTCTTGGACATTTTTGAAAGATGTCTTGTACAAAATGAACTTCCCTGACTCGTTTGTGAGGGCGGTGTTAAGGTGTGTTACAACAGTAAGTTTTGAAGTTAGCATTAGCGGATGGCGCTCAGATTTCTTCTCACCGGTAAGAGGATTGCGACAAGGGTGTCCATTGTCCCCATACCTTTTCATCATCTGTCAACAGACTTTTACATCGGCTATTGACCGGATTAAGGAGAACGACAGTCCAATGAGAATTAGCATAGATTGCGGTGTTCCAAGACTATCTCAGCTTATGTATGCGGACGATTATTTAATCTTCATGGAATGTACTATACCTAATATCAGGAGCCTAGCAAAAGTCATTGATCACTATGCTAGAGTGTCCAGATAGCGGATTAACTTTGAGAAGTCTTCTGTAATGACAATCCCGAATATGTACCCAAACATGAGGAAGCTCTTAGGCTTATTGCTGAATATCACCCTCAACACCTTCTTAAGTAAGTATCTTGGTCTTTCTCTCGACTTTATGTAAAGAAAAATAGTTCTGTTTAATTCTGTTTTGTCTAAGCTAAGAAGCAAATTAAGTTGCTGGAAAACAAAGTCTTTATCAATAATGGGCCGCGTCACGCTGGCAAAACATGTTTTGGCGGCTCTACCAATTTATGAAATGGGAGTTTTTAAACTTCTTGTTAGAGTCACAAAACAAATTGATAGGATCATTGCCAGTTTTATTTGGAAAGGGGATACATAAGGGCATGGTATTCATTGGAAATCCTGGAGTAAGTTATGCCAACCCAAACTCTTGGGTGGTTTGGGGCTTAGATCTGCGAGGGAGATGAATCAAGCTCTTTTAGCGAAATTGGCATGGCAGATTCTTCAAAATGGGAACTCACTGTTTGCTCGAATTTTTCTGAAAAAGTACTGTAAATCGGAGGAGTTCTTAGCATCTCAGCAGCACTCTAGCGCCTCTTGGGGGAGGGGGCGAGGAATCCTTTGGGGCAGGGATTTGCTTGAACGTGATCTTAAATGGGCATTAGGAAATGGTGAGAGAATTAGAATTGAAGAAGATTGAATTCCAAATTGTATGAATCCTCTCAAAGATGCTGACTGTTCGAGCAGATCCTCAAATCTTTGGGTTAAAGACTTAATCACGGAAACTAAACAATGGCGGCTGCCTCTGTTGGAGGAAATATTTCCTCAAGATGTTGTTTTCTGCATACACGGGATTTATATTCCAGCATATCATACAGAGACACTGGATCACATGTATTAAGCTAATACCTCATCCGGAGTGTACCCTGTTAAAACTGGGTATAATAAAGCTACCGGGCATCATCCAGACAATATGTTACCCAGCTCTTCAAGAAGAAACTTGACCAGTTCCCTGAGTCGAGAGGATCGGAAAGCATTCTGGAAAGTCCGCATTCCTGCTAAAATCCAATGGTTGGTGTGGAGGATCATTAATAAGGCTTTGCCTACAACTGTGGCCTTATTCTCTAGAGGAGTTACAGTTCTCAGGCAATGCAGCCGTTGTGAAGCAGGCTAAGAAAACATTGACCATCTTTTTCTAGAGTGTAAATGTTCAAGAATAGTGTGGAGACTTTCACCTCTGGGATTCAATTTTAGTATTGGAGTCCCAATGTCGTTCACAGAATGGATGGATAATTGGTTGTTAACTGCACCAGATCCATCACTGGTCCAATTATCGTTTTATGTTATATGGCATATTTGGCTCTCAAGGAGCAAGGTCGCTTGGGAGAATGTTAAGGACAAGCCAGAAATTACGTGGAATAAGGCCAAAGAAGAATATCAGCAATACTTGTGCATGCTATCGATGGATAATCAGGGGAGTCTAAATTCAACTTATGATGGGGAGAGTTCGGAACCAGACCAACTCATGTTGGAGGAAGGACTACATTTGATCTATATTGATGGCGCTTTTCGTGCAGCGAGTAAAAGGGGTGCTGCAGCTTGGGAATTATGGGATTGGAAGGGTAGGCTGATCCGCAAAAAACAATTTGTCTTCCCTTCTGTATCGGCTGTCCAGTCAGAATGTCTTGCTTATCTATATGCACTTGTGGAAGCTATTTCACTTAGAATCACTATGTGTGAGGTGAAGACAGATTGCCAGGCACTCTTGGGTGTGGGACGTGAGCTTGCTGACTTGCCAATAGAGGTCATAATTATTGCTAGGGATATAAGGTTTGTTTTAAGTCACTTTAAGAGATGTAATATTAGTAAGGTCAGTAGGGCAGAGCTAGAGCAGGTCGATAGGACAGCAAAATATGCCCCTAGTTTGTATGAAACTTGCTGTTGAGCTTTATGTTAATAACTAGCCAGGGGAGACTGCACGAAGTGTGGTCGTGGGTATAAACTATAAAGTGACCCGGTTATTAATTTTTTATATCAAGTAGATGAGCAGTGAAAATGGGAAAAATTTTTATTTCATTACACAATAATTTCTTTTTTTTTATATAAACAATAATTCTATTTCATTACACAATAATTTCAATCAAATAGATAAGCTTGGATACAACTGTTTTCTCAAATTAACAGCATAATCATGTTATCCCTGCACTAACATTTCTGATTACTATTACATAACTTTTAATGTTTTTTAAAAAAAAGTAAAAAAAAAAAATTCCAGCCCACCATTTGCCCCATCAGAATCATCGTTCATCTTCTCTCTTCTCATATCTTCTCCAAAGTGCCATTTCTTAATTTCCGCACCTCCTCAATCGATTGACCGTACTTCCCAAACCATATTCATGACCTTTCAATATGCTCTTTCGCGGCAACTGGTAACCACCAAAACCAAAAGTTTTAAACTCGATTTCCCCAATGCTCAGCTCCTCTAATGTCACGTGTTGTATCGGCTGATGCTGCACCAGTCTCTGCTCACACAAATTAACTAAAAAATCAGGGCAAACTCACAAATCAAGAGATGATTTTCAAGGGAAAGAGGAGGGAAATCCAACGCCTTACGGTAAATCACATAGGCAGGAACAAGTCTTAATGATCGGAGAAAGAAAAGAGACGCGGTTGATGTGTCTGTAGTATCAAACTTTGCTCTTCACGACATAAAACCAAATCACAAAAAAAAAGAAGAAGAGAAAACTGGTAACGGGAGAGACAGGTCTGTTCATACACACCGACGCCCAAAAAGACAAAAACAGGGGTCTAATGTTAATATGCCACGTCAGCTATTCAAACCCACAACTTACCTTTAACCGTGCACAAAAAGTGGTTCCACACTTTATATAATATAGATATATTATGTTTGATTAAAAATAAAATAAAATAAAATTGGTCCCTCCAATAATTTACCCGGGACGTGATATGTTTTGGTGCAAATTTACATTTGCATCCAATGATAAATCATCATAATGTAAAATAGGGTTGCTCTTGTGGGAATTATCGATATAGGGTAAATTTCTCCTTATTCTCACACTTTTCTTATGTGTTCCCTTGAGATTAATGTTCCACTAATAATGGTCTTTAGCTCGAAAAGAAAAGGGCAAAGGTCAAAATATAGCAGTAATATCACAATGTTTATCGTTTTTTATTTTTTAATTTACTAAAACAAAACACATAAATTGAGATGTTTATTACCATAAAATTTTTTTTTCGCGTTACAGCATTTAACATTATACGCATAAAAAATCAAGTTGTGCAATCATTTAGAGTGACAAAAGACTTAGGACTTGTTTGAATAATGGTTTATTTTAGTTTTTTTTGTTTAGTTTTTTGTTTGAGTTTAAGATGTGATTTAAAATGTGTTTTTAGAGAAAATTTAAAAAATTATTTGGATAGTTTTTTACTTAAAATAATATTATTTTTTTACCACCACCGACCACCTCCACCACCTACCTCCACTACCGGACCACTCTCTTCTGCGGCCGGACCACCGGCGGCGGCAGGGAGCGGTATGGTGGTGGTGGACGAAAATTGCGTAAAAATAAAATTTAAAATACTTTTTAAAACGTAAGTTAAAATATTGTTTGGATAGTGAATTGAGTTTTAAATTAAGAGATAAAATGAGACAAAAGGTAAAATGGGAGACCATCCAAACAAGCCCTAACTTTGTGTACATAAACTATCTTCCCGTTTTCTTTTTTAATATAAGGAACTCTAAACATTTCATTACAAAAGTTTAAAATATACACAAACATTTTATCGGTACGAATAGGTGGCGAAATAACACGAATATGCATTTTAGTTAGTTTGTCATAACAAAAGAACATTACGCTATATTTGTTCGCACATTCTTATTTGGAGACAAACAAAATACAGTATTATTTTACTTCGAGAAAAAAATGCTACGTAATACAATATGGGGCTATGGTCATTAATCGGTACATATATATGGTTAACGTCATTAATCGTTACTATTTGATAACTTGGGAAGATCATTTGATGAATAGTATTATCTACCTAAACTTTAGCCAAATTCTTCACGCCTTCTAACCACTCCATCAAATGCATGCATATTCCGATTGTTTTTTATTTTTTTTTTTAAATTTTTATGAAAGGTTAACTTGTATTAACTTCTCAAACAACAAACAGTTTACAACATCACTAACAATTCCCTTCTATTACATCAATTGGCAACACAATCTATAACCAGACTTAACAATCTATAACAATTCCCTTCTATTATCTACTATTTCCGATTGTTTCTTATATTCATTGTTTACTTTCTAAATCCGGAGGTGGAGACAGATAAAGGAGTAAGATTTAGTCTTATAGTTTTTACAATATGATACTCTTTTTATCTCAAAATGATTATTTACTTTGGATTTTTATTTTTAATACTATAATTTAAATTAATAAATAAAAATTTAAGCACACTAATAATTTCAGAATGAAAAAAAAATGCATACTTATGAAAACGTGCTAGATAATAGTAAGACATTAAAATGAAAACAAGTCCAAAGAATTGTTGTAATATGGTTACCCATGATATAAAAGTTAAAATGTTTCACTTGATTAAAAAAAATTCTTGATATTACAGATTTCTCATTAATCTATAAGAAATTACACAATTTTTTTTTTTCTTTTTTGCTGCTCATCTCCATATCATGATATCAATCTCCTTTGAGTTTGTACTACGAAATTAACAAAGATTTTTTCGTCATCAAGTAGTAGCAAGAAGCAACTAGTTGAATGATTAAAATTGACACTATGATTTTCGTCATCATTTCTCTAATTTTTATTTTATTTTTATGTGATGTTTGTTACAAATAAAAATCACGCCCACCGACGCAATAACATTATTTTAAAAAAAGGAATAGGTGGGCCCACAAAGGAAGCGTAAAACTCGAGTCCACATACTCCACCGACAACCCAACGCCAGTGTCGGGAAGGAATGAACCGGCTATAGCCGGTAATCCCTGTCGAAATTAAGTACAGCCAGATCACAGCTTTGAACACGTGGACTTACAACTATCAAAGTCCCCTACTTTAGCAGCTTACTTCATCCTAAGTTGTTCATCATTCATTTCATTTTTTCTGATTCATTTTGTTGATTGGAAAAAAAAAACCACAGCAAAATGTATCATCTCCACCGTCTCCATCACTAATAATTTCCCAAAACCCATTTTCTCATTTTGCTTAATTTCCCTTCAAAATTGTTGTAGCAGCAGCAGCAGCAGGAGGATAGTGTTTGTTGAGTGAGATTACTGATAATTCTACTTAGGGATGGAGGCAACTGGTGGAATGGTCGCTGGATCCCATCAGAGGAATCAGTTGGTTCGGATTCGCCATGATTCTGATAGTGCGGTATAAATTTATTGTTTTTTTTTGTTTTTTTTTTTTTTCTCTTTGTTGAAATTGAATCTCATTTGATTGGGTTTTCTACCTTTGGAATCTTTCAAAAAAATGTGAAAGAATTTTGGGGGCGCTTAATTGGATCTGTGAGTTAGGACATTGATGTTTGAATTTTGGTACAGCAATTTGAATTGTTTGGTGTTGAGGGGGTAAAAAATTTGTAGTTGTAAAGATCGTGTTTTTGGAGAGGATTTGATCTGTATTTTTGGTCAGAACAGTTTTGACTGTCCTGGGAAAGATTTGATTTGGTCTTTGGTAGTACCATTCTTTAGTTTACAACATCCAAAGTAGCTTGCTATTTAGGAACTGTTGATGATGGACTGAACTTCTATATTCCCAGCTAAATTTTGGAACTTCGAATTTGAGGAAGCTTGTTTCTAATTGGTACTCATGTTTCAGTGAATGAAGTGTATATGATTTTCAGTGAATTTGTTTCTGCCTTCTTTTTCAAGTTGATGATTGGCTTCAGAGATGATTGGTTTTTGAAATTAGACTTAGGATCTATTGTTGGTAAAAGATGGTATAAGTGTGTGATCTGTAGGAGGATCTGCTACACAAGGAATTTTATGTTCTTTTTTTTTATTTTTTTTTTAATTTCAGATCCTGTATAATTTATTTCCTGTTTTGGTTTTGATTGGTACTTACAGCACAAACACATGAATTTTGTTAAAGAGTTTTGAGGATCCATATTACAGTTTATTGACTTCTTTATGAAATATTACATTTTCTTTCTCAATTTTATGTCTCTTTCTTTGTCTCATTATGTTTCATGCTGCCATGTTTACAGTGAACTGAATTTAAAGCTTGCCATCCAAAAGTTTTCAGATTGCTCATGAATTATTGCTCAATGTGAATACATTTTCATTGGTGAACTTCTGATTTTAAATGCAGCCAAAGCCACAGAAGAATTTGAATGGCCAAATCTGCCAGATTTGTGGGGACGGCGTTGGACTCACTGCTGATGGTGACGTGTTTGTTGCCTGTAACGAATGTGGTTTTCCAGTTTGCCGTCCTTGTTATGAGTACGAGCGGAAAGATGGAAACCAGTCGTGTCCCCAATGCAAGACCAGATATAGGAGACACAAAGGTGATATACGATGTTGCTTTTGTAACAAATATTTTTATCAATATCAAATTTTAACTTGATACTCATTTGTTATTAAAGTTAAGCTTTCCCATGACTGAGCGTGACAATGTACTTTTCTTAGGGAGTCCGCGAGTTGATGGAGATGATGACGAGGAGGAGGTTGATGACCTCGACAACGAGTTCAATTATGGCCAAGGGACTAGCAAGGCCAGACGCCAATGGCAGGGAGAAGATGCTGAACTGTCCTCATCCTCTAGGCATGAATCTCTGCGACCTATCCCCCTCCTCACAAATGGCCTGCCGGTAAGTGATGTTATTATATAATGGATGCCATTTTAATCCACTTCCACCTAGATTTTTTTTCTCAAAATCTGAATGCTAAGATAAGTTTTTCTTAGCGATTTGCTTGTGCCTGATGATCCTTTTTGTGAAATAATATATCTTGTCAGTTTCAAATAATTTACAATTTGAATTTCGATATTTGTTCTTTTGTAATCTTTTCAATTTTCAAGCATTTTAATAAGGTCTTCAACCCACCCAACTCCCGCTCCCCAGTTTTCTTATATTTTCTTTAATGTTGTTATTTGAATTCACTAGATTCCAAAAATAGTAAGGAAATAGCATGCATGTCATTTTTCTGAGCATTTCTGCCATGAGGTAACGATAATGTGGTACTTGTTAATCACCATTTCATGGTGTAATAATGACTGGTGGCCAGCATTAACTTGTAGCTGCGATTATGTTTATTCTTCTTTATGATTACTCTATCTTTTGCCTTTTTATCTTCTCTGTTTTTTGTTTATGTTTCTCTACTCCTTCCAAGTTTTTCTTGTAGATGGCAAATCTCTCGAGTTTGAATGATCTGAAGATCGTGTTATTAACAGTATTGAATATAATTTTCTTCTTGTTGTCTTTGTTAAGGTTTCGGGTGAAATTCCTAGCATCGCTCCTACTGAAACTCACTCTGTCAGAAGTACATCTGGACCTTTAGGCCCTGGAGAGAAGGCTCTTCCCTATTTGGATCCCAGACAACCAGGTTAGCAATTTGTTACGTGGTTTTTCAACTTTCTAGCAAATTCTTACTTCTACCAACCTGTGAATGCGTATGTTTGAGGAGCTCTAATCTATGATATCATCTTTTGTAGTTCCTGTGAGGATTGTGGATCCATCAAAGGACTTAAATTCTTATGGGCTTGGGAATGTCGACTGGAAGGAAAGGGTAGAAGGGTGGAAACTTAAACAGGAGAAGAATATAGTGCAGATGACTAACAGATACCCTGATGGGAGAGGAGACATTGAAGGTACAGGATCAAATGGAGAAGAGTTACAAATGTAAGCCCTTTATCTACAAATGAAATTACAAATACTTTGTACTTTCGAGCTGAATTTCATTGTAATCATAAATTAAGGATGAGAATTATATGGCTAATTATCTCACTAAGAATTCTTACAAATGAAGCTCGAGTTCAGCAAAAACATATTAATAATAAATGAAAAAAGATTTGGAATTTAGCATTTATTCGTGGGCAAAATTCCCAATTGACAGGGCTGATGCTCGACAACCAATGAGCCGAGTAGTGCCGATCCCATCATCTCAGATGACACCTTATCGTGTGGTTATCATACTTCGGCTGATCATCTTGGGGTTTTTCTTGCAATACCGGTGCACTCATCCCGTGAATGATGCTTATCCTCTGTGGCTGACTTCAGTTATTTGTGAGATTTGGTTTGCATTATCCTGGCTTCTGGATCAATTTCCAAAATGGTATCCTGTTAACCGCGAGACCTTCCTTGATAGGCTTGCAATGAGGTTTGTGAAAATTCTCCAATAAAGAAGTTTCTGTGACAATGTGTGATCTAAACAATGTACTTCATCTGAGATCCTTTTTTTCCTCAGATATGATAGGGAAGGGGAGCCTTCGCAATTAGCCCCTGTGGATGTGTTTGTCAGTACTGTGGACCCCATGAAAGAGCCTCCTTTGATTACCGCAAACACCGTGTTATCCATCCTTGCTGTGGATTACCCTGTCGATAAAGTATCCTGTTATGTGTCAGACGATGGTTCAGCTATGCTGACATTTGAAGCTCTCACTGAGACAGCTGAATTTGCAAGGAAGTGGGTACCTTTTTGCAAAAAGCACAGTATCGAACCAAGAGCTCCTGAATTCTACTTCGCTCAGAAGATAGATTACCTAAAGGACAAGATCCAGCCCTCTTTTGTCAAAGAACGCCGGGCAATGAAGGTCAGTTCTTAAGCATGGATGTGTGCTATGTAAAATTTTTTCTTTTATTTTTCATCTCAAAGTTAAAGCTGAACTGTAAGCATAATAACATGACATCATTGCACATTTTCACGAGCCAGAGTAGTGGAAGTTTAAATGGGACTAGGTCAAGAAATTGTTTGTGTTATACTATACAAATGGGAAAAAAGGTTATACTGGTTCCACCGTCGAAGTGATATTGTACCACCGTCGTACTGATATTTGGTGCAGCAACTGCCTCTTTAGGGTGTCTTCTTGGAATATAGATATTCCAAATAATTCTTAGTACAGTCAAAGTGCATCATTTCTGTGCCATTTGTAAGTGATAGAAAACAGTAAGGAAAAGGATTATTTGTGCTCTCTATTCTTCTGTGCTTGGCTTCAAGAGAGACCAGAAAGTATGTGCAACAGTTATGTACAAATATACACTATTCACTTTGTCTATGTTTAGAAGACATATATATATATTGTATTTCATGTCCTGGAAAGCAAACGATATTTGCTGCTGAATGTACTTCAGAAGACATCATTCATAGTAGGTGAAAGTAAAGTCTCGCATTGTCTATTGCATCTTGGAGATAATAAGATTGTAACAAGTCAAAATGACTTCAAACATGTTTCCAGGAATGCTACTTTTAATTATTCAAAACCTTTATGATATGTGCAAGAGTTGTGGCAGACTGGCAATACAACTATATTACTTGTTAGTAATATTTGAAACCTCTTTTTCTACAGAGGGAGTATGAAGAATTTAAAGTGCGTATTAATGCACTTGTTGCAAAGGCACAAAAGATGCCTGAAGAAGGTTGGACAATGCAAGATGGAACTCCTTGGCCGGGGAATAATCCTAGAGATCATCCTGGAATGATCCAGGTATCCGTGTTCTTCCAGAGTTTCATTATCTGTGGATTACGTAAACTCGAATAACATTCTCTTCTTTTCTGACATTTAAATGGATTTGTAGGTGTTTTTGGGGCATAGTGGAGGCCTTGATACTGATGGTAATGAGCTTCCTCGTCTGGTTTATGTTTCTCGTGAGAAGCGTCCTGGATTCCAGCACCACAAGAAAGCAGGAGCTATGAATGCTTTGGTAGGTCATAGGTGATTAGGTGGTCATTATCTATTTGTGTTTTGACCGGAAATTTTGTTCCTTGGTTCCCTTCTAATTCTTTTGGTACTTATTCCTGAATTGGTGTTGATTGTTTCTTTATTACACTGGCCAAATGGATCTATTCCGGTCCTATGATTTCTAATTAAGGAAAGAGGCTTTGATGCTAAGTGATCAAGTTTTTAATATTCGCTATTATTGCAACATGTAAAAGGTCTTCATCAATGGAAGCTAATTTTGCTGTTCTGAAACTAGGTTGAAAAAAAGAAGATGATATCTTAAACTTTGTCAATAATGCTGCAAATTTTTTTTTTTTCTTTTTGTGTTTGTTTGTTTTTTTTTTTCCTTTTGAAAGTAGAGATAAAACTAAGAAAAGTATCAGGACATGTAATCAAATTGGGTTATAACTACTGCAACACTTTGATATGTTCTTTGTTAATTTGTCCGATTTTCTCTCGTTTGTTGTATTGAAGATTTTGTTGGTGGGTTTATTCTGCAGATTCGTGTCTCCGCTGTCCTCACAAATGGAGCATTTCTCTTGAATGTCGATTGTGATCACTATTTCAACAATAGCAAAGCTCTGAAGGAAGCTATGTGCTTTCTGATGGATCCTGTCCTTGGAAAGAAAGTCTGCTATGTTCAGTTTCCACAGCGTTTTGATGGCATTGACTTGCACGATCGATATGCTAACCGAAACATTGTTTTCTTTGATGTATGTGTTACTTGTCTAAGTGATTTCAGAAATAGCTTTTTTTTTTTTTATAATTTTATTTTTGTATTTTGATCTCATTGATGCTTTTATTCATCTAATATTCCTTTCCTTTTGGCGTTCTCTGATTTGCAGATAAACTTGAAAGGGTTGGATGGTATTCAAGGTCCAGTCTACGTGGGGACGGGATGTTGTTTCAACAGGCAGGCTTTATATGGGTATGATCCGGTATTGACTGAGGAAGATTTGGAACCAAACATTATTGTCAAGAGCTGTTGTGGTTCAAGGAAGAAAGGAAAGAGTAACAAGAAGAGTTACATAGATAAAAAGAGAGCAGTTCAAAGGACTGAGTCTACAGTTCCAATCTTCAATATGGAGGACATTGAAGAGGGTGTTGAAGGTTGGCCTTTTCCATCCAATTTTGAAAGCTTAAATTCTTAGTTCATTCACTTTGCATTGGAAATACGTTAAAAATCACCACATCAGTGCCATCTAGGTCATATTTTTGTCTATTGTTGGTTGACAAGGGATCAAACATGGTATACTGAAAAATCAGATACATGAATCTTCTGAATACAATCTTTTAGTTGAACTTCTGGTTATGTTGCCGTAGTTTTAGGTTCTCCATGGATGATTCTCTGTCAAGTGATTAATTAGTGGGAATTTGATCCATTACAATGTTATAAAGTATCTGATTGGTTTTGCTAACTGGAACTCGAGCATTGCATATTATTACCCCGAGAGCATTCTCTCTTCGCTCTTTACACTGAATGAATTCATGTTTGATATGCAGGATATGATGACGAGAGGTCTCTTCTTATGTCTCAGAAGAGCTTGGAGAAACGGTTTGGCCAATCTGCAGTTTTCATTTCTGCTACCTTTATGGAAATGGGAGGCATCCCACCAACAACTAATTCAGCCACTCTTTTGAAAGAAGCTATCCATGTCATTAGTTGTGGCTATGAAGACAAAACAGAATGGGGTAAAGAGGTAATACATATGTCACAGCATCGATTATACTTGTTTGCACGGTGTTGAGTTTCTTTTGACATTTATTGATCGAGGTTCTTTATACAACCAGATTGGATGGATTTATGGTTCGGTCACAGAAGATATTTTGACTGGCTTCAAGATGCATGCTCGTGGATGGATTTCAATTTATTGTATGCCGCCTCGACCAGCATTCAAGGGTTCTGCTCCCATCAATCTTTCAGATCGTCTGAATCAGGTTCTTCGATGGGCCTTAGGTTCCATTGAAATTTTCCTGAGCAGGCATTGTCCGATATGGTATGGCTATAGTGGAAGACTCAGGCTTTTGGAGAGACTGGCCTACATCAATACAATCGTCTATCCGCTAACATCTATTCCATTGCTGGCTTATTGTGTTCTTCCAGCCATTTGTCTTCTCACCAATAAATTCATTATTCCTGAGGTAATCAAATTTTGTCTGCAGTTTGGTTTATCGGCTTATCTTTGGGTCATGTTCGAGATAATGTGTATCATTTTTGGCCGCAAATATTTAGAATTTGAAACTTTTCATCACTTTTGGTCCTAAATTAGTTCTAAAATAAACGAAGTTAACAGTAGACCTCGTTAATCAATCAAATCAGAGAAAACTAAAAGCATTTAAATTGAATCTACTGTTGCATTTTCTTAGCTAATAGTTTCTGTCTGTTATGCATTCGAATCTAAAGATACTATTTTAAGTTTGAGAATGTCAATACCACAGGATCTGCGTCATTTTACTGTATTCTGACTTTTTAATCTCTGCTCTTCTGCAGATAAGTAACTATGCTGGCATTTGGTTTATTCTTCTCTTTATATCCATTTTTGCTACCGGAATTCTGGAGCTGAGGTGGAGCGGTGTGAGTATCGAGGATTGGTGGAGAAATGAGCAGTTTTGGGTCATTGGTGGTACATCTGCCCATCTTTTTGCCGTCTTCCAAGGTCTTTTGAAAGTGCTTGCTGGGATTGATACCAACTTCACTGTTACTTCAAAGGCATCCGATGAAGATGGAGATTTCGCGGAACTTTATGTCTTCAAGTGGACATCCCTCCTCATTCCTCCCACCACTGTCCTCATTCTCAACTTGGTGGGTATTGTGGCTGGAGTTTCATATGCCATAAACAGTGGATATCAGTCATGGGGTCCGCTATTCGGTAAACTGTTTTTCTCGATTTGGGTGATTGTTCACTTGTATCCCTTCCTCAAGGGTTTGCTCGGCAGGCAAAACCGCACACCTACTATTGTCATTGTCTGGTCTATCCTCTTGGCATCGATATTTTCCCTGCTTTGGGTGCGAATCGACCCCTTCACATCGGCTGCCACAAAAGCTGCAGCGAACGGTCAATGTGGAATCAACTGCTAAAAGAATTTGAGAAAGGTTCTTCTTCTCGATGCACAATCTCCCATACTTAAAAAACTTATTGTGACATGCTGGTCTTCGTGTATATAGAAAGTCCAGTTGAAAGGCACAAAAAAATGCATGCATGTTGGGTCCTTGAGCTTAAGTGGAATCAATTGAGAGAACCCTAGTATTTGCGTTTGCGCCTCCTCTCCTCTGAAAAGAGTGATGAACAACAGTTAGCATCATTCTTCTGTAATTTTGTCCTAAATTATATTTTCCTTTTTGTATACATCTGTGGCCAGTGACCAAATGTTGTGATAGAGGATTCAATGGACTGGCTGTATGGAAACAAACTCAATACTAAAGGTTGATTGATTCATGAGGTGCAATGTTAGTGATTGGACGTAGAGAATAGTACAGTATTGCTTTGAATGCATGAATTTTGTTTTGTCATCTGAGCTTGCCTCCACGACTGTAAGCTCTTTCCAGTTTCCAGAAAAGGATCCGGTTTCTAAATGGAATAGAGTACCTCCAGAAAAGTTCTTTTGAGTTAGCTATCGAGTAATAATGAAATAATAATAACTTCAAAGCTACATTATACCTACATTGGCCACATATGGGCTGTTTTTCATTAATTATGTTCTATCGAGAAAATCCCATCCCCCTCCTCTATTTCGGTAGTTGTAGGTAAACAAATTGAATTAGTTGATAATTGGAAAATGATACTATATTATTCTTATCGCTGAACTAGTACGTTTTAGTTAATCAATACAAACAAAAAGAAAAAGAATAATTCTTGATTATTTGTTGGATAATAGAAACTGAATTAAGAGAGCTGATCAGCTGTTGCCGATTTAATTAGTACCTTGGAACGATTAATTGGCACGAATCAAACGATTTGGGTTTTATTGATCCACGGTACAATAGCATGCTTGCTAACAATTGTTGAGATTCCGAACCACAATATCAAATACTTCCTCTCCATCGATAAAAAGGAGGAAAAAAAATAACACTGTCCACTTCTGTTGTATAAGCTGGGCCGCTGGGGCAGCCATTTTCAATAGTTTGAAAAACTAAATTAAGAAAAACAAAGAGGAAAAGAATAGATGCGCATGCAATTCAAGCTACTCATTCCATCCGAAGATAATACATTAATTAACTAGATTCCGGACCCGTGTATTCGCACGAATATAAAATTAGTATTGATTTTTTTATATATAACCTTGTAAGTGTAATATTCTTACTATTTTCTATGTTACAATATTATTTGATCAACAAAAGTTCATCTAATCATATTTATAATGTCTTACTGAAAAATTAATTTAGAAGCCTCAATGAATGTCATCCTAAAAAAAAAATTTTAAGCCGAGCTACAGATATCTTTTCCCCAAATAGGGGAACTAATAAACACATATGCCCATTATCATTTTTAGATGAATAAGTCCGTTTCTCCCCACTCACTGTTATTTGTTTTTATGTACCTTTCTCTTATTATTCATTTATCTTTATTAAAACAGTAACAGTTCTTTACCAAATTTAGAGAAAAATAGAAATAAAGTAGCATCATAAACTACAAAAAGTACCTAGCTTCTTTAGGGTGAATGTTCTAAGAATCACCTCATAATAGTTTTGAAATCAAATCCCGCAACCTAAGGATCATAAATTCAAATTATTACTGGATAAAAACTCCAAACAATTTTTAGGTTGTTAGTTTCCTTCTTGGCAAGGTTTCTTCTTCTTAATCTCTTTCACTTCATTCCCTTGGCTGATATCAAAATCAGGGACTTTCCCATAAACACGTTTATCTTCAATTTCTTTTTTAAGAATTTCTCGGTTTCCTCCATAAACCTCACCAAATCCTTCTTAGTCGAATGCATAAATATTTTTTTTCAGGGATTGAACATTTTAAATTGGAAGTTGAATGTGTAATATTTAGCTTAGCTTGTAATCTTTTTTTTTTCTTTTCTGTGCAGCGTGGGAAAAAATCACTCATGGTATTATCAGGCAATCACCTCAGGGATTAAGAATAGGAATAATTCTGGTATTTCTTTCCTTTTTCTTGTATAATTTTATTTTGACTTGGGTGAGGAGAGGTTTACAGAAATTAGGACACTTGAAATTTTGGTAAAAAAGGTGATTGTTGTTATAATGGGAGTTATTATTATAAATTATAGATAATATACTGTATTATGTCCTGAGAAATAATATCAGGAAAAAAAGGAAAAAAAAAACCTACTTTATTTGTACTACAAAAACAATCTATTAATTTGATGTGTTTACTATTTGTGATGCTTCTACATCACTTCCCGGCAAAGTAGATGCATGGTTTGAAGTCAACTAATGTATGTTTGCCCGAATACAGTATCATTTTGTTATTAATCCGGATATCTTTTTATTACTAATAATATTAAATCTACCCGTACATATACAATATATACATAGAGCTATATATTGGGGGGAAAATTACCAAGCTCGTGGGTTTGAAATGATTAAGAAACACAAAATAACAAAACTTGAATTCAGGGATGCATCCAAATCAATAGTTTGACCTAAGAGCAACTAAAGATTGATAACCTTGAACAAACTCCAATCGCGAGAGTTGAAAATCTCCATACATCCAATATTTCAATTAAAGGGGATCCCATGAGTATCTTCTCATAAATCCCTTCTCTCGTTTGCGAACCAATATTCTCAAAAATTAAAATTAAAAAAAAAAGTATGTTTTGATTTTTTTTAGCATGTGTTTTTATGATGTATTTTTTTATATTAGGAATGTAACAAGTTTTACTTATGAATGTAAGATGTAAAGTCATACATCGATAAATTAAGAAATCTTAACCTCTTTTTTCTGACAGTCAATTTGAGAATAGGTATCTTCAAGACGAATGCTTCAAGATTCATATTTTGATCATTATAATAAAGCAGAGTAGATAATATGCATATGATCTTCTCCTCCCGTATAATCACTTCTCCAGTTCTAAATCTAACCCGAAAACCCTTAGAAAAATAAAGAATTTTACAAAACGTTAGTTGTGGATCAAATACTAAAGTTAGACGAGAATTTACTTAATAAAGAATGAATAGGCCTGTTTGATTATCATAAAAGTATGAGAAAGTAAAATTTACATTACTTAGACTTTAATTCTTAGGAAATTAAATACTTTATTTTGCATCCAATTTTTTTTCGAGAATCGAGTCATTATCCTCCTGATAATAATCATTCATATCCTAATTATATCCTCGTATTTTAATTCTTTACATGAAATTTTAATTACCGTTTTAGTATAAACTACCATGGCTTTCATTAAATTTTGTTGGATCCTTATGGAGAAACAATTCATAAGTGTTTTGACAAAAAAAAAAAAATCTTGAATTCAAAATTGTTTGAACCAAAACTAAAAGATGTGCTACCAACTAAAGTTAAATTTGTATTGATTTGATCTGACAAGTTTGTAGAGTTCAAATCTTATCGACATATATTATAATTGGGGAATGTAATCTTGGTTTTGGTAGTCCTTCCTCTTACATTTATTTTGATTTTTCATTGTATTTGTGTGAAATTTAATGTTTACTGAAAAATTAAATATTAGAAGAGAATGAAACATACAGAACTTATGATAATTTACTACTTATTATTATTGTTAGAATTTGATACATCACAAAAGTAGTTGTAACGATTTTAACTTAAATTTCATAGTTCTTTCCATTATATTTCGTAGACTTTTCACTTTTCATCTTCCTCCCATTAAATTATGTTTTCATTTCTCATCAATAAGTGGATTTGATAGGCCAAAAAACAGTTCTGCTGATTCTAATCTTATTGAATTCCTTAGTATGTTTCTTCCTTGTATTCTTAATTTTTCAGTATATATATAATCCTAGATAGTGTATGAGTTTTTTCGTATCTTTCTTTTTCTTTCTTAGAGTCTTTGCTTTTTATGTTTTGTGACCTCTGCATTACAAGTCTCTTGAAGGTAGTCATTTTTCATTGTTCATCTTCATCTTTTTATTTTTTCTTCTATTATTTAGTTTTTATCTTGATTCGGTTTTTTTTTTTTTAGGTTGTTCCTTTTTCTGGGTGAAGCATAAATTAGATTGTATTTTATTACTTAGTTTATATATCCTTTTTTTTTTCTACTCACATTTGGAATACTATGTCGTTGAAATCAAAAGGGCCACGTTTATATAATATAAATTTTGTAATGTAGTCGTGAGTCAAAATTTGTCTATTATGAACAAATTTTTTTTTATAAAATTTGTATAATATTATATAAAGAAAAATTTGATTGCATGATAGCCTCGTGCATTGTATTCATCGTGATGGCATGAGCCATGTCTTATTCACATATCAGGTTAGTATTCTGAAATTTTTTTAGCATATTAGAAATACGCATGAAGATTAATGAAATTTTGAAGAGTCTTTAAATAAATTTTACTGTTTGTAAATTCGATTTGCTTTTGGTTTCTCTTAATGTACATGTTTAGAGAAATACATAATTAATTTATAATTTGTTTTTAATTAATATATTTACACATATGATTGTTATATTAGTTTAACTGTGTTTTCCCTCTAATTTTGGGTGAAGAGATTTAAGTTTTTCTCCACACTTACCTTTCTCCCTGGATGATGTTGAAGGATTGTCTCAGAGAAGGTTCCAACGACATCAAAGGTGGGCTCTACCCTTTTTGAGTCTTATAATCTATGGTTCAATGTTATTTTTCTTTTTCTTTTTTTTAATTTATTATTATCAGCCACTTTTAATCAGTGTATGTATATAGTTAAGAAAAAAAATAAAAAATCCTTTGTTACAAAATACAAAGATGCAATCAAATTGCATCCCTCAGAAAATAAACATGAAAGTTATAAGTGAGTATATAGTAAATTAGATATTTGAAGTGTTTTAAATAATCAAGAATTTAATTATCTACATCACTACAAAGAAATTTGAGTTAGCATAATATTTGTTCCTCTTTATTAGTTGAGATTCTTTTTCTTCCATGCACAACGAGATTTTGTTTGGGTAATTTCATCATAGCACATGCATATTTTAGAAACATTATAAGTATATTTTCATTATTATACCAAAATTTCACTTGTATAATGTCTATTTCTTTCAATTAAGTATATTCTTTCTTTTTGGTTCATATTAACTATACATTTTTTTATTTTAAAATTACAAGCACGCGCGAAGCGCGTATTATGCCCCTAGTATAATATAATGACTTATATTCAAACTCGACCATTCAATGAAGTTTTCTTTTATAAATTAAATAACTTGTTTCGATTTATTTATTATTACTATTTTCAAATCAAGATTTTGATTTTTATATTATTTTAATTTCAAATTTTAAAAATTAAAGTATAAAATGTTCAAATTCAAATTAATTTATAATAATTTCATGTTAAATAATGTAAATTAAGTATAATAATGAATTTTATTTGACAATTTTGACATAATAAGTGACAATTTAAAGACGGAACATGAGTTTGTTAAGATATACAATAACAAATATATAATATGAAGATTATAAAAATAAAAAGTTTGTACAAATTTAAAATCTAATGTGAATCAAAAAGAACCATGGCGTTGGACAGGAAATCATAATCATGAAATTGAACTTATTCTTCTAGACTTTTTTTTGACTATGGAAATTTTTTTTACTTCTTCAAAACTAAACAAAGAAAGTGATTAGTTTTGTGAATGAAACAAATTAGGGCAATATTGTTGACAATAAACCTTCGAAAGTGATAATTTGAGTACAGTAGATCAAAAAAGCAACTTGCAACATTGCACGAGTAGAGCTCCCCATATTGATCCTCTAAGCAGTAATTCCTTAATGTTAGGAAGTGGTGCTTCTCCCCCATAATAATATATAAGTAGCACACTTTATGTAATCAAAATTGACGCCAACATTCTTCTCAAAGCTAACAGAAGTTTATGATATCTCAAGGGAATTCAACAAGCCCCTGAACTCCATCACGTATTTCACGGTTAGTACTTCTTCATCGAATAGAAACTTGATGTGGGATTTACTTCATTTTTTCGCACGAAATATCAACTTTGAAATATCCACATCCTTTCACTTATGGCCCTTATGGCCAAGTCGATAATGTACTCGAACAGAATCAATTCAGGCACTTCAAAATTTACCTGCTGCATATAGTTGATTTTTTCTAGTAAAACTTTCCTTAAAAGAGGAACTTTTTATATGAATCTTAGTGAATGTTGTGAAACATTTGATTTCTATTTCTTGTAGATTTGGGAATTTTTGGGTTCAATTTGCAACAAATATCACCTTCATTCTCAATTCCCAAATGATCCATTCCCAGGTCATCCAAAAGACAGAGTTGTTTGAGATTTTATATGTAGCTCCATAAAATATGATGAACATGTTATAACACTTCCGTTGTTTCATTCACAAAACTAATCACAGGAGATGACAATCTTGAAAAGTGGCCAAAAAGGGATAAATTTAAAGTCTTTAAGGCATTGTTTTTTAGAGCCAATTTCATGCAATTATTGTAAACCTCTCGCCGGAGTCTGATATCGTGAAAAGACTCCTCGGCACTCAAGACTAAAGTAAAGACTTTGATTTTCCGCACAATAACGCACCCGAGTAGAATAAAGACTGAGAATTTCCTCTCTTTATAATCTTTTCAACTTTTCTAAATCGACCATGAAACCTTTTCTTTTTGCTAGAGAGCAAGTTGAGTTGCGCATCAACAAGGATGGTCGGACGCCTGTTTACTGTTGTTATGAAATCTTTTGTAAAAGTTCAAATCTGTAGAGCGATTTTTTTTTGTCAAGATAGGAAAGAATTTTATGCTGAAACTAATCTGCTAACTTACTCAACTTGTTCTCCATAATTATTTTAGTAAAAGAACACAAAGAAGAAGAGGAGTAGGAGCATCCAGCATTTTGCTATATTATATTTTTATTATACTTTTTTCTACATTATTAATTCAATATTGAATGATCATGGACCCGCAATTGAGCTATCCATTAATTTTTTTTAATCATTTTAAAAAAAAATTAAATAAGATAATCTGTATTAATTACATGATGGCCCACCAAACCATGTATTCAATCGTATAAGAATTCTTACATTCTCCCAATTTATTAAACTTCATGTCATGGCAAATAGTGTAATAAAATAATAATTCATTTTTTATTAACCACCACTAAAGATGCTCTAAGAAGAAGAGGAGGAGCAAGTAGAAGAATTTGAAATAGAAAGGGAGTCCTGATACAGTTTGGAAGAAGCCTTGGTCTCTAAAATTGCCGCCAAAATATAATATTTTATATGGAAGATACTTAATAATAGATGTGCATCGGCGGAACAATTACAGAAGCGGGGAATTTCTGTACCTCTGACATGCCTAGCTTGCAGTCAAAATGATGAAACTAATACACACATTTTCTTAGAATGTGACAAAGCACGACGAATATGGTTTTTGTCTCGTTTTGGCTTCAATTTTGAGGGAGGTGTTCCACAACCTGTCCATCAATGGCTTGCAAATTGGATGACTATGGCACCAGATCGAGAACTTTTAGAAGAATCTTTTATCATATTTTGGCACATCTGAAAAAGTCAGAACAGATTAGATTGGGAGCATAAAAGTTCTACCCTAGAAGAGATAATTAATAATGCGGCTTTTGAATATCAATCCATCAAAAGAAACTGGACTTCCATGTACTCTTCTGTGACTCTATCACGGGACACACAATCATCAACACTTGATAATGAAGGGTCCCTCACAATGATCTTTGATGGAGCTTTAAACAATGAAACACTAGATGCAGCTGGAGCCTGGACTATCCTTTCTCCTGTTAGTGCTTCTTCGGTAATACACACCAAAAGATTCAAAGCACTATCTGCACTACAAGCAGAGTCTACGACTTGTCTGGAAGCCATCAAATATCTGGCACAACAGAATATAACAGAAGCCATTATTGGCACAGATTCACTTAATTTAGTTTAATATATAAGCAACCCAAATAAGGCTCTAACAGAGATAAGAGATATTCTCATGGATATTCTCTTTTATAAAACTTTGTATAGACACTATAGAATATGTAAAATTAGTAGAGAGCGACTGAATCTAGTGCATAAAAGCAACAGAATATAATCAGACTCCTATCCTCTTTCCTTTTCAATAATAAAATTTCCTGCTGTTGTTTATAAAAAAAAAAAAGAAATAGAAAGGGAAAAAAAACTAGTTATTTATTATAAGACGGACTAATTATGAAGTGCCCAAACCAACCAGGAAGTCCTTCGGAAGTCAGCCTGGCCCAATATGCATACGGCCCAAAAGAAAAAAATAAAAGAAAAAGATTAAGAATACGACCACGTTTAGGATTGAGACAAACGGAGCAAGGGTTTTTAAAGAGTTCCGGGGGTGTGATAGAAGGGTTTCAGGGAACCATAAAAGAAAACAGTAACTTTTAGGGAAGAAGAAAGAAGAAGAAGAGAAAGCGAAAGAGAAGGAAGAAGAAGACATGGAAGCCATAACCGAAGGAGTGAAGAAGGTTAACATCAACAACAACAGTGATAACAATAACCAGAAGAGGAACCGTATCCAAGTCTCCAACACTAAGAAATCCCTCTTCTTCTATGTCAATCTAGCCAAGGTATTACCAAAACCCCCTTTCAATCCGTGCCTTGAGTATTAATGTGTGTTTGTGTCTTGGGTCTTCTAATAGGGTTATTGTGAATTTATTAAGCTTTGTTTTATTTTTCTGGAAAGAAGTTGAGATTTTCATTGTTTTTTGTAACCCTCGTGAGTGGGTTTAATTTTTGTTCTTTTGGTGACGTGTCCATTGAGGGTTTTCTGATACAAGCAGCGGTTTTACTCTAACCATTCTTAATCAATTAGTTAGCTTTTTTATGTTACCTCAAGTTTGCTTCTCGGATGCACTTATGGAGCAAAAGACTGATAATAATGTTGGAAAGTTCATTGTTATGTATAATCTGAGAATATGTCGAGCTAGGTTATGCTGGAGATTCCATTACGTATATGGTTCGACATCTCTTAAGCAGTTGAAATTCACTTTTGCCTTTGATATTGATAACTTGGTTCTTTTAAAACTTTGTGGATTCTGTTGTAGCAAATCAATTTGTTTAAGCATGTGTGTAACTGATATTAGCTGTCTGAAGGCTTCAATAGGTCCTGTTTGCTAATTGAATTCTGCTTTTCTTCAAATTATTTTAGCTAAATAAATGGTCCTACTTTCTTTTCGGCAGAGGTACATGCAGCAATACAACGAGGTGGAACTTTCTGCTCTTGGGATGGGTACAATTTCTTTCTTTCATTCATTTGATCTTCACAGTTGGCTGCTTAATGTCAGTTGTATACCTTTGGCCTAGTTTCTGAAGTTATATATCTGTTGTCTGCAGCAATCGCCACTGTGGTTACTGTTGCCGAGATTCTTAAGAACAATGGATTTGCTGTGGAAAAGAGTAAGATTCACTTTCCCTCTCCCTTGCCCCCTTGGAATGCCATTTGTTTGTGAGTTTGTTCCTTCATGTTTACTGTGTCTTTTATGTTCAGAAATCAGGACCTTGACTATAGATATGAGGGACGAGCCAGGTGCACGACCAGTACCAAAAGCAAAGGTTAGTTTGCGGATTAAGTGTTTTCTGAGTAGTCTGGCTATGCGTGTGCTTGGTGTGGGGCGTATATGTGGTGGACTGGTTTAGTTTTAGCCCTATTTTATCTCTTTCTCCCCTTCATGCAAGTTTAAAAGGCACATGAACATGAAAGTGATTCCTTATGTTTGTGCTTTGTTTCCTGCTTCATTTTAGATTGAAATCGTGCTGGGCAAAACGGATAACTTTGATGAGCTGATGGCTGCGGAAGCGGAACAAAGAGAATATGGAGAGAACGAGGAGCAAAACTAAACAATTATTCCTGTAGTCTTCATTGTCTTCGAGTCTCTTCAGTGGAGTTTTGATCTGTTGTTCTATTAACTCGAGTAAATTTAAAAACTTAATTAGTTTTACACTGCTGTTATCTATTTTGGTGTTCATTTAATCAAATATTCTACATTTTATTCTGCTAAAATTTACTTTGGAGTTCTCTGCTTGAGATACTGTATGTTTGCTACATGGGAATTCATTGAATCTTTGGTGTCCATCTCTCGGTATGAATATGAATTGGCAGGGGTCAATTTGACACTACTTTCTTCGTGTATCTTGTTCTCAGTGATGGTGATGCCAGGTTGAATCCATATTCTATGTCAGACTTGAAATTCTGTTTCATTAGGGTTAACACCAGTGAAGAACTTTTGAAATTACACGAGAAACCTTTCCTGTGTCCCCCTTCATCTCTACCTTTGTTCCCCTGATTTCTGGATAGCATGTATATTGCCAAATACTGTATGATAAGGCACTAGCATAAACACACAGAATTTTATCTAATCAGACAGCATTAAGTTCTAATTCTTCATATTGAAGACATTAATGTCTCCAAACTTTGTTACCTGATTTTCACAAAACTCAGCTTCAGAACATGATTCTTTAAACCAGGAAAACAAAAATGAGAACCACTGAACGGTAATCTCCCCCAACAAACTAACAAGCCTGAGCTCCATGGCACAATCCTGGGCAGCAAAATTCAGCTGGGATGCACAAGTATACAAAATGAAGTTCATGTTGCGAAAACAAAATCATTTTCCTACTTCAAATGGTTGTACATTTATCTCCCGATTAGTACTGATATCTATATTAATGTTCTCTACTCTTCATCTTCTTTCTCTACCAATATCCTCTTACATGCTTCATAACACATGAATGAAATCCCTGCAGCTGGTACAAGCTTCATACAGCTCGGTCCAAGCCCTTTATAAAGACCTTGAATCCCTTCTTGTTCGAGTATGCAGGCAAGGGCATGTATCACATTGTTGTAGGCTTGCCTGCCACTAACTGCTCCTACCTGCATGTGCTTTCTGGCTACCTCAAGCGGGAAAGTAGCGCTACTGGAAATAGCGCCAGCCGCAGAGCCAATCAAAAGGGTTTCAATATTCCCAATCTTTTCTTGTTTGGCAATTTTTCTGTATAACTTCCGCAAGGTATCATAGGCAAAGTAATTTGTCGCAGCATATGGGATCACTCCAATAAGACTAGGAGCAAGACCTCTGTAAAGCTCTCCAGGTCCACCCTCTTCTAATATTTTGACAAATGCATCCAATAAACCATTATAAACTCCCCTCTGCAAATTAGCACAAAGCGTAAGAAGGGGAAAAAGTAAAAATAAAAAGACGATACATACGTTGGTCTAAAGAAAATCTGAACAGTTTGCAGCTAGGAAAATTGGTTTGATTCTACCTGTATTGTTAGTCGTGTCTTGATTAACTCGAGAGGATATGTCACCAAAGTGGAACTCACTCCAGCACAGGCTCCTGCAATTAGTGATGCAGGTAAAGGCAGTTTGGACTGTTCTCCGGCCTTTGGTGACAGATTCTTATTGACAGTATCATAAGCAAACAGCTGCAAACAACAGAAAAACTTTCAACCAGCGATTTGAGGAATCATACAATAGGCTTAATATCAATCACTGATTAAGGGGCACACTACTAAAACTGCATTTAATTTGCATTTGAATTCCACATCCAATATTAAGTAAGCAGAATGGTAATCCCATCAGAACTCAGTAATATCTTTAGGGTCAAATGCCGATAGAAAGAGTCCAACAAAAAGCACAGAACTTGATATAATAGAATAAGCATGCACAATTCTGATATGGCATTTGTACCGAAAAGAAGAGTTTGATAACAATGAGTATTGTACATCGATATTTCATACACAGATGGCAAAAGAACCACGGAGACAGCCCTGTCATGATTCGCCCCTCCCATCTGATGTATGGTATACAAATTACGATGATGTGGAGTTCCAACCACATTGCTTGAGGAGATTCTTACAATGACAAAGGAAGTGTAATTGATGAGTCAATGAGAACACAAAAAAAAAAAAGCATAAACAAGGTTCCAGGGATAAGGATAAAGTTGCAGGTCCACAAAGCCCACTTAACTCATAAAATGAAAAGTTGAAAATACCTTCTTAGGATGGATTACAGCCAGCATGTGTAATAATTCAAAGCTAATAAACTCAAGTTTCATGAAAAACTCTAAACTCTTATACACAAAACTAGAGTAATCAAATTCAGAACTCATCCTAGTACGACAAATGGACAGACTATAATCTTGTAAGAAATGTGAATACAACTACATTCTGAAAAAATAGCATCCTCATTACACAAAAACAGCAAAATAAAACAATGATAAGTAGAATGTTTTTTTTTTTCCGGCTTTTACCTCAATGGCTTTGCTGGGGGCAACTCTGATCACATTAACCAGATTGCCCCGAAACAATCCTTTCCAACCATCATGCTCCATTATATTATTGAATACCTCAATAACAGAATGGCCGCTACTCCCGACCATCAGATGAGTTCGTATTGTCTCCAATGGTGCAACAGCAGTCCTGGAAACTGCACCAGCAATCGCCCCACTAATCAACCTCCTCAATGAAGGATTTGCAATCTTAACCTTGAATTGCTTCCCACCCCTTTTCTTCTTAACCCCAAACTCCTCCTGTGATGGCAAATATTTCACATAAAAATCAGTGTATGGTAACTTAAAACCTTCTTTTTCCCCGTTTCTGGAATGCTTATCAGGGGAAGAAGAATTTTGGGAAACACCAACTCCCATGTTCTTCCCCATTTGGCCTACAGATGCAAAGAGACCACCAACTCCAGGAGGGTAAATTTTATTCTTGCAATCATCATCAATTGGGAGTAAACTACATTCAAACAAACCTAATTGAGAATTTGGCAAAAATCCACCGCTTTTCCACTCCAAAGACTCCAATTTTATTCTCCCCATCTCTCAATACCTTCGTTATAAAAGAAATAAAAATTACCACTTTAAAATAATCTATAAAAGCTCAGGTGGTGATAAAAATCTCACGTTTGGAAGCAATTTGGGAAGCAACACATTTGATTTCGGCCAAGAGGGTGGTGAAAAAATCCATTCGTGACCATTGAATACACAAACAATTGGTTGGATTCGCCCTATAAAAAAAAAAATAAAAATTGAAGGGAATAAACCAAAGCAGCTTTACTCAAAGTGGGTAAGGGAAGGGAGCTTTGAAAAAATGTGAATTTAAAAATCAAACAATTGGAGCAATCTTCGACAGATATTATAACTGTTTTTGGAGGAAGAAGTGAAGGTGGTTGGACTCTGTCACTTTGGTTCTTTTTCTGCTTTTCACCCTATTTCCTAACCCAACAACTTTCAAAATAATAACATAAGTCATTATATCTTTTTATTGTTGTAATTTTATTTTATTTTTTCGCTAATTACGCTGAATCTTTATAGAAACTAGTGTGTGTCCCGCGCTTTGCACGGCTTTGTCAATGTTGAAAATTTATATTTCAAAAGAATTGATTAGATAATGTAGTTACAAATATACCGTCTTTATTCTCTTAAAAAAATGTAGTTACTAATATTTCTTAAAACTGTAATATTATTTTGATTAATCAATTTTAGATCAAAGTGAGAGGTATTGATATTATTTATGAGAGATATATTTGTGAGATCTGGTAAAAAAATATTACAACAAAAATTTTCAAAAGTTGTATAATAAAAATTGTCACCACTAACTAATGTTATGTTTGGTTTAAAAAACATATTTAAAAATGCGTAAATTATGTCTAGATGCATATGGCCTATTTTTATAGGCAAGTGGACTTTGGGGATTACATGTAGTTCTAATAAAATATGAGACACAATTAATCGTTCTTGAAAATGTAAAATTGATAAACTTGAAAACTAAATAGCATACAAATGAAACTTTAAGGGCCAAAATGACAATAGGTTAAAAGTTTAAACTCGTAAATGAAAGGACTTTTGAAGTCGGGAGTTTCTCACTTTTTTAAAAAATATTCATTTTCAAGCTCACAATCAGGAATTTGTAATATCTGTAAAAATCTTATATACTCCCTCCGTCCCACAAAAATAGTCCAGTTTGAAACTGTACAACTTTTTTAATTTGGTCAACACACCAAATGTACAACTCATTTCATTCCCTTAACTTACACTAATACCCTTCTAGTTATTTCTATAAAAGTTAACTGCATATGCATTTATTTTACAACTTAAATTTGATTAAAATTTTTATCTCAAAAAATATTGACAATAAATCTTGATGGAAAGATCTCGTTACGTAGATTAATTTGATATATAACACATTTTTTAATTATTCATGTATTAAAAGATATAATCATTTGAAAAAATAAGAGAAAACTAAAAAAAATGAAAATCAAAGGAAGTGGACCTTATTTTTCATACCACTACTCTTTTGGATATTTAAGTCATTTCAATTCAATGAATTTTGACTTTTGTTAAACTGGACTATTTTTTTAGGACATGATTTTTTATTAAATTGGATTATTTTTGTGGGACGGAGTGAGTAGTAAATAATTTATTAACTGTTTACAAAAAATTTTAACTGATTAATGATCAACCAATTAGCAAATGACACGTATTAATTGAGACTTAAGGTCTCAATGAGCGACACGTGTCGATTATCTTTCTTTCCTTTAATATATATAATAGTTCCCAATTTATTCGTTTGATAGGGGGTGTTCCATTTGTGTACTAGGGTGAATTTAAATTTAATTAAAAAGCTAGAACTGTGTTTCTAATTATAATTTTCAAATTTAAAATTAAATTAGCTTCCAACTCATCCTCATCTTCTCATATGGGTATTATCTTCTACTTTTATTGTTGTTGTTACATATAACATGTCACTTTATTACACTGTGAATATCTCGATAAATGTTACTGTTTAACACTTTTTTCGGTAAATATTTATCTTTTTTTAGTAGATATTCAAAAACAGTTAGTATGTATACTCGACATTTTGTAGTTGTACTACTGTTTCTCTGCGGAAAGCCGGGTGATCCCCAAATATAATGCCTCCTTCATTGCTAAAAGACATGACATTACCTCACTTTGAAAAGGAGAAAATACACTTAAATCTATCGTTTTGATTTGCATCACGATACCATGAGGTGAGTTTCTATGCTGAAAGTCACGGGGGAAAACACACGAGAAAAGAAAATAAATGGGCGGCACTGACTGTTTTTGGTGATCAAAATTGGGCTTTAACTATATTTTTTCATGTAGTCAATCAAAAAAAAAGAAAACTAGTAGTTCGATATTTGGGCCTCAGTTAACATGATCCAAAAACAAATGAGCCTTTCCCTTAACAGTTTCAAAGCATCGGTATTTTTTGAACCCAAAAACAAGAAGAAAAAAAAGAAAAAAGAAAATGTCAAGTTCACAGTGAATCATTGTCATTTGTCGCAGTGAATGCTCAATTTTCACCCTGATTATGGTGGAGCTCATTTGTCCTATGATTTGTGTGAATGCTCAAATTCAAAGTGAACCATTGTCCTAATTATGGTGGAGCGATTTGAAAATGCTAATTACAGATTTTGTAAACTTAATGCAAACAAAATACTCTCTCCGTCCCATAATTATTGTCCACTTTGCCCAAAAAATTGTGTCCCAAAATTATTGTCCAATTTGACTTTTTATGGATCAAGTTATACATTTGTCCTTAGTAAAAACATTATCCATAAAATCTTAGTGGTTAAACAATTACTTATGGAAGGGTATATCCGGTAGTTTAAGGTAAAATATAGTTAAATTTGACCAAAAATAAAATCTTTCATTTTAGTAAAACTGGACATTAATTATAGGACGGAGGGAGTATATATGTATAAGCCATAAACACATGTACAATTACTTATTTATTTATGAAACTTCACTCACTATTCTTTTCCCTGCAATAAAGATGTTGAATTCCAAAACATTACTCCATCCACTCCAAAAAAAAAAAAAGAAAAAGAATTATTCATTTTATTGAATTAGAATACATAGTAATATAATAAAATAGATTATTTTAATTGGACACGGAGAGTACTAGATAGTAGATAATTACCACTCTAGGGGTGTGAAACCTGGAGAATGGGTGCTCCAATTGGGTTTTGAATCCTGCCGATGGATGATATATAATATATTCTCGTTATATAAGGAAAAGAATCAGATTATAAAACTCTTTAATAATATAAAACTCTTTAATCTTGTAAAACTCTCTCAAATCTTGTAAAACTCTTTAATTTTCCTGGATCCTGCATAATATAAGTTATAAATAAATTAAATAAGTTGAATTTATTTTAAAATTTTGTCTGAAAATAAATTCGGAAGAAACATAAAGCGCATTCGGGACACATTTGATATCATTTTTGAACTTAGGAGTTACCCAATGGCAAATATGGGTCGACGTTGATAATTAAAAGTTTCTGCATTTTCAGTTTTCTCATTTCTGTTGTCATATTTATAGAGGACACTTCAAAGCTTTAATCTTGGATTGATTTGTTGTAATGTGTTTGCTAACCAGCTGGTCCAATAATTTTGCCGAAACATACTCTGGATTGCAGTAATTGGAGTAATGACAAGTGACAATTTTTATACCTAAAAGTTTTGACATTTCTAGAAAAGCCAAATTATTATTATTATTATTATTTTTAATCATCCTCTTTTTTTTTTCCCCCTCAAAACAAACAATAACAATTAATCTTACAATCACAAAATATAGATACTGTGCATTAGGTTGCTCTTTTTGTATACGTAGTGAAAACAAACGCCAAAAGCACTTCAGTCATCATTGATTGGTTACATTATTTCTGTTTTCTTTTGTCTTTTTAAGCTAGTTTTGAAGTTTTAGTGCTAGCTAGGAAACAAAAAGATGTTTCTGGAATATGGAAAAACATGTAGCTAGGTTTTATTTAGAAAATTAATTCTCTCTCTCTCTCTCTCTCTCTCTCTCTCTCTCTCTCTCTTTTTTATAGTCTAATCAAAACCCACTAATCCACATCGTTATAAGGTTTGATTGAGATTCAGTGCAGAATCATAAGATTTTTTAATGTGATTGGTTCAAAGATAAGAGTATTAACATATGTTTAATCATAATTTCACGGATTCATATTTATAAGAGTGAATTAAATTCGATATTGTCACATTATGTTTATATATATTCCAAATGTTGCATCCCTATGTCCCAAAATTATGGTCCAATTTAAATTTTTATTGTTAGTTTAATTTATATTAAAAATAAAAATTCGAACTGGATAATAATTTTAGAGCGGAAGGAATAATAGTCAGCTAATCTGCTTCTAGATTCATCCCAATAACTACAGACTAGGTAAGCCAGCTCGATCATGGCAGAAGAGGAGAAAGAGTTTCAGCGTGTTCCCACATAATATTAGATTCCCCCACAAGCGCATGCGCAGATTGATCAGATAATAATTACCTTACCTCAACGTGTGTGTATATATATATATATATATATATATATATATATATATATATATAATTCCCCGATATAACCTTCCTGAACCCCATGATTTTCTTATAAATTCCACAGCAGCCAGCTGGCTTAATTAGAAATGTCGACACATTTCGATCTTCTATATTTTTTGCGAATTTTAATTTTTATTACACTGTCGTTTTAAAATTTCGTAAAGTTGAACCTATTGATCCGTGAATATGTACGTTTCTTAATTTCTGCTTTGCAATTAATCGTTAATAAGATTATATAAGTACGTCTCAAACATACTAATTGGGAAATTATGAAGACAATTCAATTAACTTTATTAAACAGAAAATAGTTAAAAAATGATACGTTGTAAGTTGTAACTTCGAAATAGAAGGTGAATGAACTACTCATACATACGATGGTATATGTAGCTAGGGTTTCAGTTGGAAAAAATGTAAAACTGAAACAAATAACTAAAAACACGCGCATGATTAAGAATGAGGCTGCAAGAAATAAGAACATAAAATTAACTATGAGGTCAAGGTTTTAATTTCGTCGAGAAAAAACAAAAGAAACGAAAAATGGCAAAAAGAAATAAATAAATAAAAGTAATGCTGTCATACACGAGAGCAAAAGTGAGCACCATAAAACAAAAAAATCCAACACGGTTTATGATACATTGGAAAGTCAGAGACGTAATTTGTTCACATTATGTGGACCTCATGATGTGTTCTGACTTATCTTATTATCACAAATAATTATTTATAATTAATACACCCCCATTTTACACATTGCATGTGTGTATATATAAATTGGAGGGCAAGTAGTTTGTTTTGCCCACCAAAACAACAAATCTATTCAGTTGGAACGTAAGAAAATGGCAATCCTCTCGTTCCTAGGAGTTTTGGCAACATTGGCTTTGAGCTTAGTTTGCAACCATGTGAGCTTCGTCCTTGGGGATCTTGGCACCGCAACAGCTTATGCTCCACCATATACTCGTAAGTACTACTACAATATATATAGTTAAACACATATATAAGTACGTAGTTAATTTGTGATAAACGATATAATTCCTCTGTCTTAAAAGAATAATTCATATTAAGTTTAGAGTTCTGAAATAAAAGAAAGATAGATTCACGGTGAGATTAAAGTGATTAATGAATGTGATATTCAATATATCAGTTATTTATGTAATGGATTGTAATGATTTAATTAGTGACTGATATAATAAATTAATCACTAGTGTAAAGATTTACACATGTTAATTTATCTCTTTTATGTGTCAGTAGGGGTGGGTTTCACTTTGAAAATAAAACGTTCTCTTTTATCCTTCTTTGAATGAATTTGAATGATTAATGCATGCATGCACAGCCACAAGGTGCAACGGGAACAGGCAAGATCAGTTTCCAGCTGGGAATTTATTTGTAGCAGTGGGTGAAGGGCTTTGGGACAACGGGGCAGCTTGTGGAAGACGTTACAGATTGAGATGTTTGAGTGGGAACAATAAGCCATGCAAAGACATTGACACCACAATTGATGTTAGGGTTGTAGATTTCTGCCACAAATCCCCTTGTCCTTCCACCATGCTCATGTCCGTCGATGCCTTTTCAGCCATTTCACACTCCCCTCGTTCCAAGATCAACATCGAATACGTCCAGTAAGTGTGTACATTATCTCCTCTTCTTTCGTCCCAACGATTAAGAATTTACTCGTTGAATTAAGTATAGTTAATATGCGTTACATGTATATATCGCTGATTGTGCAGGATTTGATGGAGAAATCATAAAATGCCTTGCGAGCTGGAGTCAATCGTCTTTGAAGTTTTGTTCCACATCCTATTACTAGAATACTATGGGGTAGTTAGCACTTAGCAGCTTCTGGCAGTGTAGTCCAAATTTGAGGAAGAGGGAAAAAAAGAAAATGTACAAACAAAGAAGTTAATTTGAGAATCTGAATAGAGAAAGAATTACACCTTTTTCTTTTTTTTTTTGGATAAATGTTACTATAATTTTAAAATTTAATCAAAATCTCTCATTAATTGGGGGTTAAATCACCCTGTTACGTTCTTTCATCAACTTGGTCCCTTATTTTGCTTCGAATGCAAATTTTTTTTTGTTTCAGTTTGGTTTATGTTCAATACAAAATTGTTGACTGAATTAATTCGCCATATCAAAGTGCCCATAATTCAAGATTGTTCGGTGAATACGTTAATTATTAAAAAAAAACAAGAAGCAGAAGAAAAACAAAAACAAAAGTACCAGAAAGTTTTAAAAATCGAAAATCATAGATATGCATCCGTGCATGGGTATCCAAATGTCCGAAAAATCATTGAACAAAAGAAGGCTGCCACATGGATATTAAGTCAACATGAATGAATGAATGAATCAATAAAATGTCAACTCAGCGTATTTCGTGATCTCGCAATTACTGTATACACATTCGGTGGCTTTTGACTTTGCAGCTTTCCACATTTCTTCTGCTTAATTATTTGACCACTTCAATATACTCCTTCCCCTCCTTAATATAATGAATTTTGATTTATCATATGTTTCACGTACTACGTATTTTTAATTGATAAAAAAAACTTATCATATTGATTGTGTTCTCTTGATTGTTATGAAATATTTTTAAAGTTTTTTGTTACTTAAAAACACATATTATGTGAAACTTATGACAAATTAAAATATCTTATATTAAGAATCAGAGAAAGTATCGTACACTAGTACTGATAATTAAACCTTGATTCATCCTCATCCACACAACGCAATTCAACTCAACATTTTAACTTTTTCAAACCTTAATAATGGGAAAAACGCTAATATGTAATCTATTGTTTACGTTGAACTACTAGCTACTTAATTAGTTAACTTTTAATTGTAAAGATGGTTTCATTAATTTGTCCATTAGTGCAGCACTTCAGTCTGTTGTAGGTGTAGGTTCGTACCTCGTATTATATATATAATCATTTCTTTTGGAAGTAAATAATAATATTGAGATGCTTATCATCAGATATACACTAATTAGAAAGCACTAACATGTAACTTATGATTAAATATGTGGTCTAAACTAATGGCAACTAAAGTTTGAGTGTGATACCTTGGCCACTATCCCATTTTTCTTTTTTTACAAAAATACTGTAAAATGGGAAAATAGAAAGTCCAAGACACCAATATATATTGCGTACATTTTGTCTTGTGAAAAAATATTACTAATCAGACAACAAATCTTAATAATCACTTTCGTAAACACAAATCGATCAGTTGCCATTCATATACATATTAATTACTCACTCCGTCCCAAGATAATAGTTCATTTTGAGTTTTGAGTTTTGTATTATTTTTAGTACGAATTTGAAAACTCAACGTAGACTATTTTTGTTGGATGGATGAAGTATTAAACATGTGGTCAAAAGTGGCATATATGTAGGTGCACATACCTTGTTTCAATCTTTTCTTCAAAAACAATAATAATGATTATCTGTCGGTGGTTAATATTGCGGATAAATGATTAGGTATGATGATTAAGTCATTTTTGGATTGGAAAGGAAAAAAAAAAAAAACCTCACAATAATGTGCATGCACGAGCTAGCACCAACCAACGTTCGTCGGCGGCAGCCGAAAGAGAACAACATTACAAACTGGCGCTCATCAAATCCAAATGGTCACCAAAAAAAAATAAAATTACACTGCGGATTTTTATTTATTTATTTATTTTTGGGTATAATAGATATCTTGAATATAAAATTATTGTCTCAATTGATTTAAATCGAACAAGTTAGATACCTTTCTAGGAAGCGAAAATCATTAAAAACAAAAAAATCTTCTACTCCCTCCGATCTTTAATATGAGACATTTTGATTTGTCATATGTCTTATTTAGTATTTATTTTTAATTAACGAAAGAATCTTAAAAATATTTTTTAACAATCAAGAAAATACAACGAATGTGAAAATATGTTTTTAATGTTTTTTCATTAATTAAAAAAAATATTAAGTGAAATATATGACAAAATTAAAATGCATTCTTAATATAAGGACCGGAGGGAGGGAGTAACAAATATTACATGTGCATGTGCCGAATTTAAATCACGAAGTGAATACAACCAGAGTGCAATTGTCGAAAGAAAACCACAAGAAAAAGTGCGGTAGGAATAACAAACGTGAACAACAGAACTAGAAACCCTACCAATGAAATCGTTTATATATGGCTTAATTTGAGAGCATTAACAATTATCATGATTCATGGCTGCCTTCGAATTAAGTACACATCAAGCATATGTGTTTAGGATACACTAATATCCCCCCTTATCTGATCTGACCAGCCGTCCCACTAACTATACTTCTGCCTTAACTAATTAATTAATTATACCAATATATATTAAAAATGATTATGATGGTATTGCTACAAATCTCTACAATCAATATAATCATTGCATTCACAAATCATTCCCACCACATAATATTTAAAGTTTAATCTCAATCATAGTTACGTTTAATAAAGTTTATATTAGGGGTCGGAGGGAAGTCGTATCGAAATTGTAAAGCAAGACAATCTCCTTAGGATTGGATCTATATTCTAGTTATCAGAGCTTCTGTGGACGTTTCTGATAAATTACAATTTATTTTTCTAATCATAATATTTGACAACATATTAATGCACGTGCCTACACTACACCGCCAATTATGAAAAGAGGAAAAGAAAAATACTACTATAATTTATAAACAAGAAAACAACGTATGGACAAACGAATATAGTTGAGAGTGGAACATAAAACATAAAACATTATGTAAAATCAGGCTCAAAATTTTTAAGGTTTAGACTTTTTGATTGGGAGGTGTGGATCCGTGTGGGATATGAACAACAACGAAACATTCAATACCTAACAGTGGACCGAAGATTACATTGTGTTCGTTGAGTGGATTATTTTAGTACAGTAATCTTTGGGTATGTATCACATTTCAACTTTATTTTTCATCCGACTTTAAGTGAATCCCTTTTTTCAAAAAAATATCTTACTATATTAGAAATAAAAACCACATTTAAAAGAAAGTACCACCATTTGCCATGTGGCATTTTCACATCATATTTTTAAAATAAATTTTTATTTTCACATCTCCTAAACTTAAGAGGTAAATGCAGTTCAAATCCACCTCACCTCTTATTTTCGCAAAAAAAAAAAAAAAACCATGGATTCATAAAAAACCCAAATCCCCATCCCTATCTCTACCACAATGGACTCCCTAATCAATCCCTTCTCCACAATAAAAAAAAAAACAAATTCCTCATCAATCATCAATTGAAAATATGTAGTGAAATATACTCCATTCCAATTAGCATGTTCAATATTTTCATTAGTGATGATCAACTACATCCTAATCGGATAAAATTTCGACTTCAAAAAATATTCTCTTTACCTCTCTATATAAACACAAAGGAAAAAAAAAAATTCTCATTGATCTTGCTTCGGCCGTTGTGGTGGTACAATTACAGGTATTAAAATTTAAATGATTTTATTTTTACAGATCATTTGTTTGGCTTTTTTATTATTTTTTGTTTTTCCATTCAAGAATAGTGTTATTACTATTATTTTTATGCGTCCATCCATTACAGCTACCGTAGCCGTTGTCAGGTAATATGATGTGATTTCTTATATGGTTAGTTAGCCTAGAATTTTTGTATGATTTTAGTTTTGCTTGGATTGAATTCATTAATTGGGTTTTTGTTACAAAATGTTGTTTTTAAATTGTTTTTTTATATTTCATTCAATTAGAGTGGTTTTCTTTTTTTAATTATGGAGTCTCGATGTTTTTTCGTATATGGTCAGTTATGAAGTGTGTTTTTTCTTTGTTTAATTGCTTTTGATTTTGTTTCATACTCCCAGTTGACTAATTATTATTATTATTATTATTATTATTATTATTATTATTTTATTTACAAATGAAGCGTGTTTTTTTTGTTGTGTTCGGACTTTCAAGAATATACTTTTTTGGATTTGATTTTTGGACTTTTTTTTAGTTCATCATCATATAAATAGTTCATGTCGCTTCTTCTAATTAATTTATGGGAAAACCTTTTATGAATTTGAGGCGGAGAGGGAAGGAATGGTATTTCTACGTTTATTTGTGTTTTTATACAAATAAATTTCTCAATTTTTAATGGGCTATCTTTTAATTTCTTTTTTTTTTTCTTTATTTGTCATGGTGAGGTGAGTTCTTTTTTGCTATAACTTGAAACATATGCAAATTTACGTTATTTTCATTCTCATACTTGTGATTAACCAGTTTCAAAATCATATTTTTGATATTTTATTACCTATAAACTTTTGGAAGAAATAGTTCCAACAATTAAGCGTATACCCTTGGGAGGAAGCTTACTACAAAGCTATTATAAATCTTCAAAACTAAGTATTGATTTGGCACAACCAATGAGAACATCAATAAGTTATCTTACTAATATTTAAACTTATTGGCATGCTTTCATATTTTGTCTAGCATTTACTTCAAGAGATATATTTGATCAAGTTTATTTATATTTAAGAAGTAATACTTATAAAACATTTCAAAAATCTTCAAACATTTCTAAAATGTACCGGACCAAATACAATTTCTTTTTATGCAAAAAGATACAAACATTTCTATGATCACACTTATAAAATATTTCTAAATTCTTAAAAAATTTCTAAAATATATCAGACCAAATACAAAATATTTTTTTTTCCAGATACAAACATTTCTAAGATCTACAGATATATTGGGCTAGGGTCGCGCATTGCGCAACCAAACATCACTAGTAATATAAGAAACAATCGTCTAAAATAACTTGGTTAAACCAATGGCCTCCCTCAAAATGACATAATCTAACATTATGTGAAAACACAAATTTTGGGTGTTAATGAGAACATATTAAGCAAATTAGTTATTTAGTTAGTATAATTTATTTTCTTTTACTTCTTCTTCTTTTCAGATTGAAACACTGTAGTGTTAGGCGTCAACGCCCACCCCATTGATAGAATATTCATTTCATTGTCAACGTGGATTGCAATTTCCACAACTTCCTTAATTTAAAAATAAAGATAAAAAAAATACCTCGTTGGATATCCCTTCATTCCGACCACGACGACGACAACAAGTCTTTTCCCACTAGGTAGGATCGACTATATAGATCGTATGTCGCCATTGTTCTGAAGAAAAAAAAAAAAAACCAAGTCCCATACTCGCGGTTATGTTCATGTCACCCTAAATTTTGAAATAATTTATAAGATTTTAGAATGAACTTCTTCTGTGACGACTCCGGGTGCTAGTATTTTTTTTTCTTTTTATATACATATATATAAAAAAAAGGTTTTTAGGGGATGGAGGACTATTGTCGGCTATATATATAAATGCTATCACCCACCGGTATGTATGGTATTTGAACCTCCTTCTGAGCTTTTATCCCTTGGAATTTCAAGCTGTAAGGAGCTAAGAAAGGCAGAAAGAACAAACAAGTTTGTCCATTTTGAAGATGGCTTTCCTACAGAGGCTCTTATTAGCCCTGCTTATCATAGCATGCACCATGGGATCAGAGATGGAACTAGTTCTCGGGGACCTTGGCACCGCCACTTCTTACTCTCCTCCATACACACGTACGTAGTGAACAATTCTCAGTTGAATCATCATGCCGCTACCTCTCCTTGCACGTCGTGCATTGTGAGGGTAACGATTACTGAGCGACACACCCTTCTTAAGGCGTTACTCGCCCTTTAATGGAGTGCACTCTGTTTGTTGCCTTGTTCTGTCTGAGCAGAGCTACTGTTAACCAATCTTTGCATTTAATCAACTCCTACTCTGTTCTATTATCTGTGTAGGATCATTTTGTTTTGATAAAATTGTCAGTGAATTCTGCACACATGCATACTGACCGAATCGCCCATTGGGCGTTAGTCATTTCACTGAAAGAATGCACCCGAGTTTATATGGCTTTAACCATGTCTATACATGTCTATGTGTCCATATGTGCATAGCAATAATCTCAGTGAATTCACATAATGAATCTAAGTCACGTTTTGGCGCATTCGTGCTTAGAGTGACAATGATTTCATGACTGGCCTCTTTAGATGTTTAGGAAATAATGCACTGAATGAGTGCTTATGCAAATGTTTCTGTGAGCTAATCTTCTGTGCAAATTCATGAATGCAGCTACAAAATGTGGGGGAAACAGACCTGATCAGTTCCCAGCAGGAAACCTATTTGTATCAGTGAGTGAAGGGCTGTGGGATAATGGAGCTGCGTGTGGCAGGCGATACAGGTTAAGATGCCTGAGTGGGAATAACAAACCTTGCAAAGACATTGACACCACCATTGATGTTAGGGTGGTGGATTTCTGCTCCCAACGCCCATGTCCTTCAACAATCGTCATGTCCATGGATGCTTTTGCTGCCATTTCACGCCGACCTGATGCCAAAATCAACATTGAATACGCTCAGTAAGTTCAAAAAACGCAACATCCATGATGCTGCATCATCAGTTCATATCCCTTATTCTGCAAATCTACTCCATGGCTCAACATTTTTTCTTTATTCTGCAGGATATGAGACAGTTTAATCAATTTGCACAGCAAAATATGAGGAAAGGGTTTGGCCAAATCAGTAACAAAAAGTTGTTTTCGTTGTATGTTATTGATATGAATGCCCTGGGCTTGATATATCATTATACAAGATAGGGACAAAACCAATGTATTATTAGGGTTAAAAATCAATGATGTATACATCTCAGTTGCCTTCAAGAGACAATGCCTCCTGGAAGTTTGTAGTTCTAGAACTAAAGACATCTAATCCCTCTTTATTCTGATGCGGGAAATAAGGATGAAGGTCACGAACGCCTTCCAGGTATAAAGGTGTTTGCATCTCGATCAAGCGGGAAACCTAGAAACGATAAAACAAACATACTACAAATCAAATCCAGAACTTGTGCTAAATTTCCAACTGGAGACAAGTGACATAATACAACAAGCAGAAAGTAAGACGAGTTTAATTTGCATAATTGTAAAGAGTCTTATGAAAGGCAAGAAATGGTATAAGAATAATTTTATAGAAAGTAACTTACAGCTCGGCGAAATGCAAACATCTCCTCTTCACCAGATAACATTGAAATAATCCCAGTTGGTGAACCTCCTGAACTAATTGTACCCGCTGCAAGAACATCTTGCCGAAGTTTGGTATCTTCTGTCTCTGTCTCGAATTGGAAGCTGAAAACCCACAAGAAAATTTATCCAATTTAAGGATTTATAAACAAGGTCTACTACAGTAGAAATCTGCTTCTAGATAACCGGAAATTAAAAAAGAAGAAATCTGCTTCTCGGAGAGGCACAGAAGTGAACATATTAAAATTCAACCTCCAAATAATCTTACTCTGACAAAAGAAAGAGTTTGCCAGAGCCCAAAAAGGAAAGTATGATATATATTTTGACAATGGTCAGATACTGAAAGCTCCGAGTAGGAGTATCGGACATCTTATCCAGGAAGCAGATGAACAGAAATTCCATACAGAGAGATAAAAGTTGAAAGGAATGCCAATATTGAGGACAAGAGTAATTAAAACATGCTCAATACGAAAAAGAGCAGCAGAACTTAAGAAGAAATAACAATATAATAAGGTAAATGAACTAACATTGGGTGCTTATGTGCTTCTATTTCATGAATGGTGCACAATGAACTAACAATATAATGCCAGTTCATGAATGTCAATGGATAAGGTAAACCAAAAGAGAGGCAGATGATTTAGGCTCTCCCTGGAGTATTCAAAAAGTTCGTTAGGAAGAAGAAGACATATTATACTTGCCTTTCCAGGTCAAAAAGTGTACCCTCTTCAGTTCCTTGAAATAGTTCATCTACAGAAGCAGCGGCAGAACAATACACGCAGCAATGATGATTGTATAATTCATCAATGAGAGTGATAAATCGACGAGCCTGAATGCCAAAATCAAAAATAGAAGAAATTATGACTAATTGTGGAAATCTGTACATCCATTCATCAAAGTGAGGAAAAACTACAGTTTTCAAGCTAAAGAATAGCATGCTTGTTCCTTTTTCAGACAAGACAACCACACACTGATTTATTCAGGAAGCAGTCAGCTGCATCTTGGTGTTTGTGACTATATATTGTTGAGATAACCACATTGTTCTTTCAATCTATCTTCACACTGATTTGGTAGTGGGAGAATATCTATATATTTACCGAGATAACAAGAAAACTAAAATTCAAAGAGTAGGAATGACAAGTACCCAAGAAGAAGAAAAGCATCTGAACAAAGTCTTGTAAAATCTCAGAATGCTTAAAGAAAAAAAACAAGGAAAGTAGATTAGCACTAGGTACCTTGTCACGGATTCGCATGCTCATAATAGGAATGTCTGATATGAACACTGTGTGGTAATTTCTAGCCACAGCAATATAGTCTGCAGCTCCAACCTGTAACACTTATACATCAGGTAGACACTCGAAAAACAGAGACAAAACTACAGCACATGTTAGAAAAAGGGTCAAGCAGCGATAAATCATTTGTAATGTGATCCTGCCTAAGTCAAGGGTGATGTTCCACATGATTAGGTCATGTATGTTAGTAAAGAAAGCCAAATATCAGTTCTGAGTCAATCCACAAAGCATGATTTCCAGAAATGATCAGAATGACTAATATCTTGGATCATATCACTCATAGCCAGCTATTGATACTTCCGGAATATGGGTAAGTTATTCTGATGATGATTCCCAGTCTAGTTAGATCATGGCTACACACTCTTTGCACATGTAGCTGCATGAAGTCGTATATAAATCTTTGATAGAAGAAAGAAAGATTTCAATTTGAAGAGGGTGGCAAACAACAGGTGGCTATAAGTGATAGAAAAGCCACAAGAACTCTGAGAATTAAGCATTGAATCAGTGTTTTACAAGCTTTAAGATGTTACGTTTATCATCATCCATGTAAAAAAAAAAAAAAAAAGAACGGAAAAAGATGAACCACAGAATGCAGCTTTGAAAATTCGTGAAAACAAAGGTAGATCAACTAGATCTGAAACTTGCCCAGCCGCATGAATATCATTGGGACTTCTACATATAACAAAATTTCTGCGTTCTACCACAGACTCAATTTCTACCTCAAACTACTACACAAAAATATCCCAATTCCAGCCAAAGTTCTTTATGTCATTAATGTAAAGAGACTAATTATCTAAAGGGTGCAAACAGATGAGAGATAGCCTCATCAAAAATAAGTCACATTACCGGTCGACCACATAAATACTCGAATGTGAAACGCGCAATCCCATTGCAGCTTTGAGGAACTTCCAGAGTTCTATTCCATGAAGCATGTTAGTATCTAGGTGAAAATAATCCCATACATAGCACCAATTAGATGGAACGATACCTTCCAAACATGACTTCGATTGTTCTGGAAATAATTGTTCCACCAGATAGTTGAGTATGCTTGTCCCAGGCGCTCTCAAATTCCTTTGCTTTGGTGCTATCCAGAGGCCAAAAATACACCTGTAAAGACACAAGAAACACAAGACAAAATGTTCTTAAGCACATGAACAATTTCTAATGTATCACACACATGATGCCATCATAGAAAGGCCAGCTTTGGCAGGTAGAAAAATTTTATCTATGTAAAAATATCCGATGTTAATCTTCAGAAAACTAAAGTAACTTGGGTTCAATCTAACCTCATCTACAGATGCTTTTGCTATTAAACGGCGATAATCAATTTCACTTCCAATAAGAATAATTTCACATTGTTCATCTAATTTGTGTACAAGCTTCTGGAAAATCTCCTTCTGCATACCATCCTGATTGTGGAAGGTAGACCAGTTTTCAGAAGTAAAAAATTTAACGTTAAACCAAAGAGAAAGGAAATAGAGGAAACCGATTTATTTTTGTGGTTCATAGTAGTAACACAGTAGAACGCACCTGATTTAGGTCCGCAGGTGCACGATTACTAGTTGCAACAAGTATCGTTCCAGTGCTTAATAATCTACTTAAAATGCCAGATAATGCCACAATAGCAAAAACATCGACTGTCTGCAACAAAGCAAAACTACTTTGAGCCTTAGATTTTGTTCACAAGAAGTAGAACGATTTAATGAATTAGGGAGGAAAACAAGAGCCTAATCAAATGAGTTGAGACAATTGTCACTATACTAACACAAGCACGACAAGGAGTTAAAAATTACTGAAAGGTTGAACCAGCTTTATTGTATTACTATTGACCACAAAGGAATTTGAAGTTGAGGTTTTAAGCATGCCAGTACAGAGGAAGTAAAATTTCAAAAGATTGCGTCTAAAAATGTTTCAGAGAATCTGAGTTCATCGTTGTATGTTCTTCATCCTGATGAGAAACTTGGACCTTATAACCTTATTTTAGTAACCAGTTACACACAATCCACCACAATCAGCTAAAGGAAACATAATCAGAAAATGGGACCTGTATTTCATCGAAGCACAAAACACTAGCTCCTGCACGGGGTCCATTGGATTCAGTAAGGAATTTATCGGCTACTGCAGGAAGAATGTTTTTCATCTGCATCTCTTGCTTAAATCTTTCTTCAGCAGCTAGCCATTCTTTGACCTTTGTATCGAAAGGAAGATTAACAATCCAACTAGATATGCTTGACTGCAAATTTTGGTTCTCAACTTGGCTCTTCCATATCTTATGCATGCGTTCATTTATTTCAAGCATAGCCTGCCAAGGAATCGAAGGGAACTCAAAGAATCAACAGATTGAAAGAAATTGCTTGACCAGATCAAAGCAGATTAGTTTTTTATGCAAATCTAAATTGCCTCTGTACATTCATAATTCTAGTGAGAAGCGAGATCCATCTTTTATGTGCCTTGCAAGACAATAAAACTACATTCCTTAATATACTTTTACAGAACGATTTGGCACCAAGCCTCAATATATGGGAATCAATACCAGAAAGGCAAAAACGGGGTTTGACTCTGTCATGCAAATTAGACAGGAAGAGTACAAGAAGGAAACCAGAACCCTAATTTCAGGTATGAAGAAATCCAACTGGAGATTTAAAAACCACCACCGATGATTAAAAGCAGAGAGATTTTGAACTTAAGCTTTTATTTACCAGAATTTTGTAGTAGCTTCCTAGATTACGAAACAAAAATAAGAGCAAGCATTCACCTCATGAAAGTGAAACCTTCTTCGATGCTTAACAATTCCTTCAGTGGCACTGTAAAACAGATCCATGAGCATTGTCTTCCCTACAAGAGGCAAAAGTTTGTTCAATACAATATTCATTCTTTAAGGAAAAAGAAAAGCAGCATTTCCACAAGAATATAACTTTAAACTATTTATTCTATACCGTGTATTGAGTGAAAAGATGCAGGAACTAACCACTTCCAACATTCCCATATAAATATAATCCTTTTGGGGCTGCAGGAGCTGTAGGTCGACGACCAACTTTAGAATCTAATTTCTTCTCTCGATTAAGATAAGATACCCATTTGCCTACTCCTGGTTCCATGTTTTTGTATCTCCTCCTACTGAAGACAACTTTCATCAATCAGGCATTAAAAGAAGAAAATTAAAATCATTATACCGATAATAAGCATCGGTTTACTGTAGCAATCAGCACCTTCTGCAATGACAGTAAAGTGCATCCACTCAAATTTAAGTGTCACAGTTTTTTCATTTCATTATAAAATAAAATACCCTAAGGAATGAAATCATACAGCTACTTTGGTAGAACTGAAGGAAAAAGGGTATCCCACCGAGAAAACCATCTCTGGATAAAATTTTCCTGCTTGATGGTTGATTCTATGTCACCTCCTTGTTGTTTTGCTTCAGCTTCTGCCGTCAAAAGCCTGCGCCTTTCATTTTCTCTACTCTCCTCCCACTTGTTAAGTTTTTCCTGGAATTAGTAAGACAGATGCAGAATGTCAGGAAAAGGAGGGACCACTTTCAGCAACAAAGAAACACAAAACCCGTACGTGGTATTCCTCCATATCTTTCTCATACTGCTCCAATTTCCCAAGTAGATTATCAAGCTTAAAAGCAACCTCTTCCTGGTAAGGATCCTGCTTCAACTTCCCTTGCTGCACCAGACTTCTATATTGTGCAAGAGGCCCTGAAGAAAAACTACCGAAACCGTAATTTGAAGACCAGGTCGAGGAAAGAACATCAAGAAAATCATGTTTCAAACTGTCATGCTTTTAGCAGTACCATGATACTACATATAACAACAAAGACAAATTCAATAGTAGAGTAAGAAGAGTAATGCTTGCATTTAGTGCATCAGAGAACAATCATGACCCATACTTTCACTTAACCAGTCACAGTTTCTTACAATCAAAATAGTCCCTTCACAAATGTGTCCCAAATTTTTTTTAGATTTACAACAGCCACCAATTGTGATCAAATAAGAAAACAGGAAAGCAGAAAGTCAAGACCATTAAAAAATACCTTTAAATCTATGACACTCTAGTAACAGATCATTATCTATATTAACTTCCCTACTTCTTGAGAAGGGACTAATAAAACAGAACAAAACAAATTTTTATTGCCGAGCTGTGGTCAAGTTGTAGCCTTGAACATCAATTACAATAAGAAGTGAGCTCAATTTCTACCACCAGAAGGAAAAATAAGGACATGATAATCCTTGACACTCAATTAATCATATGTTAATCTAATTCTAACATAATCCACTGGAAACATAACTTAAGACGTTTATAAAATGTATTAAGCCATAAAACTATATTCAAAGATCAATAATTAACGTCCATTGCAACATCCCCCGAATTCTTCAGCATGAACAAACCAATAACAAAGCAAACAAACGTCTTCCTTTTATACCTGAAAAGTGAAATATTAATTTCCAATCTGATCATAAATTTCTCTAATGCCACTGATAAAGATCACCACGCCCCATCAACCATAATCATAATTCATACACACCTATAAATACACAATTACCAACTGATCACAAATTTTCTCCATTCTGTTACATACCCAACACAACCATACAGTCCAACAGAAAAAGATCAACAAAGCCCATCATTCATAACGTCAATATCTATAAATGCATATATATAGACACACATTTGGCAGGCAGAACAACTAACCAGCGCGTCTGGACACAGATGAATGAGGAAAATCATTGGTGTTGCAGTAAAACCGAACAGCAACATAACTGGGCTTGAATTTTGAGGTTGCATGAGTACACAATCCCAGTAATATCAAAGAAGAAAGCTTTCTCATTGGAGAAGGAGATGGGGGGAAAAAAAAAAATCCTTGTTCCTTATTCTTAAAGAAAAGGGTCAGTTTCAAACCAATCAATTCGTAAATAAACTGTAGAATTTGGGGGGATTGAAAAGAAGAGATCTAAAGAAGGAGGAGAAGGAGAAAAAGCGCCAATTCGGCAGTGTAAATGGCAACTGTCTTATTGTAAGGTAGTGACGTGGACGTATCTGGGACCAATCACTTGTCAGCACATGACATGAGGCTTTTTGTTGTTTGGTTTGTTTGGAGAGTTTAAGATTGAGACATCATGACATGATATGCTGTTTAATGAATTTGCGATGACAGTTTTTTGGATAATCTAAAAAGATGTACTTGAGAGAAAAGAAGTTAGAATTTGAGAATGCCACTATTAATAAGCTTACTACGACTAATTTCACATAAAATTTAGAAGAATCTCAAACTCAATTGGGAAGAGGTCAAGAGGTGTTACAATGCCAGTATTGAAGCAATTCTTGCATATTCAAGTTTACTAACTCAAAAATCAAAACTTTTACAAAACTCAAAGATTAAATGATTTCGTCAATATCCACATCATGGAAGAGAGCTGCAGAGCAGAATTGCTTAGCCCTCTTGGAACTCTGCAACAGCTTACCAAAACTGTCCCAAATCCACACTCACATCCTCAAAATTGGACTCCACAGTAACCCTTTTGTCCTTACAAGATTTGCTTCCAGAGCATCTGACCTTAATGCAATACAGTATGCCTCTGGTTTCCTATTTGGCCCTGATGCCCAAACCCATCTCTACGATACCTTCCTATTCAATACTGTCATCAGGGCTTATGCTCAAACCAGTCACTCAAAGAAGAATGCAGTGTTTTATTACAAAATGATGATTAAAGATTGCATTTTGCCAAATAAATTTACCTATCCTTTTGTTCTCAAGGCCTGTGCTGGGATTGGGGATTTGGGTTTAGGCCAGAGTGTTTACGCATCAGTGTTGAAATATGGGTTTGGCGATGATAAGCATGTTTTGAATACCATGGTTCACATGTATGGTTCTTGTGATGGAGGGATCGAGATAGGCAGGAAAGTGTTTGACGAAATGCCCCATTGGGATTCAGTTTCTTGGAGTGTGATGATTGGTGGATACGCCAAGTTAGGGATGTCGAGTGAAGCGGTGGGATTGTTTAGGAAAATGCAGATTGATGGGGTGAAGCCTGACGAGATCACTATGGTGTCGGTGTTGTCTGCTTGTACTGATTTGGGTGCCATTGAGATTGGGAAGTGGGTGGCATCGTATATTGAGAAGGAAAAGGTTCACAAGAGCCTGGAGCTTTGCAATGCTTTGATTGATATGTTTGCTAAGTGTGGTGATGTGGATGAGGCTTTGAGGTTATTTAGAAACATGCCCGAAAAGGACATTGTGTCTTGGACATCTTTGATCGTTGGTATGGCAATGCACGGCCGTGGTTCTGATGCTGTGTTGTTGTTTGAGGAGATGGTGCGTCAAGGAATTATGCCTGATGAGGTTGCTTTCATAGGTTTGCTCAATGCTTGTAGCCATTCTGGCTTAGTTGAGCAAGGTAGGATGTATTTTGATTTAATGACAACAAAATTTGGGATTTCACCGAAGATTGAACATTACGGGTGCATGGTTGATCTGTTGAGCAGGGCTGGGCTCGTAAAAGAAGCTTTAGAGTTTGTCCAGAGTATGCCAATTGATCCGAATCCAGTTATTTGGCGAGCATTAGTCACTGCGTGCCGAGCCCATGGCGAGCTCAAGCTCAGTCAAAGCATCACTGAAAAGCTTATAAACCAGGAACCTATGATAGAGTCTAATTATGTGTTGCTTTCAAATATTTACGCAAAACTGTTACAATGGGAAAAGAAGACTTCAATTAGATCGGCCATGGGGAAAAAGGGGGTTAGAAAGATCCCAGGGAGCACTATGATTGAGATGGATAATGAGATTTATGAATTTGTAGCTGGAGACAAGGATCACGCTGATTGCAAAGAGATCTATGAAATGTTGGATGAGATGGGGAAAGAGATGAGAAGGGCAGGATTTGTAGCTACAACTGCAGAAGTGTTACTGGATATTGACGAGGAAGATAAAGAGGATGCTGTGAACCAACATAGTGAAAAGCTGGCTATAGCATTTGCCCTTCTGAAAACACCTCCAGGGACACCAATCCGGATCGTCAAGAATTTACGTGTCTGTGAAGATTGTCATGAGGCTACTAAGTTTATCTCCAAGATTTATGACCGCGAAATTGTGGTGAGAGACAGAAACCGTTTTCACCATTTCAAAGGTGGATCTTGCTCATGCAGAGACTTCTGGTGAAACTGTGATCGCTCATTTTCTAGGCTGTTTACATGGTCCAGTGCCATGATCTACTCAGGGGTACTGCCATTAATGAAGCTAATTAACTCATTAAAAGTCATATGAATAGACATCAATGATTTATTCAACTATAATTTTGGCCTCCAGAAAGATGGGAGAAATGTAGAGACTAGTTTGAATTAGATTTGGCCAGTATGTTTGAATGACCGCAGTACATTGGAAGTCTGTCTGTCTGTGCAAAGCTAATTGTCTACGACTCATTAATGGAGCTTTGGCCACCAATGTAGCTGGTTCGGTTCTTTTTTGCAGAAAACTGTTCTTTCTTTTGTGTCTGCAATTTCAGCAAGGGCAACGTTAAGAAGAGTGGCATGATATATATGAAGCAAGATTTGAATAATTTATCATCCTACGAGGGGAGCCAATCAAAATCCTCCCCATGTTTTAGTTCAATATTCTCTGTGCCGGGACCCCTACAAGAGTTGCTTATTGACAAATACAGAAAACAAATCTTTGGTTCTTCATTTAATAGTTGGTACGGAGTGGTGGAACAATAACTCCCCAAACAGAAAAGGTATGGCAGAAGCAAATATATTAAGCTACATATATCTTAGTAAATATTTTAGATTATTTATTTACCATAGATAGGAATTTTGTACCGTAAATTCTGGAGTTGATTGAGTTACGCTCCTTGTACATTTACCAACCTTAATGGCACAGAGAACGACAAGAGATTGAGCCGATTTCTTTTTCTCCTTTGGCTCTCTTCATGGTATCAATCGCAAGGTTTAATGGCGAATAGAGTGGCTGAAAAGTCGGCTGCTGCTGTTGAAGGTGGTGATGCTGCTAGTCGGCGGTGGACGATTTCTCCTTTCGACCTCTCCGCCAGTGACATTCCTAGCAGCGTTATCACAACTGTCCAACTCCGTGGCGACAGCAATTTCGCTGAATGGACCAAAGTAATCAAGACCGCTCTACTCGCTCGCAAGAAATTCGGGTTTCTCGACGGTTCCCTCACTTCGCCGCCGGCATCCTCTCCTGATGCTGAAGATTGGAGGCCGATCAACACCCTTCTGGTGTCATGGATCCTTAATACGATCGAACCCTCGCTCAGGTTGACCATTTCACATACTGTCGTCGCGAGGGATCTCTGGCTTGATCTTCAAGAACGCTTCTTGATTGCAAATGGCCTGCGGATTCAGCAACTGAAATCCGATTTGGCGAACTGTCGACAGAAAGGATTGAGCATTGTCACATATTACGGTAAGCTTAAATTGATTTGGGACGAATTGGCATCTTATGACTCTGTTTCTGTTTGTTCATGTGGCGGCTGCTCCTGTAATCTGGCCGCCGCGGCTGAGAAAAAGGTGGAGGAAGAGAAGGTCCACCAGTTCCTGCTTGGCCTCGACGACAACGTGTATTCCACTGCTCGATCTAATCTTCTAGCGCAGGAACCCCTTTTGCGGCTTAGTAAGGTGTATGCCACCATTGTCCGCGAAGAAAGGATGCATCTAATGAGTCAGGCCAGTGAAGTTCCGTCGGATTCTATGAGTTTTGCTGTTCATACTCCTGTTGTGTATGCTCCGACTGTTTCTGCAGGTGACCCGCAGGTCATGGCGTTTCTATCTCTTCTGGTGGCACCGGCGGTGATTCATCCCTGTTTTGCACCCACTGTCACCGGCCAAACCATGACGTCTCCACATGTTATCGCCTGGTTGGCAACCACGTGGCCGTGGTGGCGGTCGGGGGCGTGGCCGCGGTTCTAGTGGCTCTGGCTGTTCGGGTCGCGGCACTAATAATCCGATTGGGGCTGGTTTCGGGTTTCAGCCTTCGGTTGCAGTGAATTCAGTGGCACTCCCGTCCTCTACTGGTGAAAATAGCTCGATCCCGGCAGTCACTTGGTTGAATGCCGATCAATGGAATACTCTTATTTCTTTATTAAATTCGGCTAAACCAAATTCGGGCACTTCTCTGTCTAGTGAGACTTTTTGTGATAATTAGATGTATGATTCTGGTGTATCCCGTCATATGACTGGTGTTATTACTTATTTTCTGATGGTTTTTTATATTCCGGGTGTTTCTGTTCAATTACCTAATGGTGAATTTATGGTTGCCACTAAGGCGGGTACTGTTGTTCCGAGTGACAAAATCACGTTCCAGCATGTTCTGTTTGTGCCTAGCTTGAAATGCCTTCTTATATCTGTCTCTCAATTATTGCGGGATACTGCCTCTATCGCTCACTTTACTTCTCAATTTTATGTTATTCAGGACCTCACTTCGAGGACAATGATTGGAGCGGGTGAGCAACGGGAGGGGCTATATTTCTTCCGGAATGGGGAAACTCTCGCGGCTACATCAACTTTTGAGGGATCTTCTTTTGAGCTATGGCATCAACGACTGGGACACCCGTCTTCTAAGATTCTAGCACTGCTTCCTAGTTTTGGATCTTCTAAAGACATTAGTTCTTTTCACAATAAGGCCTGTGATGTGTGTTTCAGGCCAAACAATCTAGACATTCTTTTTCACTCAGTGTCACTAAAACTTCTGAAATTTTTCAGTTAATCCATTGTGATTTGTGGGGCCCGTATCAGGTTCCATCTTTTTCGGGTGCTCGGTATTTTTTAACTATTGTTGATGATTTTTCTCGTCCAACCTGGATTTATCTGTTGAAGGATAAGAAAGATGTTTCTGTCAAGTTACGCAATTATATTGCTATGGTTGAACATCAGCATGCCAAGATAGTGAAAACTATTCATACTGATAATGGCATCGAGTTTATGTGCTAGACTGATTTTTTCCTTCAACCTGGAATTATGCATGAAACTTCCTGTGTAAGAACTCGCCAGCAAAATGGTCGTGTTGAACGTAAGCATAGGGATATTTTAAATGTGGCTCATGCTCTACGTTTTCAGGCTCAACTTCCTATTGAATTTTGGGGGGAATATGTATTGGCTACGGGGTATTTGATTAATCGTACTCCTTCTAGTGTTTTGAATGGTAAAACGCCCTGTGAACTTCTATATGGCAAGCCCCCTTCTTTGACTCATTTACGCGTTTTTGGTTGTCTTTGTTATGTTTATAACCAGAACGTCATGGTGATAAGTTTTCTACTCGTTGTCGGCGATATTTGTTTGTGGGCTATCCTTATGGTCAAAAGGGTTGGCGTGTTTATGGCTTAGATACTAGTAAATTTTTGGTCTCCTGTGATGTCGTTTTCCTGGAATCTGAGTTTCCTTCTTTATCCAAGCCTTCAGACACCATTGCCACTCCCTTTATTGAGTCCCCTCCTATTCTTGATGATGATGATTTGTCTGATTCTGTTGTGGAGTCTGTTCCGGTTGTTTCACCTTCGGGCACTAGTGCACATGATCTTTCTGATCCCGCTTCTCCAGAAAGGGGGGTACTACTTCTGAGCAACATGAAGAACCTCTGGGTCGTCTGCATCGCATCAAACAGCGTTCTACTCGGTTACACGACTATGTCTCCCATACTGTTACTTCTACTAGCCCCTCTCCTGCTTCATCCGCTGCATCAGTTTCCTCATGTGCGTCCTATCCTATACACAACTACATTAATTGTGCCTCTTTTTCTCCACTACATCGGGCATTTTTTGCTAGTATTACTACATGTGTTGAGCCTCGGGGTTTTTCAGAAGCTGTTAAAGATCCTTAGTGGCAACAAGCTATGCAACTCAAGATTCAGGTCCTGGAGAAAAATGGCACTTGATCTGTCACTTCTCCACCTCCTGTAAAAAGGGCGATCGGTTGCAAATGGGTGTTCAAAATCAAATACAATTCTGATGGTTTCATTGAGCGTTATAAACCCCGCCTAGTGATTCTGGGTAACAATCAGATCGAAGGTCTCGATTACAGTGAAACATTCGCTCCTGTTGCCAAAATGGTAACTGTTTGCACTCTGCTTACAGTGACAGCTGCTAAGGGTTGGGAACTTCATCAGATAGATGTCCATAATGCTTTTTTGCATGGGGATCTGGACGAAGAAGTATATATGAAATTACCACCTGGGTTTCCTTCTTCTGATCCTGGTGCGGTTTGCCGCCTTCATCGCTCGCTTTATGGTTTGCGACAGGCTCCTCGTTGTTGGTTTGCCAAACTTATTAGTACCCTGCAACGGTATGTTATTCAGCAGTCTTCCTCTGATTACTATTTTTTTGTTTTGCATCGTGGCACCAACCAACTGACAGTCCTGGTTTATGTTGATGATCTTATTATTTTCGGGAATAACAGTTTAGCAATTCAGTCTTTTAAGAATTATTTGAGCAGGTGTTTTCACATGAAGGACCTTGAGCCTCTCAAATATTTCCTGGGCATTGAAGTGGTTTGTAATTTCATGAGCATCTTCTTGTCTCAACGCAATATGCTTTGGACATCATTTCTGAGGTTGGCTTGTTGGGTGCTAAGGCGGCTGGATTTCCTATCGATGCTTGGTCGGGCGTCTGGTTTATCTTGCTGTCACTCGGCCGGAGTTATCTTATTGTGTTCATACTCTTGCTCAAATACATGCAGAAACCCATGCAGGCTCATTAGGATGCTGCTGTTCGCGTTGCACGTTTTCTGAAGGGTAATCCTGGTCATGGACTTCTTTTACGGGCTGACTCTGATCTTCAGTTAAATGGCTAGTGTGATTCTGATTGGGCCAGTTGCCCATTGACCCGACGATCTCTGACTGATTGGTTTGTTCAGTTGGGTAATTCTCCTATTCTTTTGAAGACCAAGAAGCAACAGACAATTGCCCGATCGTCGTTTGAGGCTGAGTATCGCTTTATTGCTTCTACTGTTTGTGAGCTGAAGTGGTTGAAACTTGAAAGTTTTATTGCATTTTCTTGGACTTCCTCATCCTCATCCTATTCATCTTTATTGCGACAGTCAAGCTGCTCTTCATATTGCAGCGAATCCGGTATTTCATGAACACACCAAGCAAATTGAGGTTGACTGCCATTTCGTGCGGTATGAGGTTTTAAAGGGTACTATCCTTCCTAGTTATGTTTCCACCCATGTGCAACTTGCTGATATATTTACTAAGCCTTTGGGTAAACCCCAGTTTGATTATTTTCTTGGCAAGTTGGGCATTTGTAATTTGCATGCTCCAACTTGAGGAGGGTATTATGCTGTATAAATCTTGATAAATATTTTAGATTATTTACTTACCATACATAGGGATTTTGTACCGTATATTCTAGAGTTGATTGAGTTACGCTGCTTGTATATTTATTAACCCTAATGACATAGAGAACGGCAAGAGATTGAGCCGATTTCTTCTTCTCCTTTGGCTCTCTTCAAAATAAGGTGGTGATTTTGGTGGAAAAATATAACATGTTTTAGAGAAAGAAGCCAAACAAAATCTGTTGTAGGTAGCTGGTGCATTTCATCAATTCGATGAAGCGTTTATGGAGCATCAGTTGAGGATTTGTTGTCTTTCATGTGCAAATTAAGATATCCTTAGGCTGATTTGTACCTTTTTTCGCTCTATTTTTTCTTTTCTCATCTTTATGTATTTAGTATAACCTGTCCAAGAGGTTTGTCTTGCATTGTATCTATGAACTGCTTTCAATCAACCTCATCCATGCATAATGACATATTCCTTAAAACGAAGGACTTGCTGTATCTGTTTGTCTGCATTTGAGCTACATTGTACCAACTAAGCATCAAAATTTCTGTTCTTGACCTTTAGCTGATCTTCTACACAGATAATCATTTTTATTTACACTTACCACCTGTGCACAATTCCAAGCACTCATGCCACGCCAATTCTGTCTATTTCAACAGGTATAATCCTCTTAAATTCCTCTTAGGTGATCATCCCAATATGACCAACTCCTAGGAGAGTGGGAAAATCCCATCTTCAATTTTGTCAAAAATTTTGCATATTTTGGCTTAAAAAGGATTTGGCTTTATCTAGTTTGTCCATCTTTTCTTTCCAATTGAGACACTTTGCAGATAATGCCAGATACTGGTTCTGCATTTTTATCTTTCCTGAAATTTTCAGTTTTTGCCAATGAAATTACATCATAACAGGACCTCTGGCTGAAGAGAGGAAACTGAGAAGACCTATAAGATAAAATCCCTTCTTCTGTAATACGTTGTACTACATCGCTTGAAGATAGGACAGTAGATATAAAATTGTCATTTTTCCAACTTTCAGTTTTATCAAATTCGTTCAGCTCAATCCCTGAAAATATGGTACAAGTTTTTCTATACTCTCCCTTCAATTTCTAGTGAAATTTTGAAATCCTTCCAGTTTAATTTTGATTGTTTTGCTATCTGAAATCTTTAAAAACAGGAGGGTGAAATGGAAAGCAGCTCTGGATCCAATGCGGTAGAATTGCAAGGCTCTACAGCTGACCAGCAGCCTAAAACCGGTGGTTGGGTGGCTGCAACACTTATTTTAGGTACGACCACTTGCTGCCATTCTTCTACAACATAAATGCTTAACCTTTTTCAACATACTTAGATTGAGCAATTTCACAACATGAAACTAAAAGTTATACCATTTTAAAACTTAAGTTTCTGTTTGTATTGGAAATAAACTGAGTAATTTAATTACACCGACTTCTGATGATTGTGTGCTTGTGATGAGTTCAGGGATCGAACTATGCGAACGCCTCTCCACTATGGGAATCGCAGTCAACCTTGTCACGTATTTGAATGAAACAATGAACCTCTCAAGCGCTACTTCGGCAAACATAGTAACCAATTTTTTAGGCACTTCTTTTCTTTTGTGTTTGTTTGGAGGATTCTTGGCTGATACCTTCCTAGGAAGGTACAGAGTGATTGCCATATTTGCACCCGTTCAAACTATTGTAAGTGTTCTAGTTAATCCCCTCCGTTGTTACTAATTTACCAACTTTAGTAAGGAATTTTATTATATTTTTTTTGTTACTTGATTCAGTTCATTTTACTCCCTTTGTCCCAAAAATTTCTTTCATTTCAGTTTCCTTCAATATTTCCAGTTCATTACTTCGATTCTTGCCAGCACCTGTTCATCAATCTTTCTTGTATTTAGTAGGTCATACTTAGATCCGGTTTAGCATTAAATACTACTCTTATATGCAGGGTACAGCAATGCTAGCAATCTCAACACAAGTTCCACAACTTCGTCCACCTACATGTGCTTCCCAATCTAGAAATGAATGTCAACAGGCTAGCAGCAGCCAAATGGTTGCACTATATGGATCACTATATCTGATAGCAATCGGGACCGGTGGTATTAAATCAAGCGTTTCTGGTTTTGGTAGTGACCAATTTGATGAAAACAACAAAAGAGAGAAAGCCCAAATGACACTTTTTTTTAGCAGATTCTTTTTCCTCATCAGCCTGGGGACCCTTACGGCAGTTACCCTTCTTGTATATGTTCAAGATCGAGTTAGTCGAAGCTGGGGCTATGGTATTTGTTCTGTGTCCATGTTTATTGCCACTCTGTTGTTTCTCATGGGAACCAGAAGGTACAGATTCAAGGATAGCTGTGGAAGTCCTCTTATCCACATTCTTCAAGTGCTTGTTGCAGCCACTAAGAAAAGAAAGCTTCAACTTCCTTCAAATAGTGACGAGTTGTTTGAAGATATTCAAGATGTGTCTACGAGAATCCCTCACACTGATCAGTTCCGGTTAGCATACCTTTTAAACTTTCTCATTGTCATTTTTTAGAGGTAGCTGTATCCCTTACTTATGCTTTTATAGTTGCTTGGACAAGGCTGCTGTAATATCAAAGGAAACTGAAACATGTAAGAATATTGCTTCAAATCCTTGGAACCTTTCGTCAACTACAAAAGTAGAAGAGGTGAAAATGATGATCAGGCTACTACCTATTTGGGCAACAACAATCATGTTTTGGACTACATATGCTCAAATGATCACCTTCTCAGTAGAACAAGCCACTACATTGCGGAGAAAATTTGGGCATTTTGAAATCCCTGCTGCCTCTCTGACAGTTTTCTTTGTAGCAGCAATCTTAGTCAGTTTGGCAGCTTATGACCGACTAATTATTCCCTTCTGCAAAAGATGGACAGGATTACCAGGTAAGGACTACTATGCTTGTTGTGTTCTAGTAACAGAGAACTAAGTCATTGGACCTCAAAAGAAACAAAAACAAGTAACATTATGATATTGATTATGTTAGCCTTTGATATAATTTGATGGGACTAAATCTTCACCATTTTAAACATTTGAACAGGATTGACAAATTTGCAGAGGATAGGATTAGGACTCTTCCTAGCTTCATTAGGCATGGCGGCAGCAGCAATTGCAGAGGCGAAAAGGTTATCGGTGGCGAAATTCACAGCTCCAAACACCACTTTACCTCTGAGTGTGTACATCTTGATCCCGCAGTTCTTGTTGATTGGTTCTGGAGAAGCATTTATGTACAGTGGACAGCTAGATTTCTTCATAACTCAATCACCAAAAGCAATGAAAACAATGAGCACTGGCCTATTCCTGACTACACTTTCTATGGGATTCTTTTTCAGTAGTTTGATAGTGTCCATTGTTCAAAAGATCACCACAATTGGAGGTGGAAAAGGTTGGGTTGCTGAGAAAATCAATCAAGGTAGACTTGATTGCTTTTATGCCCTTTTGGCCCTCTTGACCTTCATTGATTTCTGGATATATCTTGTTTGTGCTGCATGGTATAAGCCACAAACAACTTATGAAAAGAATCAGGAAATGGTTACTGATAAAGTTCTTGTTGTTTCCACCATGGAGGAAGTTCTTGTGTAAAAGATCAATGGTTTATATCTTTAAAATAGTCCTCGATACATTGGTACCATTGTAAAAGTCCAAAAAAAGAGAAGAAAATTTGGTCTTAAAATGGTTGGCGTCAGCTCATCCGTCTTTACAAGAAAATTGATGGGAAAGTCGACGAAATAAAATATCCTTAATTTTTTATCATTTCACGATTTACAGCCACTTTCTTTTTGCATTTAAAAGACGCAAAAGTATCGTAATTGAAGTTTTGAAATTTCATGACCGATTGAACAATGTTTCATACCAAACTGAAGGTAATTCACTAAATTTTGTTCTTTGTCATCGACTTTCGCAAGGCAACTAAAAACTAAACTGAATTCTTAAATTTTGTTTTTTTTTTAAAAAATCTAACTATTCAGTTTTTCCAATGCAATGTTGAAAAAAAAAATTGAAATGTTTTGGTAATTTATTAGTATCAATATAAAAGTCTAAAAATGTGTATTTCTGTTAAATTTACCGGCGCGACTTTCCTATTTCTTGGTAAAGCCAACTAAGAATTCGATGAAAACCAAAATTCATTGTATTGTATCATTGTTACAATAAAAATTAATTCATAAATTAAAAACGAAAAAAATATTTGAGAAATCAAGAATGTGAATAAAAAGTTTTGGTAAGAAAAATTTAAAAATAAAAAGAAAAAATGAACCTTGCGTCGACTTTGGCGTCGATTTATCTAACTCGACGACATAGTGGATGAAACTGTAAATTTTGCACCCCTGTCCGCGATCCTAGCTGGCTAATTCCCAAGAGAAAATCTATGAGAGTGGACATATTGAACTAAGCCCCCCATGGATATATAATTGAACGCTCTTGTCTTCAACATTATAGATCGATCCTTTCCACCTCCTCCTATCCTGACGAACGGTTTAAAGTAATTAATCGTCTGTAAAATAAATACAATCACTTTTGATTCCACTTGTCTCAACCTCCACCTTTGAAATAGAAATTGCACCATTAATTAAACCCAAAAAAGATGGTCTCTCCCTCTAAGTTAGAAAACACCTCGCAACTCAATGTCACTGTATCTAATTGATACACTTGGAAAGTTGTAGTGCAAAAATGCTTATGAATTTGTTCATCTGATGAAATATCGCCGTGGCCAGTATTATATAAACCGCTAAATTCGTATGATTATTATCATTATAATATACAACTAGATACTAGTACAAATTAATTAATTGGCAAGAGAAACCCAAGAGCGTATGCTTCTTTTTCTTGTGAAAATCATAATGAACAAGAAAAACAAGAAGTCCAAGGAACAGTAATCAAACGTGGTGATAATGAGCTCTGTTTAAAATCTGGGATGATAGTGCATAGTGAGAAAGAAGCATACGATCTCTATAATGAATATGCATTGCATGAAGTTAGATAGGGGGATTCTCTCTCACCTTACCTTTTTATAATCTGTATGAAATTGTTGGCACATAAGATCATGCATGAAGTTAATAATAATAAGTGGAAAGGAATTCAGTTGAATAGGAATGGACAAAAATTGTCTCACCTATTTTTCGCTGATGATTTGTTTCTGTTTGCAGAACCTTCAGTTGATCAAATGAAGGTGATCAATCAAGTACTTGAAGATTTTTGTAAAATATCAGGAGAGAAAGTCAACAAGCTCAAATCAAAAATCTTCTTCTCAAGGAATACCCCCCAGCAGATTCGAGAAGATGTATGCCGCATGTCTGGATTCGAAGCAACAAACAAGTTGGGTAGATACCTCGGATCCCCTCTAATCCATGGTCGTGTAACCAAGAGCACCTACAAGGAAATACTCGACAAACCTAGGGCTAAACTTGCCTGATGGAAAGCCAATCAGCTATCTTTAGCTGGTCGGATTACACTAGCTCAATCGTGCCTACAAGCTATACCTTCATTCCAAATGCAATCAACAAAATTGCCGTCCTATATATGTGATGAGCTAGATAAGCTAGTGCAGAATTTTTTGTGGGGATCTACAAGGGACAAAAGATGCATTTGGTGAAATGGGATACAGTATGTGACCAAAAAGAAAAAGGCGGTTTGGGACTTAGGAAAGCAAGAGAGAATAATGCTGCTTTTTTGGCTAAACTTGGTTGGGAGATCTTAACAAAGGAGGATTGCCTTTGGGTCAAAGTGTTGAGAGCGAAATATGGTTGTGGCAGGTCAGGAAAGCCTCATACGGTAAGGAAAAAAAAGCTCTACTCTGACGTGGAAGGGAATTTGTGATACCTATCACCTTGTGGAAAAAGGGACAACCTGGGCTATAGGTGATGGAAAATCAATAAGCTTTTGGAAGGACAAATGGGTGGAGGGATACAATGAATTAGTGGAATATGCTACTTCACCTATTTCGACCACAGAACTACAGCTCAAAATCAAAGACTACACAACGGCGAGTGAAGGCTGGAATTTGGAAATGTTAAAACACAAGCTACCAGAAGACATTGTTAAGAAAATTTGCAGTTTGTTACCTCCATCAGAGCAACAAGGGGCACATCAACCCCGATGGCTATTTGGCAAATCAGGTATGTTTTCAGTTAAAAAAGCATATTACTTAGCTCTTGAATCTTTGGATACGCAGGCAACTAGGGATTGGAGCAAGGTATGGACTTGGAAGGGACTACAGAAGTACAAATCATTCCTTTGGCTGGCAACTCATCGTAGATTGGCAACCAACGAGTTATGCCATAATAGAGGAGTCAATCAGCCAGCTACTTGTGACAACTGTAATCGGGAGAGTGAAACAACCCAGCATGTTCTGAGAGACTGTCCAAGTACACAACTTTTGTGGGAGCATTTAGTTCTTGTAGGTCGTCGGCTAGAGTTCTTCCACCAACCATTGAAGACATGGCTTAGATCTAATCTGGAAATCAAGATTGGAGAACCTTGTTCTGTGTGGCTTGTTGGTGTATTTGGAATTGGAGAAATGAGAGAGTCTTCAACAATAGAAACGTGGGGATTCATGCTATGATAAGGGAAATCCGTTGTCATGTAGAAGAAATTCAACGTAGCCAAGAGATTCTAAAGTGGAGAACTCCAGAGAGATGTAGGGAATTCATGGCTTGGAATCCGCCACCTCTAGATTGGGTTAAGCTAAATTGTGATGGAGCTGTTAATCTGGAAACAGGAGCACCTGCAGCAGGTGGCCTCATTCGTAATGACAAAGGCCGGTTTTTGTCAGGTTTTAATTCATACCTAGGCCAATGCTCTATTGAAACAGCAGAGTTGTCGGCTATTCGCTTGGGCCTAGAGCTCGCTAGAGAACAGAGACATCGAAAAGTCCTTGTTGAATCTGATTCCGTGATTGCAGTCCAGTTGGTCTCGCAAATACAAAGGAATCTTATGCTGGATCATGACCTCAGAAAAATCCAGCAATGTTTATCAGAAAATTGGGAGGTCCATATTTTGCATATTCCTAGAGTTAAAAATGAATGCGCTAATTGCTTAGCAAAAGAGGCGCTTAGTCTAGCTAGGGGTGTATATTTTTTTGATATAACCCCGTCATGTATCTCCCTACTTGTGGAGAATGAATCTGTAAGAACTTGAGATACGCACTAAGAGATATAACTTAGTGTACCTTTGTTAACCAAAAAAAATATATATATGCATTGCATAAAGCTTTTAGTATTCGTCGTGGCCAAATGCGGTATAAGTATGGAACTAAAGAGGTTTGTGGAAGAACTTTTGTTTGTTCAAAACAAGGTTTTTGTGATTGTGATCCTTTTGAAGAGAAAAAGCTTGACCGTCTAGAAACGAGGACTGGCTGTGAGGCTTTTGTGACATTTAAGGTTGAAAATGGTATTTGTGAAGTTATTCGTTTCAATGATGATCAAAATCATGAGTTTGCTCTACCTGAGCAAAGACATTTGTTAAGGTCGGGGAGAATACTTTCAAATATTACAAAAGATGTGGTTGATTCCTTGCATTGTGCAAGCGTTGGGCCAGCAAAAGCACACGAATTTCTTGCTCTAGAACATGGTGGATATCAAAATGTTCCGGTCACTAAAAGGGATGTTCAAAATTATGTGAATAGAACAAGAATGAGTTTATTTGAAGCTGGAGATGCTTAGGCTCTTCTGAACCATTTTAAGGATAAACAAGTTGCTGATCCTATGTTTTTCTATTTACCTTAGCTGGATGACCAAAATCGATTAATAAATATATTTTGGAGAGATACAATGTCCAAGTCTGATTATGATTGTTTTGGAGATGTTGTGGTTTTTTATACTACTTTCCAGACAAACACGTATAATATGATTTGTGCCCCATTTATTGAAATAAATCATCATTGACAGAATATATTGTTTGATTGTGCATTTTTTCTTGATGAAACTATTCCTTTTTTGTCTGGTTATTTGAGATTTTCAAGGCATCGATGGGCAACAAGCAGCCAAAAATTATCTTCACTGATCAAATCGCAGCAGTGGCTAATGCTATTAGCCATATTTTCCCTGGTTCATACCAAAAAAAATGCCGCTACCAATATTCCACATCCTTATAAGCCTAAATTCAAAAAAAAAAAATTATAAGTTCATTAGCGGTTATGAAACTGAGGAGGAGTTTGAGTATAATTGGAGAGTAATGATTGAAGAGTGGGGTCTACAGGGCAATAGCTGGCTTACAAGGCTTTATGAAAATCACAGAAAATGGTCTCCTGTGTTCAGTCATAATATTTTTTCTGTGAATATGAAGTCTACCCAAAAAAGTGAAAGTGCTAATAATGTCTTTCAAAGCATGTCATATAAGACCCTGACTTTGATTGAATTCTTTAAGCATTATGAGAGAAATACTGAAAAAATGCGTGAAGCTGAAAATGCTGAAGATTTTAGAGGTGTATATGGAAGACCTCATGTTCGCATACCTAGTGACATCATGATGCATGCAGCTGAGGTATATACTTGCAAATTATTTTTCATGTTTCAGGCAGAATTTGACGAAAGTGTGACAGAAAAGATAATTGAGCATGTTCCTAATGGTATAATTAATTGCTTTAAATTGAAGAAGGAAAGGTCCTCAAAGGTACATACAGTTTTGTTTGATATTTCCAAATTTGATATTGGTTGTAGTTGCAAGAAGTTTGAGACTTTGGGTTTACTTTGCTGTCATGTATTGAGAGTATTGAATATGAGTAAAAATGATAGTAGGATTCCAGAGAAGTATATATTGAAAAGGTGGACAAAGAATGCAAAAGATATTTACATTCATGATAACAGAATTTCATCCATGAAAGGTGATGTGAAGGAGTCTAAGACACTCATATTTAGTAAACTAATGCACAAAGCAAGGAATGTTATGAATTTGGCTATGTTTGATGAAAGGGCTGTTGAAATTTTTGAAGAGTCACTTGATGAAGCATATGAGAAAATAAAAAGCTACAAGGATAAGCTCAGCCATGGCAACAATGTTGGTATCGGTTTTGTTGAAAGTGAGAAAATTTGTACCTCTGAGGGAAAGAAGGTTGTCATGAATCCCCCAAAAAAACGATCGAAAGGGGGAACAAATAAGAGAATAAAGAGTTTTGTTGAAAAACGTGGGCAAGGAAAGACCACAACAATAGCATTATCTCAAATTCAAAACCCCAACCGTGCTAATTTAGGTATGAATGATATAATTTATGTTATATTTTGTTGTGTTGTTTTATAGGTCACCACCAATTGTTGTGCGCTTGTTGTTCTACATAGGGAATAGATCAGTTACCTTAAATCTTCTTGGGTGTTTTCCTACAATGCAATGAACTAAGGTGCCCATTTTATTAGCTGTTTTAATATCAGGTCTGCAACAAATTTTATAAGGTTTTTTTTTTTTGGCTCAACATGTTAGTAGTTATTGAATCAGGACTTCAACAAGTTATAAAAGTAGTAGTTTATATAAGTCTTCTCATTAGCTTAAATCCAGACTTCTGTCTCTGTTTCTGTTCAGGTTGGAAGTGAATTTTAGGAGGTGCTTTTGTATGGAGGTGAAGAATAAAGAGGCATGTGAGGACGAAATCTCTTAGAAGCTTGAGATTCTTTATTCTAGATATGCTTACTCTTTTTTTTTCCTGTTATGGTGGGGCTCATTTAGTTTAAAGCTTGGAATATAACAATTACATTTTGGCCTGGTTTGTAAATGCTTATGTTCAATTTCTACTTGTTTAAATATAGAATTTTCATTAATATAATATTGCAACAGTTGCCCAAGTTTTGCGTGTGTTGATCTTTTAAAATGTTGCAGAACAGAATTATACTAGCAACTCATTTTATGTGAATAGAAATATTTTTTTATCACTGCAGTTTGGTCTTCAAGAGCTAATCCCTACCAGATGCTTGTCATAGTGGGGAACAACAAATGTGACAAACAAAGAGTTCACTACTTTTTGATAATATTAATAACAAGAGTTAGTTGTATGAAACAGAAATGAAAATTTTATTTTAATCAAAAGAATGATACATATCTTATCGAAATGATCAAACGACCTTGTTCTATATTGCATTCTATACATACACAACCTATCCAACTAAGATTTTATGGTGTCACAGTTTGTTCTTAAACTTCGAGCACATTTCAAGTTGCTAAGATTCCCGCCAATGCTTGGTCCAAGTTGATGAATTTTTCTAGGAAGAAATAAGCTGCTCCAGCCCCAAACTAACTCGCAACACCAGTTCTGTGTTGATTCTTGCAGAACAACATCGACCATTCAGCAAACTCAGGGCACATGCATTTGAACATCAAAGAAGTTTCAACTATCAAGCGAGAACACTAAAGTTTAAACCCGCGGATATCATATAGACCATCCAGTATGTGTTTAAGCTGTAGGAAAAACAATAACAAAAGTGGTGCAGTAATTTTTCAGCTGGTCTGATTAAGATTTAGCAACATAATAATGCAATTCATCAAAATCGGTATCTTCATCAAAGTTGAAAAAAAATTAAACCCAAAAAATATATGTTGTAGTCCCACGGGTCAGGAAAACTTTCACAAAGAAAGAAGAAAACCAATAGAATGTAAGTTTTTACCCCGGCTAATTATACCTGACGGTGGTTCTTCCATTGTAGCAGTGATATCCAAAGCGGCAAATGATTAGCATATATCCAGTTAAATCAGGCACAAAAAAAAAGCACTAGAATTCTTCAATTGCAAATGTAAATCAATTCATCATTCTTTAAAAGAAGCCAACACATCAACAAAAGGGAGAAATCAAAACCAAATTTCAAAAGAAATATCGTAATACTCTCTGAAGTTTCTCCCGGCGATTCCGATAGCAAGCCCAATCAACGAGGGTTTGGCATCCTTCTCCGGGAAAAGTGCTAGCGTCGGGGATCTTTGCCATCGATACTCATTCTCTTTTGTCAAATCGTGGGAAAGCGGAGGGTAATCCTCCTCTGGAAACAATGTTGGCGTCGGAATAAGATCTTTTCCGGCAGATCGTGGGAGGAAGACGATTATTTCTTTTCCGGCTCTTGTCTTGATTGATAGCCACAGCTTCTCCTATTCTGCCGACAGCTATCGTGGGAGGAAGACGCAAATCGTGAAGTGGAAAATGTGCAGCTGATTTTAATTTAATTTGGGGCATCGACGGGGGAAATTGAAAAAAAGGAAAAGAATATAAAGGCGGAAATTATGCACCACGCATCCTATTTTTAGTGGGTTGCTGCACCACGTAACACTGCTGATGTGGTGCAGCGGCTTCACCAAATAATTTCTCCAAGAGCGGGGGCTGCTGAGGTAGGCCTCATCGGGAAAGCGTGGGAAACGTTCAACGATGGTTCCAAGCTCAACACTATAAATTTCCATATCTTCGATATTATAGTCATCGACTTGGGTGAAATATATGCAATCACTTCTAATTCCATTCCGTTGGGCCTCCGCCCTTGAGATAGATATATATATATATATATATATGCAATTACCGGACCCAACGAATATGGAATCTCCTCCTCTCAAACTGTAAATTTCCTCGCAACTGCCTTTCGCTAAATCTAATTTGTACAATCTAAAAAACGCAGTGTTGTCGCAGCCGCCCCTTACTTGCACAATTAGTACTCCCTCCCTCCCAGAGAAATAATCCAGTTTGAAAATGTACAATTTTTTTTTCATATTACGCAGTGGGGCGCGATTCTTTTTTTTTCATATTGCGCACGGTATCCTAAGCGCATTGCAACCAGTCTAATCCGCACCGAGCTGGATCGGTCTCCCAACATTACTCTTTGCATTCACGAGACTCGAACCCGAGACCTCACTTAAGGGGCGCGATTCTCTTTCTTAACATTGACACTTCCAGCTTTCTTTAAATTTAAATATTTAGTTACAAAATCATCCCGGGAGACTCCATATAATTATTGTTCTTTCCGTCCTAAAGTAAAAGTCCGGTTCATTGCAACTGCTTTACTTTAACAAAAGCAACTCCTATCTTGAAGGGGAAAAAAAAATACAAGTGAAGGAACAAAAAAGAATAACTAACATAAGTCAAGGAACAAACTGCCATATGCAGCAACCTAGATTCTGAAATCAAACTTTCTACAACTCTATATTTATCTCTGGTAATTTTTCAGGGATCCCATTTCTTTTCTCTTTATGATGGGCTCTTAAAGGAATGGCCGCCGTTTTAGGTATCTCATCTCAGGTATTACTTGGTGGCTCTTAGAATTCAATGTCCGCACTCAACACTTGTATTCTTCGATGAATGACACTGAGGCCCAATTATGTCAACTCTGTTTCCCATTAAACTAATCCCAAACTTCTTATCTCAGTTGCACACACATGGTAGCTTGAAATGAAACTTGAAAATATATTTAGTTACTCTTGGAAACGATGTTGATTTTGTTAGAAAGCATTATAAATTCTTTTCTATTACACAAATTTAAGTCATGAATGCAGAGTCAAACTACACAACCGTCAAATGAATTATAAGAGCGATTAGAATTTAGAATCTGCCATTTTGTGCACATCACTTTTGTGTGTAGTCTCTTTTCCTCTTATAAGAGGACATATAACTTTGATTTCGGTACACAGATTGGGAACAGAAAGTCACAAAGTGAACCAAAGAGAAAACAGGAGGATTGCCTAATTCCCCTTTCATCCCATATTTCACATACTAGCTGTCCCAAAGATTTCTGATTGGGACGGCGAGAGTATTAAGTATCAACATGACATCCTTCGGATGTAGAAGTTACAAGGACATTCCCTCAATGTTCAAGGCAACATTGATGAAATTTCAACAATAAAGCCGAATCACCACAATTGTTCCTTGCCCATTTTGGGTTGATCCCAGTAATCACAGAATTCAGTCGCATTAACACCCGGATCAACATTAAAAAAACAGAGTTACAGCAGTCCAGCACAGATAAATAGAAATAATACAGCAACAGAGATACACCCTCATCAGACATGGAAAAAATGCAGGTTCTCAAAGATCAACACCAAAGAGAGGAAAATAAATCCAAATTGTGCGGAAGGCAGTACTCCCGCATTAGCTAATTCAAAAGCATAATGAAATTTACATTGCAACTAGAAATAGAGAACAATGTAGGGAAAATGTTAAAGGAGTGGACGAAGGAATAAAATTATACCAAGGTAACACTAGAATTTTACTCATACTAAAAATACATTAACTGCCCGTATAACTGACTTGAGAGAGATATGATCTGACCTCTCACCTCAGGGTTCAATACGAAAGAAACATAAACAACAGTAAAAAATTAAAGCATAATAGTAATAACTAAACAAATGATTGTCAAAGCAATTCTCCTAAATCTCAGATCCCTCCATCCATTCATCCAATGAACAACCACCCCGATTTTTCTCCTCCTTTCAGACTTTTATTTGTCCAAATTGACCATAAAAATTCAATCTTTTTCCAACATGCAAATCAATTTGAATCAGGATTGAGCATCTCCTTTCTTCCCAACTCCTCCGTCACTCCCAGCATTATTAATTTTCCCTTCTCCTTCTACCGACAACAACTTCCCACTCTCCTCATCAACCTCCTGAGCTTTCTTCTGAGCTTCCTTAGCCTTCAAAGCCTGCAATTTGGAATGGTTGTAATACCCAACTCCCAAAAACGCCAATCCATACCCCAACAAGTTAACAATGGTCACAGTATCCTTAATCACCGACCAAGAAAACGCAATCAAGAGCCAATCTTTGACCACCCCGGCAACATTCATGGTCAAAGCTGAGGTCTTTCCAACAAGCAAAAACACAGCCAAGTTCAAAGCAAAAGCACAGACGGAATTAGTCCCAAACACCAAGAAATCAAAGTGAAAACTCGAGCTTTCCCTCAAAACAGGGTACTCCACGAAAATCCAGGGCACAAACAAGAAGAACAGGCAACTCGGTGCCACATAATACAGAGATGTAATTGGATTCAAATTAATACCCTTTGAAGTCAACAAGATCTGGATCAAAACAAGCCTTGTGGCCTCAAAAGCAACAGCACCCAACTGAAGCAGAACACCCCATGAATCGTACTTGGCCTCGCCATAAGCAGCAATGGCAACACCAACAGAGATGGCCAACATGTTCATCATGGTGTTATTCTTATAACTATCCTTCTTCAACAAAATCCCAATTGAGTAAACAGCAACAGGCATCAAGGCCTTGAGCATCTGGATGAAAGAAACTGATAAATAAATGTAAGCAGAATTCGAAAGCCAGAGTGAAAAGGCATAGAGGAACCCAATGGGGACCACTGAAGTGAGGTAGAGATGACGTGATAAGGAGACGGGCTCCACTAGCTTGAAGACCCGGACGAGGAGGAAGGCTAAGGAAGAGCAGAAAGCCATGTGGATCATGGTTAGGGAGATTGGGTATGGCCAATTGTAGAGCTTTTTGTCGAGGATGTATTTGTTGTAGACGATGACCGTGAAGGAAAGGAAGATCCAGATTGCCACGTAGAAGTAGGAAAGAATGATTTTTTTCACCACCCCATCTGACAAGGCTGCGCCTTTCCCCATTTTTTCCGGTGGTTGGAGGCGGAGGAAGGCGGCGGCGGTGGTGGTGGAGGATTTTGGGGTGGGTGGGGTTTGGAGGAAGAGGAATTGGTGGAGGACTAATGGGAAAAAGTGAAAGTGAGAAAGGGTTTTATTAAATAGAGATGTGGAAGTGTGAGATGCGGAAAATTTCGACACCTGGACTTTTATTAAGAACAGTGTATCAATATTTATCTATTTTCTTCCAAAAATAAATTATTTTTCTTGTAATGTGGTTTTAGTGTTTTAAAAACAGAAATTTATTTAATGGGGTTTTATTTTTGGTGTCATGTAAAAAATTAAACACGGTAATTTCTAATTTTTTTCTTTTTTTTAGTATGGAGGTATTTCGCAATAATTTTTTTTTCTTTTCTATATCTTTCTCGTGAGATTTTGATTCTTTTTCCTTCTTTGGTGGAGGGAAAAGATAAAAAAAATGGAGGCAACGTTTTTGTTTTTCGGTGGGAAACGAAGTGTATCAGTTTTAGGATTAATAATACTCTTCGATAGAGGAGAATATTCCGTATATAATGAAATAACATTTGTTATAATTTTTATTTTTATCTGTATTGATATATATGGGTTGAAAATTCCTGAATGCTGCTCTGAATAAGCCTTCTCCAGGCTTCACTTATATCAAATGAGTAAATTCTTTGGTTTCCTACCTTTTTTTTTTTTTTTTGGTTTCCCCAAACAATACTATATCAGTCCCCAAATAATTAAGGGGATAAAATTTTGAAAAGATTAAGTTACAATAATAAATAATACAATCTAGTAACACAACCTAGGGTATTTTAAGTCGAAATACTATAAAATAAGATGCTACCAAATATACCCAATCATACTGTTCTTGATATTCAAAAACAAAAGATCAGTTGACTGACTGATACATTTAATATTTTATTTTATAAAATTGTTACCAGCTCAGAAAAAACAAATGGGATTAGGAAGATGTCACGTTTCAAGTCTCAGACTCTCATCAGAGTCTCGGGTAGAACGTAGGAATTAGGAAGAAGGGTTATCGAAAAATAGTGGAATTCTACTCTCGAATAATTATTTTCGGAGTGGACTGTTACGTTTCTTTCTTTAATAGTAGTAGTAATTATGATGGCTTAGTTAAAAAAGACATCAAAATTGTCAATTCATATTAGTTGTTAAAAGATGGACCTCACTAGAGTCGTTAAAAAGTGCTTTTTGGTGTTTGTGGCTGCTAATTGTAATTTTGACTCGGATCAGTGAAGTACAAATCCAGTGCATTTTAAGAGGGAAATTGGGGAAAATGTTGAATATATTGTTACCCTTCGTTTTGCAATCAGATTATAATTGTTTCGTGTAAATTTTCTTGATTTTTAGGTATACAAACTATGAAAAATCTTAATCACATTTATACGTTTGATGCTTTTCTTTATGCATAATATGATCATCGATCTGTACTTTTCTTTATGAATAACATGATCATCAACATCTAATATCTCTCCTTTCCCCAAAAAAAAAAAAAAAAATTCATTTTAAAATTTAAAATTTGTTTTAAAAATAATAAAGTCTGAAAATTTAGACTATTCTTTTGGGATAGAGATTAACAATGATGATAGTTATATAATATTCTTCATTGTTTTTTTTTAAAAAAAAAAAGAAAAAGAAGAAGGGGTAGAAGTTAAAACTTAAGCTTATCACATTGTGGGATGAAGAGGTTACGCTATATAAATAAATCAGGCATATAGTGCTACTGGTTATCAAAAATCAACCAAACCTTTTTAACACTCTAACTTATCATTGGATGAACCTCTCGAGATTATATATTAAATTTTGGTTAGTAAGTGATGTAATAAGTGATACTAGATGCTTGGCCCAGGCAGATGCCCGGACGCCCCTCTACTTTAATTTTATGTTAATAGATAAATGAATTCTTGATTTGGAAAAAATAAAATAGCTACACATTTGTTTTTTTTTCTTTTTTAGTAAAAAATAATTATAAAAATAAAAAAATCATCTCCCAAAGGAGAAAAAATATTGAAAAATACAACGATTTAGAAATCATACAAAAGAATATGGAGTAATAAAGAGGATAAGTTTATGGACAAATTTAAATACTATTTTAATTTGATTGATAAATGATAAATGTTAGGAGTTAAAATTGTGTAGCTATTTTTGTAAAGTAGCTTTTGTTTTTCTGGATAAGAATTTTTTTTTTTTTTTGAAAAGGGATGACACGTGGCAGAATGGTTAATGCAATATGGTGCATTTGGAGCCAAAAATTTTTAATAAGAAGTTGCCACATCAATATCCTGTATTCTGCTTTAATAGGGTAAAAGGGATAAGATTATAGTACGTGAGATCTTTTGTCAATCATTTTAACCTGAATTTATCATGTTATGGAGATTTGACAATATGAGGAGTAGTGAGATTTATCTTATGAAAAACATAAGTTCTTTGAATTGAATCAAATAATACTCCATAATATCAGTGGTAATTGCTATATGCACCATATACTAATTTTGCATCTCTATGAATTGTGACCAATCCATTAAAACTAAGTTTATTTGAAATTGCATTTTATAAATAAGTCAAAGTATAAAAACTTTTTAAATTGTACAACACCTACAATCGATATAAGGTTAATTGCTAGATTAAGTGCTACGCAAGATGAAATCTTATGATAGGGAAAGAACATCAAATCTCCTAGTTAGTAGTATAAAAAACAGGATCATCGATGAAGGATTGCAGCAATTTTATCTAATAGCTGCTTTGGGGGAATTATCCCATAAAAATATGGCAATTTCGAAGTGAAGTAATCTAGTAGGATATATCATTTTGTTGTTATTTTATACTGATGAATTTCTTTGTTTTCGTTTTTCTTTCCTTCCTTTAATCTTTTCGGATGCTGATGTACTCATGGTAGTCTAACTCAAATAATTGACACAGGAAATAATGATTTCAACCCTCACTTTAAATTTATTGGCAAAATTGTGTTCAACCTCTATTAAGGGGGTGACGAAGTCCATTAAGACGAATGAAATATCAAAATGCGGAGCAAGAGAAACATTCGCTACAAGATTGCTAGATATCAGTAGATTTGTTCATAGTGAAAACAATTGGTTAAAGATGTAAGGTTCTAAGATTATTATTATTTTTTTGACTAGTTGCCACTTTATAGTAATAAGTGTATAATTTGTGATTATCAATCATGGCTGAATTATTTCCAGCAAAAAAACTGAAATGTGTGATTTAATTCCCCAAAAAAAAAAAATGAGCAAGAAGAAGAAGAAAAAAGTCTGTTGGATATAAAAAGCAGTACATTACGTTTTGAGGATGTGCCATGACTTATGACTAGGTGAATTTTAGCATTCAGAAAGACATCAAGGAATGGGGTATTTTGCAGTAATCGAATTAAAATTTTAAGAAAATTAAAAAAAAAAAAATAAAGTTCTTAGTACAACGTACGATCTTCATCTCATGCACAAATGTCTCTAAACTGTTCGCACTTGGATTTTGAAGTCCTACCGTAACTCCTAACTAGATTCCCATATCCACCAGGTATCACACTGGGTGATAAATTACATTCCCATCCTTATAGTGTTACGAAATCATCAATTGGTTACAGGATTTTTCACGTAGTTTTCCATATTTTTAATACGTCCAGAAACAGAGTCCCCTACTTTTTTCATAGATATTAAAGTGAAGAAATTAGAATGCCTCAGCAACCTCATATTTGTACTTAATATTAACAATCTACTTTAATCATTCAATCTTAATCCTTTTATCTCTTTATTACACTTATTTATCAAAAAAAACTTCAATTATATAAAAAAAAAACTTATCCATATTTAACAAATGTCGAGTCGTTGAAACTTATATCCAATGTACAACAAAGTGACAAACTTTTAACCCTTCTCCTCAATTACTTTTCATTCATCCATAGACGTACCTATTCCAACTTGAACATCTGAAGAAGAAAAATGTACTCCATCTGTCCTAAAATTATTGTCCAGTTCGAGATTTTACTTTTACTATAATTTGAACTAGAAATAAAAATCCAAACTAGATAATAATTATGCGACGAAGAAAGTAATTTCTTATTTGCATTTCTATAAAAAAAAATAATAATCAAAAAGGGGAAAAGAGAAAGAGGAAAAAGGGGGGAGGAAGGAAACACTTGTTAAAATGGGGGGCAAAGAGTAAAGTGGCACATTTGTCTGGTAGCCTAAGATCTGAATACGTGTTGACTAAAGCCAGGTTTGGACTTCGGAGGAATAAGAGAGGTGCATGCGTTGACGATTCAGTCCCTCTCTCTCTCTCTCTCTCTCACACAGTCACACAGTTCAGTCAGAACGGAATTCCATTCTTCCCCCTTCCTTCTCCGTTTCTTTGCTTGTTTTGCTCGTGACCTTTTTTCCCCTCCAGACTATCAATTTCATCTACGTTACAAATTCCCCTCCACATATGAATACCACAATTTTTTCATAAAAATAATCCCAATCCGATAAGAAAAATGATATCAAGTGAGTAAGGGACTTCATTTCGTGAAAAAAAATAAATGAAAATTATTATTTTTTTAAACATGCATATTCGAAAAAGGGCAAAAAAAAAATGAATTTATTGAGAACAAAACTGAAACAAGCCATCCAGAAACGAAGAAAAAGTGACGTTCATCTTCACCTGGATTTCCTCACTGCAATATATATAATTTATGCTCCCTTGATTTGTCCATTTTTGGAACTGTAAATATACTAGATATTTTTACACTGCACAGAATTACAGTTTCCGTTTTCTTCAGCTTCTTGGAGAATGGAAGCCAGTTATATGAGTTTGTAACGTAATGTAATATTGTATTGAGCAGGTGTCATTTCTTTTTTTTTCCTTCCAAATTCTTACTAGTACTATTTTATTTGTTTGAATACTCATTTTCTGTGTCTGACTTCACAAGAGATTACAATCATTTATACGGAAATAAGTCAAATAACAAAATGCAATATTAAAACTAGAAGCCCATGCTTGACATCCTGCTATTAGTCAAACTTTCTCTTCTGCTCAAGTTGATAGTATATTATTGCGTCAATTATATGTTATCCATAAGTAATTCTTACATAAAGGGGGAGAAAAAAAAAAAAAACTCGCCACTCAACTTAAAATTCTACAACAAATAAGACAATCATTTTAGGATAGAGATAGTATACAACGGAGTTTGCCTAGTAATTTTTTCAATTGAACTTTTTTAATGATAAATTGAAACTT